AATCTCAAGAAAAGCGAGATCAAAAAGTTACGCTTTGAATTTCCCGCTAAGTTCGCATTGTGTTTCAAGCTTATAACTCTGTAATTTTTTGACTTTTAAGAGTTTTTCTTTGATATACGAGTACAATACTTTAAAGTAAACCTATATTTTTAAACTGATAAGTGTAGCTTGGCTGGAAAGTCAAAAAAAGCGCTTGAAACAAAATGCCAAATTTACTAAATTGCGAAAAATTAAAATAATTCAAATTAAAAAAAAAAGCTCAAGCTAAAATTTTTTGTGGGTACTATTGGTGGTACAAAGAATCTATAAAAAATTTTGAGCTGGCACTGAGCGGAGCAGCTGAGGTCCTCACGTCTCGAATTAAGCCCTAGCCTTCGGGTCCACACATATGGCTGGAGTCTTATACTTCAAATTTTTTTTCTCAAAAATTTTTTTTCTCAGTGAAAACCAAAAAATGGCGCAGGAAAATACAAAATTCTGCGCCGTTTTAAAAAGAGAGCGCAATAAAACGAGAGACACTAGAGAAAAGACTCTCTCTCTTTCAAACGATATTTTTTTCAAATGGCGCAGGATTCTGTATTTTTCTGCGCCATTTTTTAATTTTCACAGAGAAAAAAAATATTTTTGAAGAAAAAAATTTGAAGTATAAGTCCCCAGCCATACATGCTAGCTCGGCTTTTTTAGGTTTGCTTCGTTCTGGCCTGAGTCTAGTAAGCCTTTTTAAGTTTATTATTACTTTCGTATAGCACTTTAAAGATTAATATAAACTTATCTTTATAACCAGAGTGTCACACTAATGTGGTGCTTTTTGATAGGAGTTCTTTTACAAAAGGCGGTCCTAATAAAGTTATTTTAAAGACGGTGCCGTACTATATGGTGCGCCAAAAGTCCCCGGATTAACTTTACCGGTCGATTTCTTTATGTTGTACGCGATTTATATAATTTTTTAAAAGGTTGTCCTATATATTCCCCATAGTTTTTTGTTATAAATAAGTAAAAACTGAGTTTTTTATGTCTATCGCCTGTCTGTATTTAGATGCCAAACATGAGAGAAGCCATCATTAAGCTGCATAAAGAAGGAAGAAGACAATGTGATATTGCGAAATTGTTAAATATCGCAAAATCTACAGTATCCGACGTAATGAAACGGTATGTAGAGCTTGGACATGATCGTGACAGACCTAGAAGTGGCAGTCCAGCAACTGTAAACACCCGCGCCAACAGACAGTGGATCAAGAAGCGATTCATGCGTAACCAAAGGACTCCAGTACGTAAAATGTAAAAATGTATTGTGGATCATGCGAGAACTTCATTGTATAATAAAAATGAAATAATGTGTGAAACAAAAGTACAAATAAACATTATTTCAACTAAAACTAATTGCTTTTATTTTCCAAACGTTGACTAAACTTTGACAATGTTTTTGTTGCCGCTAGCACGCAATTAAGCCGAATATTCAAAGTATTTGTAGCCGTTCTACGTTTATCGTTTTGGCTAAGCGTCTGGCCATGACATTGTATGTTTAAAATAACCTTTTGAGCCTGTTTTTGTGCCGTAATTGCAATGATCACGTTTTTAATTATAACACAATGTCTCTCGGTTAATGAACATAACATCAATTAGCGATAGAAAAGGATTAACAGGTACAACGGGCGGCAAACCTGAAAAGTAAACATTATTGCTTAAAACAACTTTTGCCATAAAATTTTTGCTGATAAGTGCTTGTAGCTGTTCTTGAAGCTATTGTTGCTGTATTTAAATTTTTATTTTTTAAAACCCATTCTACTATCAAAAGCTACTTCGACTTAACAACTACAATAACTATGCATTTACTATTCGATTTAAAAGAATCAACAGTCGACAATCCGTATGCATGGAAGACTACTAATAACTATTCAATTGAAGCCCAAAAGCAGTTTAATCTAATGGCAAGCCTTACTGACTTGAGCTATACTTGTACACTGAACATTGCAATACTACTCAACTTCCTACAGCTCTACTTCGTTCTTACTAACAAATATAAACCTCTTGAAGCCTACAAAAAACTATTGGTTATTACGTGTATATTCGATCTAAACTTGTGGTTCGCCGAGTATTGGACTCAGTTGGTAAGAGAAGTTTTATGTTAATAGCAGAGCTGTAAAGTGAGGGCAGGGTAATTTCTAATATAAGTGTAAAATGCTTGTAAAAAGGCTTGGCCAGACTTATTTTTTTTGCCAAATCTTTTAACTTGAGCCCTGGCCCTGTAGCTCACATGTTCTGGCCCGGTCACAATCGTTCGTTACGGGACCTAATCTGAGTTTCTGGGACTGGCTTGAACCCCGGCTGTTGGGTTTACGCTTCCGGCTCGGTTTGGCCATTTCAACTTTTTTAGTCTGCCACATCTCGGCCAAGGTTTGGGTATAGTATGCCCGTTTTCAGTTCTAGTCACACATAAGTTTCAGTGTACCATAAGTTTTTGAAACAGGTCGGGCTGGTTTTGTTAGTCTTTTTCAAATTTCCTTGTAATTACAATTCAGATTTTTTTCGAATTTTGAAACATTTCAGGAAGGCTCAAACGCAGACGGTGTTTTTATGCTATGGCTTCTGGGACCAAGCAAAGAGTTCTCCTACAACTTCCAGTGCTATTCCTTGGGTTACTACGGTTTTTCTCTGCTTTGTGTAATTGTCATACAACCAGTAAATTACTACTACCGTTTATTCTGTCTTAAAAAGTAGGTTACACCAATACAGTAAAACTACTGTAGAACAAACAACATTTAAATCTTTGGCTAGCACCGCATAAAGGGACCACACACAGCATTTAAAACTTCTTTATACTGAAACTCTTTTAAAACGAACATCAGAAGGATTTTTTATACAGAGCTTCATATAAAACTATAAATTAAAAAAAAATTTTTCTTATTTTTTTTTCAGTTTTGCTGCACCTTCATTACGTTCGTTATTTCTCCTATATGGAGGCGCCGTACTATCTGTAGTGCCATTTCAAATATTTGCAACATTATCTTTTTTACATAGTGGTGAAACAGAACCAACAATTAATTACGCGACTATATTTTACGACATTGAAACATTACCTGTTCTTATACCAGCTGATACAGTAAGTTGTAGCATGCAGCTTTGTAGCAATTTTTTTAAAATTGTTAAAAGTTATCTTGAGCTGGTTATGTATACCTGAAAAGGGTCTCACTAAAAATAAAGGAAAGAAAAGACCGGGCGGCACATGTGAGCAGGGGCTTAAACCAAAGCCCCGGAGTCCGGCATAGGTCCCGCAACGAAAGACTTGACTAGCAAAAAGAAGCAGTAGTACAAGTTGCTCCAGTTGAGTGGAGGGCTTGGTGGGGTTCGGTGACCCTGCCCGTCCCAGCACCCGTCGTAGTACTGGGCCTTACCATATTGTATACTTTAATTAACTGAGGAATTGGTTCCAAGGCTAGTCCTGTATGTACTATACCTTATATGTACCTTGACCTTAACTTTGTACTTAACCTTATACTATTATTTCAATCGACGCCGAAACTAGTTTCGGCTACAGTAAACGCAAATTCTGCGACTTTGCAAAGTCCAATAATCCCAAGAGCCCTTTACACTTTAGCCGACCGTGCGGCTGAAAAACTGGAATTTAGAATGGGCAGAAGCCTACCCAAGCGATCGATCCCAAGACGGTGGCCTTTTGTATTCGGCCTGACGGCCGGCCTTCTTTCCTTCAACTGTCGCCAGCCTCTTCAAGAAGCTGCGATCTTTCGTTGGAATTCGGGCAGAAGCCTGGCCGCGTAGGCTGATCTCTTGGCGCCCTTATCGGGGTTTTTGATCAGCCAATTTGGCCAAGCTTCTTTTCCGACCTTAAATTTGTAATACAAGATACTGTAGCACAGTATCTAACTCTCGAGTTATCAGTTTAATGAGTTTATATAATGATCCAAGCCGCAAATTTTAAAGAGAATGGAAAAAAACTGGGTTTGGGGTGGTTCTTTTACATGGTAAACATAGTATGATACATAATGCAAAAAAAGTCTATATTAATTAAATTTTAGCGCAGCATATACACACGGCTATACCTGAAATACAACATTTTCATCATTGCCACAATGTATTTAACGTTTTTGTACGTAGCACGGAAAGAAATCGATGTCATTAAAACAAACCAACACTTATACAGCAAACGAACTGCTCAACTTCAGAACGAGATGGCACGGGTCATCCTATTACAAGCTGTATTTCCATTATTTATATCAGTAGGACCATGTATAATGGTGTCTTTGCAAGCCATATTTAAGATCAATGCTGGTATACTTGGTTCATACATGTGTTTACCATTCTCGTGGCTAGTCTTGTGTAACCCTTTGGTGTCACTGATGGTTATCAAACCGTTCCGCAAAAGGGTCAAACGGATATTCGCTGTGCGAATTCGAATAGCCAGGGTTGGTAACCAGCCTACATCGACTGTGTTTAGAACCAATACGCGGCTTTGAGCTTTTCTATGTTTGTTTCTAAATAGGTTTTTTCAAGTATATCAGAGTAAATAAATGAAATTTTATAAAAATGTTTTGCTTTGTGAAAAACGAAATTGCAAATAAATAAAGCAATTACATGAGCAAAGAAAATAATTACTAAATATCGTTTAATTTGCGAAAAATAATATAAGGAAGTTTACAGTCGTCAGCATTAGAATATATTTACATTACTAAACCATTGTCTGTTGTTTTCTTATGTCTTGTGTCTAAACTAACCAACTTTCATTTGAAAATTTTTTTTTTTGTGCAACGAGTGTGCTGAAAGCCACTTCATTAACAGTAATTTGTATGAATACCATTGCTAGTCCTTATGCCTGGAAAGAAGACAATAGCTATTCTGTTAATGCTCAACATACATATCATTTGTTGCAACTTGGTTGTAAATTCAGCAACTTTTGCGTTACGACATGTGGAGCCTTTGTGAATATACTCTTATTGTATTTTTTACTAACTAACAAGTATAAGCCTTTGCGGAACTATCAACGAATGTTGTTGATAAGCTCTGCGTGTGACATCAATTTGTGGCTTTCGGAATGTTTTACTCAGATTGTAAGTAATACTAACCGCCTGTAATGAGCTAAAAAACTTCTATAAATAAAATTTTGTGTAATATAACTTTTTACGTTGTTTTGGAGTCTATGTAAGCTTAAAAAAAGCCCACTAGAGTCTGCTAGGCCTCTTTTAAATTTTTCAGGGGTTGGCTCGGTCCTGAACATGTAGGCTGTAAGCGCTAAGAGCCTGACGCAAACGAAAGTTCCAGAAACCAGCTTAAGTCTTGCAGCAAAAAAAATTAAATTGTAAAAAGAGCCGGACCAAAGCAAATTAGTAGAAAACCTGGCCGGGCTATCGCCCGTAGATCAAAGGTCGCGAGCTTAAGCCAAAGCCAGGCTCAAAAGCTTGGCCAAGAAAATAAGACCAGCCTTTTACAGGCCTAAGTATGGGTATATTATTCGGCTATAAACTTTTAATCTTTCTTTTTAAATTCCTTTTTAAGGAAGGCTACATAAATGATGGTGTACTGTTTGTGTGGTTTCAAGGAGATGCAAAATATTTGTCTTACAACAAACAAGTGGCTTATGTTGGCTACTTTGGAGTGTCTTTATTTGCTGTTATTGCTATTCAAGCCCCTAATTATGTTTACAGGTTAATCTGCGTAAATAAGTAAGCATTTTAACAACTTATTTAAGTGCATTTTTACAACTTTTTTGGGAATTCAAATTTTTAAAATGAAAAACTTTCTTTTGCTTAACGTAAAGGATTAACCTAAGATTCATTTTAAAAATATTGACTGAAATTTACAGCAGAATCGCCCCACCATTGCAACTTACCCTTTATATGTACATTGTCGCTATAGCAGCAGCAATACCACTAGGTGTATGTTCAGTTATGGCATTTATGTACAGCGGCAATATCCGGCCTGGGTTTAATTATGCTAACGTTTGGTTTAATATTAACCATTTACCGGTTCTTATGCTCGCTGATACGGTATGTCAAGAGGTTTTAAAACAAAGATTTGTAACGCATTAATATACGTTTTAATAAACGTAGAAAAATTGGCGGAAAACTTTTGCAGGCACATAATATTAGACTTAGTGTCTTCTTTTCAGCGAAGCCTGTACACAAAAGTCTTTCTTCTTTACGATGTGTTCCTTTTGATTATTGTCTACACAGCCTGCGTGTGCTTGGCTAAAAAAACCATTCAAATTTTAAAAGCTGATCAACATCTACACAGTTACCGAACCTCTCAAATGCAAAACCAGATGTCGTTGGTTATCTTCATCCAATCAGTTATACCAATCTTTATATCTGTTGGACCATGTTTTAGCCTGTCAATTCAAGCCTTGTTTCATGTTGATTTGGGTCCAATAAGCTCTTTTGCATTTTTGCTTTGTTTATGGTTACCTTTATGTAACCCTTTAGTTACATTGTTGATAATCAAGCAGTTTCGAACTAGGATAGCTCATGGCATTGGGTCTAAGCCCTCAAGGTCTATGACTTCTAGGCATTCAACCTCTTTGAGTTTTAGGCCTTCAAGGTCGGTAAGTCGTACGTTACAATTAAGCGGAGTACTATAAACAACTTTTTTGTGATAGTGTATTATTTGGAAATTATTTCTGATGCTAAGCTGTCTATAACTTAATGACTACACTTGTGTATGATAATTGACAAAAACCCCGTTAATACTGTATTTAGAAACAAGTCGGCTTTTAATGCTTATTTTTGCAAATTTCATAATAGGAATGTTGCCATACGAATCTTGCCATACGCTTATCTGTTCTAACACAAATAACATAGTTAAGAAAAAATGAACGTTGTTCATTGCGTACTACTGAATACATAATATAATATTATGGCTTGATGCATTAAGAAGACACCTTCTATATAAGTACTGAAATATGCTTGTAGAGTTGCCAGGGGCTTCAGAAGTGCTTCTATTTTACGGGTGGCTCCGATTCCGACAATAGTGCCGGAACCAAAGATAGAGTTTGAATTAGAGCCCAAACAGCTCAAAGAGTTGGAGCCAGAACCAGAATATGTGTAACTTCAGTAGTAAAGACCTACGGATTCGGCAAGGCTTCAGTTTTAATATTGGAACAAAAATCGAAATTTTAAAGTTTGGACCTTTGGTTATTTATTGATATTACAACTGCGGTTCAAGTTAGCAACTAAATTTACAGACTCAATTCTGTAACAAATTAATTAACTTAAGAACTACAGAAAATACAGAACAGATAAGTCAAGTGTCATCAATGACAACACAATTTGCAAACACGTCTTTACTAGCCTAGAGTAATACTAGGTTTTTAGGTTATGACCTTACATTTAGTTCACCACAGAATAAACTAAAAACAATAAAGATTACGTGTAATGAAGTTAACTACATCATTAGGAAAATGCTATAATACTTAGAAAAAAAGCTCTACAGTTTTTACTATTGTGTTAGGTTTATTGAGCCAGAGGTGTTGTTGAGTTTAGTTGTTAAAGCTTTTTTTGAAACTTATATGCAGTAAAATATTATATTACTGTATTTCATTTTTATTTATATACTAAAATCCTCCAGACAATATTAGTTGTAGCTAAAAATGGCTTCTGACAAGAATCCATATGCATGGAAAGTCGATAATGTTTCATCAGAAGCAGACGAACGCAATTATCGATTTTTAATAAAAACCAGCAACCTCAGTTATACTTTTATACTTGGGTCAGGTGCTGTGATCAACCTCTTGTTATTATACTTTACTATGACAAACAAGTATAAACCGCTTCATAGTTACAAGAAAATGTTGATAATTGCTTCTGTCTTTGATATAAACTTATGGATAGCCGAACTTTTGACTCAAATGGTAAGTTTTTCAATACAATAAGACAATTTTCTATGGTTTTTAGGTACAGTTTCTTACCAACTACCATTTTTTAAAACACGTTTACTTTAGACAGGATACACATCAGGCAGTGTGTTGATATTAAGTTTTGAAGGCTGGGCAAAGGACTTGCCTTACAGTCAACAATCGTTGATAGCTGCTTACTATGGCTTTTCGTTGTTTTCGGTGATTGCAATTCAAGCTAGCAACTACCTTTACAGACTTAGCTTTGTTAAGCAGTAAGTGAAAATAGTAACGTTTGGGTAATTCAGAACTTAGTAGATAGAGTATATCACAAACGCATGCATATAGTATAATCGTGTGTGATAGAGATTACACTAGAAAATAAATGTCTCGAATGCGTTGCAAACACTAAATTTAAAACTTTTTAGCCGCGTAGCCCCATCTTACAAAAAAGTTTTTATGTACTACTTTGGAGTCATCATAATGGTGGTACCGTTTTCTATTTTTGTTTATTTGTCTTTTCGATACAGTGGAAACGTTAAACCGGGCTTTAACTACGCGTCTATTTGGTTTAAAGTGGCAAATTTACCAACACTTTTAGTAGCTGATGTGGTAAGCGATTGTCACTTTTTTAGTTTCGAAAAGCCAAAACTGGGTTTTTATTGTCTTTTACCTTGGTTAAAATAGTATTGAGTTTTAAAAGAAAGAATGGTATATTAGACATTACTTACTATAATATTATACGTCCATTTGGAATGATATTATATATAATCATAAGAAAAAGAATTTAGGAAAGTATTTACACAAAGCTCTACTTTTCATACGATTGCATATTTCTCTCTGTAATATACTCAATATGCATTTATCTGGCCAAAAGGACAATCAAAATCCTCAAAAGCAGTCAACATTCGTACAGTTACCGTACTTCTCAAATGCTACAGCAAATGTCAAATGTAATTATGATACAATTGGTTATACCCGTTTTCGTATCTGTTGGCCCATGTTTTGCCATCGTATTTACTCAGTTACTAAAGGTTGATCTTGGCTTAGCCAATTCCGTCATGTTTATCATGTTTTCGTGGGCACCGGTGTGTAGCCCGCTGGCTACACTGCTTATAATCAAGCCGTTTCGAAACCGGATGAAGCGAGTTTTGTACTTGAGGATATCTGTAAACACAACAATGCCAGAAACGCAAACTATGGCCATGAGTACTACGAATATTAATTAAGGATTGAGATTTTAGAAGTGCTTTTGATTGCTATATAACTTCATTAACAAGTACAAAATCAAAACGTTATTGATTTTTTTATTATACTTTATTCATTATTTTGTATGTATATTGATATGAAAAACAAAGAGTAACTTAAAACAAGCAATTTATTTCTTTAATAAAAATCTAACTAATTAGTCAAATTTTGGTAAGATTAGTTTAGGTATTCGTCTAGTTAGTATAATTAAGCTTAACAAAAAAACATATTTTATATCCAAGCCAACAACTACATACTTACATACTTAAAAACTCATGATAGGAAGGACCGAGCGCTGGGGGGAGGGGGGGGGGGGAGGGTGGACGGACAGGGGAGAAGGGAAACTTAACCTGCAAAAAATTTTGAAGAAATTTGAACGTGATCCCACTGTGAATTTTCGGAAAAAAATTTTTGCAAGGAGTTGACACAAAAATGCCGATTTTTCGACCTCCGTCCTCAGACCAAAAGACCCCGCCCGGCCCTAATCATAGGTAAAAAATTTTAGAGCTAGGGTTAAGTGACGAGAATACCTGCGAGTCCAATAACATAACCAGGTATACAATTTACCATGCTGTTATTGTTTATAAGGACAGGGAACTGTATGATTAGGATAAACAGGATGTTTAGTGAAGCATTGCAATTAACCCAACAAAACTTTTGAAATTAGGTGTTGGCATTTATAATACACTTTAATCATCAGTAACCATTCTTTTCTATTTCGTACATCATTCTTTTTTGTTTTTGACCAGTAAAAATAATGTTATGTTTATACAATAATGAACCAGGAAATAAAACTGTTTTTTAATTAAAGGTTTTTTAATTCACAAAAGTACCCGACCTGCCCCACTCAGAATCATCATGAATTTTTTTATATCTTCTTTGTACCAACGATAGTACTTATAAAAACTTTTATCTCGCGGTTTTAAGTTTTAAAGTTTAAATATCAAAAATTCTTTTAAAAAAGAAAATTTAAAACGTATTGGCTAGAAAGAAGGGTTTACAGTGGAACTCCTGTATGACGAATCGCTCGGGGACTTGAAATTTGTTCGTTATAAAGGAGTTTCGTTATACAAGAGTTTTAAATGCACTGTGTAGTGGTAGACGGGGATTCAAAGGTTGTTCGTTATACGGGAGTTTCGTTATAGAGGAGTTCGTTATACAGGAGTTCCACTGTAGTAGCTTTATATTTACATAATCTTTCTATATAAAAAGCTTGAAGTCACTAGTCAATCAGAGCAGAACAGCTCTGGTGCTTTCCTAGTGAGTAAAACTTTATTATAAAGGATCGCTTGAAAATTTCAAATTTGTTTGTTATACAGGGGTTTTGCTACACATTAGTTGTTAGCTTACTATGCAATGTAAGCAGAGAATTTGAAAATCGTTTGTTATACCCAGTTGTGTGTTATAAAGCAGTTTTTTGTAGAGAAGTGTACGATACAAGGGTTCTATAAAGCAATAAAATGAATTTTACAAGTATTAGTAAAAACCCATATTCTTGGAATATAGAGGCCGATCTCTTAACCACAGATCAACATAAATATGACTTACTGATGAAAACAATTGACATCAGCTATTGCCTAGTGTTCGTATTTGGAGCTATTTTCAATTTACTTCTACTATACTTCATACTGTCAAACAAGTACTTGCCGTTAAATCATTTTAAGAAAATGCTGATTATTGGGTCAGTTTTTGATATCAACTTATGGCTACTTGAAGCCTTTATACAGATGGTAGCATACACATCTGATGGTGTTTTAATGCTGTGGTATCGAGGATTTGCGAAATACTTTTCTTACCAAGCACAAGTAGTGATCATAGGTTACTATGGCTTTTCTTTATATGTTATATTTGCTATTCAAGTCGGAAACTACCTTTATAGGCTTAGCATTGTCAAACAGTAAGTTTAGATTTAGAATAAGGATCCTGAGCTAGGGCTGTGAGCCAAGGCTCTGGGCTAGAATTCTGCGCTAGAACTCTGAGCCAGAACTCTAGACTTGAGTTCTAGACTAGGTCTCTGGGCTAGGGCTCTGTTCTTTTGGGCTCAAGGTTCTAAGCTATAAGCTAAGTCTTTAAAGTTAGGTCGAAAGCTAACTGATAAAGCCCAAACTTTTTCAGCCAAGTATCGCCGTCTTTAAAATATGTTACATCTATATATGTCGTAGCTGTTCTGACAGTAATACCATTTGGCATAGTTGCATTTATTGCTTATTATAATAGTGGCACTGCAAGGCCGGGCTTTAATTACGCCTCTATTTGGTTCAAAGTCAAAGATGTTCCGGATCTTCTACTTGCTGATATGGTAGGTACAGTACAATTTTAAAGCCGTTTTCGATAACAAATTAAACAAAAGTTTTTAGAAAAGCGGTTACACTCAAATCTACTTTGCCTATGGCGCATTATTCCTTACTTCTGTATACTCATCAAGCCTTTACTTGGCCCAAAAGACGATTAAAGCCCTAAAAACCTACCAACACTTGTTTAGTCATCACACGGTTCAAATGCAACAACAAATGTCAACTGTAATACTAATCCAACTGATTATGCCTATTTTTGTTTCGGTTGGACCCTGCTGTGTTATTGTATTCTCAGCTTTACTACACATTGATCTAGGTTTATCTTGTTCATTCCTTTTTATTATGGTATCATGGGTGCCAGTTTTTAGTCCGCTAGCTACACTATTGATCATTCGACCGTTTCGAAATCGTATAAAAAATGTTTTTAATTTAAAAAACGTTTTGTTATCGACTAGTGTTGGGCAAAGTACAGAACAACGTGTCTCGACTGTGACTAAATAATCTAACAACTTTATTTTTTTTAAATATTTTATTCTTTACGCAATAAATATTTGTTGTTTTACCCGGTTTTAAAATACAATATTACTCACATTGTACAGTATTCATTATAGGTAAACAGTACGTATATTGTACTCATTGTGTATAAACAGCATGATTAAATGGCTTGCTGTCCACATTAGTAATGTAATTGTAAACATATTATTAAAAAACTAAACATTTGCGTTTTTATATATATACGCAAAAACCTTCATAAAATGATGGTTTTTGAACAAGAACACTAACAGCTAAGCATACAAACTTGTAAAACCTTCTAAAATTTACTAAAAATGAAACTGTTATATGTAGTTTAACCTAGCTCTGGCCTTAGCCTTGGTCTTGGAATTGGCCTTTTTACGCTTACGAGAAGAGAGCATGACCGATTGATTTAAAACTTTTTTATATATAAAAATCTTGTAAATATATAATATTCATCAAATTAACAAATTGAGCTTTTCAGTATATCTAAAAAAACCAAAATTGAAAATTAATTTTTGAATTTCCCGCCAAATTAGGATTGTGTTTCAAGCTTATAAATTAGTAATTTTTTAAATTTTAATAGTGTTTCTTTGATATTCTAGTAGAAAACCTTTCAATGAAACTATATTTTTAAATTTGTAAGCCTATCTTGTCTAAAAAATCAACATAAGTTCTTGAAACACAATGCCAAATTTGCAAAATTGGAGGGAAACCTCAATATCTCAACCTTAAAACTAAAAAGCGCAAGCTAAAATTTTTATGAATACTATTGGTGGTACAAAGAATTTATATAAAAATTTTGAGCTGACTCTGAGAAAGTAGGTTGGGTATTTTTTGTTTGTTAGCCATAGCCATGGCTCTATATTTTTAGCGTACTTGTTAGTCTCACGTGGGAAAACACTTTAATCATAAGTTTACTTTAGGACAAAACCTATATATTCAGAAAGCTCTGTGACTACTGAGTTCAGATCTGGAAACTATTGTCCTGCGCAGCCCATAATTATGGTAAAGGTCGTATTATATTCTACTAAACAAAATAATCTATTCCAAATCAACTAAAATAATTTTAAACTACACAAAAACTGCCGAGAATCTAACCAAATAGGACCAGTGCATTCTTAAATTACAATACTATAAAAACGGTTTGTCATCTTTTTTGTAAGTAATTTGCAGAGGCGTACAAACTTAAACAAACATTAATGAGGCAGACGGTTTATAAACTGCCTACGTGACATTTTCAAATAAAAACCAAGTTCACAATGACCAAAATATAAATTCGTGTATGTTAAGCTGCTTTCGTGTTTAAAATGATCTTTGTAAGTTTTAAAAATTGATGATTAAATCACTATATAAGGACAAGCTTTTCCACTATTAACATATTCATTTTGGTTTGTCCCTCACAGTACATTATTTGTGCATCATACTCCACCTAACTTGTAATGTACTCATTTACTCTTCTATTAACCCTGCTTCTTTCTACCGTATGCGGTACTATTAGCACTTCAACAGCTAAGCCACGCACTTTCTATAGCATTGACCTAAACTACCGTAATGGCAACTACACTACTACTGTGGGTGTAGGAACTCCAAAGCAAGAAATTGAAGCCATCTTCTCGACTACAACAAGATACGCGATATTGCCCATTGTCGGTTGTGTTAACAACAAGTTTGACAATTGTAAAACCAACAAAAATCTGTTTGACACTACAAAATCGACCAGTTTCAAATCTACCAAAAGCCGGTTTAGTAACAATTTTAGCGGAGTTATAGTGAATGGAACTTATGCTGATGATATCTTTGAGGTAATTTAGACTGCGCTGTTTTAAAGCCATATCCCTAGCCAACTGTCTAAAGTTTAGGCTTAACCACAGCTTTAGTCCAAGCCTTGGTTAATCTCAGCTCTAGCTTTAACCCTAGCCTAGCCGCAGCTTGAGCCCTAGCTTTAATTTTAGTCTTAATCTTAGCCTTAAACTTAGCCTGAGTTTAAGTCTAAGCCTTTGCTCCAAACATAGTCTTAGCTTTAGCCTTATTTGTAGCCTTAGTCCTAACCCTAGTCTCAGTTCTAGTCCTAGCTCTACCTTTAGCCTTAACTGCAACATAAGCTTCAATATTAGGCTAGCCTTCGCATTAGCTTGCGTTTAAATTTTGCCTTAGAATTGAATCGAACTTCAGCTTTAGCCCTAGCGGTACTACTGTAAAAAAACAGGTGTACGGCTAAGGCTAAAAATTTTTTTCTCCACCGCCAGACTAAAATAGCCAAATATTTTTAATCGGTCACCAATTTTAAAACTTTTAGTTAAACTACTCCAACACTCCACCCACCAACCCGGCCCGTCCTCTTCACTTCAAAACTGCCTCTTTCACAAACGTTGCTCAAGGCATTCTGGCCTTACCGTCACTAGCCAAAGAAAAGTACATAGAACAATCGTCGTTAGTCCACAATGTCATCAATGGATCGAGTGCTGAAGCCTTATTCACTGTTTTTATGAAGAAATGTGACAAAACAGAATGTGAGAAAAGTGGCAGAGTTACCATCGGCTACAAAGACACCGAGAACTGCCAAGATCCAATCACATGGTACAAGATGGGTCCAAATGCTAGATGGACGTGGAAGCTCTCGTCAGCGGCTGTAAAGGTCAATGGTGACGTTATTAAACAGGACGTTACTACTGCGTTCGATATTATGTTAGATGTGATTGAGCTGCCTGAACGGGTCTTGAAGCTATTTCTGAACAAAATTGAATATGGCGTGAGTGATGTAAGTTGCATATTTACCCTACCGTACCCTGCCGTACCCTTCCCTACCTTACCCTACGCTACCCTACCCTACCCTACCCTACCCTACCCTACCCTACCCTACCCTACCCTACCCTCCCTACCCTACCCTACCCTACCCTACCCTACCCTACTCTACCCTACCCTACCCTTCCCTTCCCTTCCCTTCCCTTCCCTTCCCTTCCCTACCCTACCATTCCTTACTCTGCCCTACCCTAATATATCTACCTATCTCGTTTAAAATCATTTTCAAAATTTCAGGACGGCTACACCGTGCCATGTGACACAAAAATCGATTTGGCAATTCAATTCAAAAACCAATCATATGCCATTCCTCAAGAAAAATTGGTCAAGAACGAAGACGGTACATGCAAGTTATTGGTGAGAAAAGCTGATGGACACATAATTAAGCTTGGCCAGCCTTGGGCCGTGTCTTATTGCCAGATTTTCGACATCAAAGGCCGTGACTATGGAATTAGTGCTGTCAAGGCTGTAAGTGATGACAGTAATGGAAGTGGCAACAATGAACCTGAGAATGTCACTGATGAACCAGAGAAAGATGATGAAGAAGACGACAACAATGATGACAAGCCAAGTGGAATCAATCCAAATGGAAAAAACTTGGACGATATGGGATTTTAAAATGACCTTTTCCCCAACGTTTTATATATTCGGCCGAATATTTTTTCCAAGTTTTGTTAAAGTGCAATAAATCATAGTTTAGAAAGAATTTTTTGTTGTTTTTCTTATAAAATGGACACGGTAATTATAAAAATAGCATAACTAGTGACTGCAAAAAAAAGATAAGAAAAATACAAAAAAAGAATAAGAAAAAAAAGCAATAAATGAAAAAATAAGAAAATTAGCAGTAGAAGAAGACAAAGTTCAAGAAGAAGCAGACGAGCACAACGAAACGGTGGAAGAAAAACAGTAGAAAAAAAACAATATAAAAAAGCAGTAAAACAAGAAGAAGTAATAGAAGCTGAAACAGTAAAAAAAAGAAGCAAAAGAAGCAGTAGAAGAAGACGCAATATAAAAAGAAGCAGTAAAACAAAAAGAAATAATAAGTAAAACAGTAAAAAAAAAAGCATAAGAAGAAGAAACGATGAAATAAAAGGCAATAGAAGAAGAATAAACAGTTGAAGAGGAATAAACAGCAGAAGAAGAAGAATAAGTAAAAAAATAAACAGTAAAAGAAGAAAAAGCGGTAGAAGAGAAAGAGGAAGTAAAGAAAAAGCAGTAAAAAAGAAAGAAGCAACGAAGAAGGAAATGACATATACAAGAATGATAATAATAATGACGATAAGCCTACTATATGGTTCAAAACCAAAATTAATCAAATCCTTCCAATATCACAAGAAATCTTTACTTTATCACAACATAAAATCAATATGATTCCAACTAACTAAAACAAAATCTCATACAAAGTATAACTTAAAATTACTTATTAGCCATGAAGTGCTCAATCTCTTCGATGGTACGAGGTACTTGGTTCATGCATTCGTTTCCTTTAGACCAAATGACAACGTCATCTTCGATTCGAACTCCACCAAATCCACGATATTCGTTTAGCTTTTCAACATTGAAGTAGTGTTTGATTTCTGGGTTTTCCAAGGCTCGGTCCAGAAGCTGAAATACGGTAAAATAGTTTTTTTTGCAAAAAAACAGAAAATTTTTAAAATAGTGTTTACAAAGCTAAAAATAGCAAAAACTTTGTTTACAAAACAAAAAATGACAAGAACTTTCTTTACAAAACCAAAAATGGCAAGAACTTTCTTTACAAAACAAAAATGCCAAAAAAAACCTTACCGTATCAATGAAATAGCATCCCGGCTCAATAGTAACCACCATTCTTTCCTGCAAAACCCTGGTAGTTCTCAATGACTTCAATCCAGGCATGGTTGACCTCGGCAAAGCATCGCCCAGATATCCACCACAATCGTGAACGTCCAGGCCCAAAAAGTGGCCAAGACCGTGAGGTTGGAAGACGGCTCCAACTCTTTTTTCGACCATTTCTTCCACGTTTCCTGTCAAAATTCCGGCTTTTACCAAGTGTTCTAGAGTCACCTTTTCAGCCAGAATATGCATATCAGTCCAGCGAACACCGGGCTTGGCTTGCTCGAAGACTGCGCATCGTGCTGCCCATACAGCGTTGTAGATGACTTTTTGTTTGTCCGTGAATTTGCCGTTAGCTGGGAAGGAGCAGGTCACGTCGGAGGCTGAAAATTAAGATTTTTTTGTTAAACATAGAAGAAAAATGAAAAAATAGCAATAACTTTCTTTCCAAAACAAAAAATGACAAAACCTTCCTTTCCAAAACAAAAAATGACAAAAACTTTCTTTCCAAAATAAAAAAATAGCAAAAACTTTCTTTACGAAGCCTAAGATGTTAAAATTCATACCATAACAATTGTATTCCGGGCCCATGTCGAACAAGCACATGTCACCGTCTTGAATGTGACGATCGTTCGGAGCTCCAGCGTGTCCATAATGCAAAATAGCACCGTTGCAGCCACTAAAATGGCAATTTTAAAATATATTTTTAAAAATTAAATGTCAAATAAAATTTTTTTACATAAACAGAAAGAACTTTCTTTACGAAACAAAAACCGCAAAAACTTTTCTTCCACTTCAAAAACGCCATTTCAAACCGGATACCCCAAAAAATAGAAAAACTTTAAAAAACCACACCTTCCAGCAATGCAAGTATAAGCGATATGTCTACATCCGCCAGTGTAGTATGATATGTGTTTAAACAAACTCTCTAGTTGATATTCGAACATGTTCGGTTTGATGTGTCTCATCACTTCTTTGTGGGCTTCCGATGCAATCTTGGCCGCGTAGCGAAGAACTTCAATTTCTTTATCAGTTTTGATTACACGAAGTTCCGCAATCACCGGATACAAAGTTTCTTCGTCGATTTTAAAATCGGATTTGCCTTCAAATTTGGCTGGTTCCAGGGTTTTTCCACTGTCAGTGTTGGGGGCTTTCTGGAAGTAAAAAGAAGAGTTAAGTAAGATAAGGTGGGTAAGGTAGATTTGAGTAAAGAAAGGATGGGGTAAAGTAGGGTAATGGAGAGTAGGGTAGAGTAAAACAGGGTAAAGTAGGATAGAACTGGGTAGAGAAGGGTAGAGTAGAGTAAACAAATAAGGTAGGAAAGAGTATGATAGACCAGGATAAGAGAAAGCTGTTCTAGAAATGCCAAACCAAAATTCTTACCAGTAATAACAAGTTGGTGATTCCATTCTTCTTCAAATAGTCAGAGATGACAGTGTTTTCATGGAAGACCACATCGTCGACTTCGTACTTTTCCGTAAACCAGTTTTCTGGCTTGATACTGAAATTTTTTTTTAAATCAGAGATAGTATACCCGTTGATTTTAAAAAATTCAATCTTCAATCTCAAAAATTGCAAAAAACTTTCTTTACGATACAAAAAAACGACAAGAACTTTCTTTACAAAAAAAAATGGCAAGTACTTTCTTTACTAAAGACTTATATTGAAAGCTTTTTAAACCGCCTTTCATAACCCCTATTAAGAAGTACCTTTGTAGTGTGACACTCCGGTTATTACATGTATCATACTAAAAAAGTTTGACTGTATACCTAAAAACCAAAACTCAAACTCCAAAACCCTTACCATCCTTGCCAAATCGCGTAATCCGGATGCAATTTCGGCGGGAAAAGAGTACTCTTGCCCGACTTCAAATCAACCAATCCGTAGCATTCGCTTTCGTGAACTCCAAAAGCCCAGAAAAAGTAGGATTCTTGTCGGAATGCCAACTCTTCAGCATCCGTATTGTAGCGAGTCTTTTCTTCTCCGCCTTGCAGAAGAACGGCCGTATTGTCAGGAACTTTGCCTTTCAGCGCTTCGACCAGTCGCTTTCTGTTGTCGGCAAAGAGAGAGGCCGAAACTTTCAGGGTTTGGTTGCCACGCCAGAAGGACATTTTTCTAAAATTTTATTTCAGAAATAGGTAATAAACTTAAAAATTTTTATCCTCGATGTATTTTAACAAATCATTATATGTTTTAAAAGGTCAATATATTGTAGTACGTAAAAAAATTCCTCCCGGTGAACCTACTATAATATAATTATCAACCTTCAAACACCCTGCTACAATACATATAGCTATTATTTTTCCACAGTAACCTACAACAATAAACTATCCTCTCCTCTCAAAAAATCTACTACAATATAACAAAAAACCAAAAATTTAAGTCCTTATCAGTAAAAAATCACAGATAATTTCCAAAAAATAAAAAGAGAAAAAGAAGTAATGATTGTTTGATAACCTTTCGAGAACAAAGATTACTCTCAGCCACATCAATATTGCAACACTTTTATTTTGAACTGACATTAATAGCAATGAAAAGGAGAAAAACTTATCATAATATCAACTATAGGTCACTTTAGTTGCAACTGCAATGTTTATCACTGTCTACTATAAGATAATACAATCGAAAAAGCTACTATAATATAAAATGAATCTTGAAAAACCATTTTAAAAGTAGTTATTGTTCTCGGTTTTGAATGTCTTGATATCGTGCTAGCGTCGATTGTTTTACTCGTTCCTTCCATGTCAAGCCGGCTATTTTGGAGCCGGCTGCCCCTAAGCCCACGCCTTGAACTCGTTGTTCTGCCGCTATTGGGTTTACTATGCCTGTAATAACGTTGTTATAGTTGTTAGGACAAGAACTTTCTTTACAAGACACGAAATAACAAAAACTTTCTTTACAAACCAAAAATAGCAAGATTTCTTTAAAAATCAGCAAAAACTTTTTTTACAAAACTTAAAATGACATAAACTTTCTTTACGAAACAAAAAATAGCAAAAACTTTGTTTCCAAGATCCAAAAAAACAATATTTACCCTGTTGTTGCCTTCCCAGTCCAGTGCCTTCTTGCCATCCCATGTTTTTAAGCAACTTGTTGCCAATGTTGCTGTGATCAAGCGGTCGTATCGCTTTTTGAGCCGCTTCTTCCGCAATATTCACGTCAGATTGTTGACCAACCAGCTCGTCTAGACCTGAAAAATATTATAATGATCAAGAAGCGGCATTCGTGTTTTACATCAGAGCGTACAATATAAAAAATATAAATCGATATAATTGCCTTACCCGGATCAATTCCGTAGAGTTGTCGCCGTTCTTTGGCACGGTCTCGGTACGACGAAGCAGATGGAGCTTCGACGTCTATGCTGAAGCCGGTACTGCTAGCGCTGATCGCCGGTTTTATGCCCATTTCTTTCATTTTGTTTTGGACATTGGTCTGTAATCAAATAGAGGTTAAAATGACACATAGATCACCCATGTCAACACCAAAAAAATTTTTTAACTCAAAATTTGCAAAACATTTTTTACTCGCCCATACCTGCTTATCAGGGACGTCGTTACCTGGGGGTCCAAAAAATTTTTTCGACCTCCCCGCCCCAGAGAAAATTCGTAGCGACGTCCCCCTACTTATCATAAAAAAATGCGCCACCCAAAACTAGTGAACATGTCAGTTATTTATAATTTTTTTTGTAAAATACGATGAGAACATTTTAAATTCATCTACCATAAACAATAATAACACCCCTCACCTTATGCAAATCGCTCTTCTGACAATGCTTGTCCAGCACATCGAGACTTTTAAACTGGCGCTGGCAGAGAAGGCAGGCGATCAGACTCCGGTCCAAAAAGTCGTTTATGTCAAACTTTTGGGTTGGGTTTTGGTCTGGAATAAAGGCAAGTTCAGTTTCGTGATACGATTACAGGCATAAGATGATTAATCGTGAAAAACTTGTTATAGGTATTCAACGAAACTTCGACGACTTCAACTTTATAGCTTCGGCCAATGTAGCCAAGTCTTGTGAAAAATATGAGAAGATGGCTTAATTAAGCCATTGTTATCTCAATTCGACCACATTAGGCAAGTCATATCGAGCGCACTAAGCAAGTCATATCGATATATCGACCCGTAAAGGCAAGACCACAAATTTTAAGCTGCTTGAGCTAAAGTGATACCATTTCGAGAATAGGAGTTCGCAATCTGCTCCAGTTGTTCATCTTCCTCATCGTCTTCTGCTTCCCAAGCCTTCTGTAATTAATTCAAATTTAGGTTTTTCGCTTCGGTTTTGCCGAGACCTTTAGAAGCGTTTTCTCATTTTTTACTAGGACGGATAAATCAAAAAATTTTTTTTTGAAAAAATAACTTTTCAAACCTTTTAAAATTTTCAAATCTACAAAAAACTAATCAGTAAGCCATCTTAGAGCCCAAATAATAGCTTTATATTTACCTTGTAAACATTTTTAAAACAGCAGTTATAGTCCCATAGACCTCTACTACAACATAAATTTACTTTTCCCCAAAAGCTTAGCCCCGTAAAACAAAAAAAATAATTTTAAAAAAATTTACAACTCTATTTGAAATTTTTCGCATTTAAAAAAATTGTACTGCCAAAAAATTTTTTCCCGTAACATCCATTCTCTTATTTTACCACGCCCGTTATTGTCGACTCTTCTCCCCTAACTCACAGCTGACTGGACTGGTTGTCGTTCGTCAGTGTCCTTGTTGAACGACAACTTGACCTTCTCTTGTCGCTTCGCCCATTGATTCATTTCTCTTTGAATATCTTTCGCTGTCTTTGGCTAGAATTTCGAATTTTTATTATTTTTGTTATAATGAGGAGTACCATTTAGACCATTCAGTTTGAATTCGCTTTAAAAACTTGTCAAACAAGCCCCCCCCCCCCTCCTCATATTATTCATATGCTGCTCTGAAATTGGAACCGGCTTATAAACCCTTGAGAACTCTGACAACTAAACATCATATAATATTATAAGCCATCTCATACTCAACATCAAAGACAATAAATGCCAGTAAATCAGGTAAGTTAATAAGGATATTATTCCAGCTATCCATCTTACCTTATTTGCATCAACCACTTCTTCTTCTTTCGGTTTTTTCTCCTTTTTCTTCTTTTTCTTATCCGGTTCCGAAGTCGTGACTGTAGCCGCCTCAGGGTTCTGAAAATCATAAAAATTTAGTGATTTCCCTTTATCAAAGCAATATTCGTCAACTTTTGAATACTTTAAAACCTTTATAAAGCATAATTCATAATAATCTACATCATAATTTTAAAATAGTTTTTTGTAACACGCCATGTCTTTTAAAACGACTTTAGTTTCAATTATAAAACTTTTCGGCTTAAAACCATATGTAGTAAATATAATACCTACTAAATGATTCATAAAATATTGTGAGTCTTCAATTTATAATTCAAAATTTAAAACAAATACCTTATTCAAAACATCCAAAAACAAGAAAAAGATTCAAATGTTTATATTAGCTTTAAAAAAATTAAAAATAATTAGTAAGACACAAAAAATAATAGTTTTTAAATTCAAAACGGTTATATTACATAATAAAAGCTTTAAACTACTTAACAAAGTTAGAGAGTTACATTACACACGTTAGAAATCTTAGAGCTTTTGCTTAAGCATTATTCTTTTCTCCAAATCTTCTTAAAACTGGATCTCCTTCGCCTTCTTTTCTAAAGATCCTGAGATTATCTTCAAATTGATGCCAGTATTCACCAACAGTTTTGTATTCTGGTTCCGGTTCATCAGCTTGTTGTTCCATTTCAACCAAACCTGATCGTTCGTGTTCATTTCCGTAGTTTACATCACTTTTAGGCTGTAAATCAGCTAAATCTATCCAGCCATCTTCTTCGTCATCTGATACATTGAATTCTGAATTATTTTCGTCTTCTTCTAGTTCTAGGACAGGCGTTTTGTCATATTCTTTAAACGAAAATTGATTTTTAGTAGTATTAAAAGGTGATTCTAATAATTGGCTTCTAGTACTATTGATCGATGCTTCTACTCCGTGGCTTCTTGTGCTATTACAAGATGAATGTAAACCGTGACTTCTAGTAGTAATAGCGCTTGATCTAGCAATACAACTCCTCATAGGAAATACAGTTGATTCAAAAGCATCACTTTTCGCATTATCATCCATCGATTCACTACCAAGACCTTTAGTAACATCTTCTCCCAAACCATTCCCAGTGTTCATCATAACAAGACAACACCCGCCAGTAGTGTCATTCTTCGTTTCTTCAAAAGTTCCACAACCTTTTTGGCTCACTACCTCTTCAACATTAGTTTCATTATTAATCTTATCTTCGATGGCATGAACAGATTCATCTGATTCCTCCATTAGCCATGACATAAGTCGTTTTCTTTGTTCCAAGTCTTGTGTATTCGGAGTTTCCGAAATTTTAGAAGTCTGATCGAACGTTCCACATCCAAGAGCTGTTACAGATGCTTCTTGAGGCTTATCTGAAGTTTCATTAAAAACTTTTTTCTTCATATTATGGTTATTCTCATCAGTCTTAACATTGCTTTGAATATTCTCGTTGCTCTTCCCCTTATTAGTATTAGTTTTATCATCAAGTAAATTTAATTCCTGACCCATTCTTTTGATATAAACTACTTGAATATCATCATCATCCTCTTCATTTTCTTTTTCTTCACTTCTTCTTATATCACCAGTTAGTGCACATGGCTTTTTGAGCAAAATTCGTGGTAAAATGCCATTTCGCCGGTACAGTGAGTAATCCTTCGTGTTGGGAATGTAATATCCACCAATCTTCTTGACTGTAACTGAAGGTCTGATTATCACAGGAAAAGCTTTTGATGCCAGCATTGTTAGATTCTGAGCTTTGTTAATTTTGATTATTCCTCGCCTTCTAGAGAATTCTTTTACTAGAAACCTTGTTCCATCCAAACGGGTGCCTGAATTTTGAAGTCCATCTGAATTCCTACTACAAGATCCACCAGAAACCTCAAATTCATTTCTCATCGACTCTTGACCAGAATCCTCAAAACTCTTCGCTCTTCCAGAACCAGTAAGCTCACTTCTATTTGTATTCATATTCTTATCTTCATTTGAATCGCTTTGACTTCCAACAATTTTGATATTAGTCATTATTCCACTGGTGCAATCGCCAATTTGGTTGGTTTTGCTTTGAACAAAGTGCCTTGTGATAGACTGACAAGTTATGGGTGTGTGTTCAGGTGAAGACATAAAATATCGTGGTGTTTTTAGGAAAGAATCCTCCAGTATTTGAATGTCATCGTCCTGAAATCGAGCAAGACGATGGAAAAATAGACACAATAGTGAAGTTTTATCCATATTTTAAGAGTTGCTGTAAAAAAACATCGTGTTTATCATGTAAAACATAAAAAAAGCTATTTAACCCATACAAAAAGCAGGTATATTAGATCGTTTTTGGACCAAAAACTTCACTGCAAACACAAAACCTACAAACACGAACAATAATTTTTATTTTTTTCAACTGTTTTTACCTAAAAATTTTTCTTTTTTATTTTACACTGAAACTTTAAAAATTTCAAGCCATTTTAAACCTAGAACACTATTTTCTATAACCTAACACAACATTTTCAACTAAAAATCATAAAAAATCTCTCTTACCTCTACAGCCGCTTCCTTTTCCTTCAAAGTCTTTTCATTCTGTTGCAATCTTTCTCTCGCTTCCATGTTATCTCCATTACAAGGTATGAACGTAGAAAACTCGGTTGTCCAAAAGCACCATTGACAAGTCACCGGATCATAATAGTAATCTGTTTTTGGGTCATAATAGAAGCCAGTATTCGGTTCGTAAAAGTAGCCTGTAGTCGGTTCTAGTTGGAACACTCGGCTGTCTGGTTTGGCTGAAATAGTATTGGTTGCATCATTAAAGGCTTGAAATTTTAATTTTATTTCAACAACAAAGCTCTTTTCTTCTCATTATTTCAAAAAAAAAACAAAACCTAAAAAAATTATAAAAAATCAAAAACTCAGCCAAAAAAACCTACGGTAAATAGGAAAAACTCCGACAGGCGTGGATATTGTCTGACGATCACTTGGGTTTGGTGCTCGCCCCATTTTCGACATTTGAATCGCATTGTAGGCTAACATAGCAGCCGAGTTCGTCGGATCTTTCTGAACCTGTGACGTTGACACTCCTGTTTGACTTTTTATCGCTTCGACTGAGTCGGCCATCAAAACTTTGTTCAGTGATACTCGAGAGTACGATACTATTACTAAAAATAATTTTTCATAATACAAACGTTCTTCTCAATATTTTCAATTTTTTATACAATTTCGATAAAAATAATACCTAATAAAAAACAGTTTTAAGCCTAGCTTCCATTTAAAAAAACCGAAAATTTAAAAAAATTGAATTTGATGCCTAAACAAACGTTTTTTCTTTCTAAATATCGAAAAAGTCCTTACCAACACAATTGTTAATTTGAGGTACCACTCGGTTAAAAGCTTGCAGGAAGTAGCTAGCTTCTTCTATTGATCTCATTTGCATCAGACAGTACCGTTTCGATGATCCCACATGTACTCTTTGAATTGGAATGGTTGAATAAAATCCAAACGCTTGAATAATCGACAGTTCGTTAGCCGATGTTGGTAGTTCTCGTACTAGTAAGGCTAAAAATAATCATTTTAAGTCGTTTTTGTACCTAAAAATTTAAAATTCATATGATATACATCTAAAAAGCATCAAGATTATTCTTAAACATCAAATTTTGTAATACTATATAACTTCTTTTTTCATAATCTTAACCAAAATATTAAAGCACTTACTGTCACAAGGCTCACTGCCGACCAAACTGTAGCCTTTGGCTTCAAGCTCATCTGAATCCCGTTTGTTTATCCCGCATTTAAAGCAATTTTCACGTCGATTAAAGTTGTTAATGCCACACTTTGAGCAGTTCCAATCAGCCGGACCTCCTGCACTTGAACCGGCAGATCTTGACGTTTCAGGAACTTGACCACCTTGAGGTTCACGAGCGTATTCCAGACGGCAGTTGAAGTTGTTTGGGAATTTGAGGAAGCCCTAAATAAGAAAGGTAATGTTGAACCATATTTTATAATTTACTTTTTTCCCGCTAGTTTTAATTAAACATAACCTCATATAAACCTACATTATTATATTTGATGTACTCTCTAGCCTGATCGACTGTTTCGAACTCAATAAAGCCGAAAGATCTTGTGCCATTACCAGAATTCTTGTGAATGATCCTAACATCAATTGGAGAGAAGCCTTGTTGGCTGATGATTATGTTCATTTCGTCTCTATCAAAACCTTCTGGCACTGCTGTCAACATAATTTTGTTCGTTGCATTTGTGTCGCGGTTGTCTCGTCGAGGCTGTAATATTATTGTTTAAAACTGCAATTTAAACTGCGCTATTTAGACAATAAATCATCATTTTGGTCCACAAATTTAATTTCTTTAACCATCTTTGTTAAAATCAAGTCTCATTTGTTCATTCAATACCTAAAAACCAAAAAAAATTTTTATAATTACCGGAGATCTGCTACGTCTTGGTGAAGATCGTCTATAACTTCTTTCTCTACTGCCTCTTCTTTTCCATGAATCACGATCGTCTCGTCTAGACGGTGGAGAATCTCGGTAGTCTCTGTCACGATCATCACGACGACTACGACCTTCATTATAGTCGTTTCTCCTCCTAAACATAAAGGTTATTATAATACAATTCAATATCTTATTTTTGGATAGTTTTTCATTTTATTTTTTAAAACCAAATTTTTAATCATTAACTGACAAAGAAAATAGAATACTTACCAATCTCGATCAGTATCATCATAATGTGAACTTCGAGAGCCTACAGAACCTTCGTTTGAACGCCTAAAACAATATATTTAAAAATAAATATTGTGCCATTTTAAATACAAATCTCGCCTTTATCTGATCCATACACTAAGCTATAAGCCCTTTAATCCATTGAATTACCTAAACTTAAAAACAATATCACCAAAAATCTTACCAATCACGATCTCTGTCGTCATATCTTTGTGAACTCCTATCCTTCTCATCATATCGTTGCTGTGATTGCGCATTCCTGTCTCTATCATCATATCTCTGCTGTTGTTGATCACCTCGGTCTCTTTCTCCATAACGTTGTTGAATATTCCTATCCTGATTGTTGTACCTCTGTTGCGTATTCTGATCCCCAGCATCAAACCTTTCATTTTGTTGACCATAACTTCCTCGCCAATCTTGGCCATTGAAACTGTTGTCTTGACGTTGGTTCGACGAAAACGGATCTTGACGCCTAAATAAAGATTGGTTGATGATAATATGTTTTTCATAAAGAATAACAAACCATTCAAAGCAAGAAAACAACAACACATTCCAAACGCCGCACAATTTGTTTTACTGTCTATGCAAAAGTTTCAACATCAAAAAACTTTAAACAAATCTCAAAATGTAACTTAAACACCAACAAAACCAAAAGAATGAACATTCACAACACGCTCAACCTTTTACCTACCAACTGCCTTCAGGATAAACAGGAAACTGTCCAAACTCTCCGCGCATATTCGGACCTTCCTGAGATCGCCTAAATCAATAACAATATACAAAACAGTCAAAACTTACCAATGATTCTGATTTGAAGCGGAATGTTGTTGTTGATCAAATGAACGATCACCATAACTACGATTATTCCCATTACTTGGGTATACGTTGTTGAAATAACCCGACATTGCTTTTGTTCAATCTCACATTCGTCTTGAAAACTTAAAAATCTGAAAATATTTTAATTGAAAAACGTTGACGAAAGTTAAAATATTAAAGTAAACAATCCAATTCATTTCATGATAACAAATTTTTATTTACATGCCTTGTTTATTACAAGAAACAGGGAAAAGCCATAGAATTTGCCGAAATATTCTAGCGCAAAGAGAAGGCCAAGCTGTTTTTCGAATTTATTTTCGTTGTGGGACGTACAAATATTATTATGCGCGTAAAATTTTAATAAAAAAATAAAAATTTAGCTGTTCGTTGTCAAGTTTATTTAACTTCACAAAGTTTACAGGGATGGCAAGCGCTGTTATGAACCCCGTAGGCGAGGAAAAGATGGAGGAACAACCTCAAGAGGTACGTGTTCTAGGTTATTACCTTATTGTTTTTAGAGGATGTACGTTTTATTTTTTCTAACGTTTATTTTAAAAATTGGAAGAAGTGTCTTTGCTGCGTATTAAGTTAGAAAATTTTATATTGACAAAACTATGTTTTAGACGTTAGCTTCGCTAAATCAACCAAAAACAGATGAAGAAAAAGAAATTTTTGATCAATGTTTGGAATACTTAGAAAACATGCTACAATATGATGTACAGAAGTATGTGCCGGGTGAAGATCATTATTTTAGAAACAGGGCAGCTTATGCAGTCTATGGCAAGAACTATACCAAAAGTCCGGCTAAATTCATCTGTTTTACTTTGCCAAACTGCAAAAATGGATCGTATGTTTTTTCTTCATTGTGTGTTTTTGTTTTTAGAGTGTCTGTGTTGGTTATATTGAATTTTAAATTTAGTAAACTTGTTAAAGACAATAAAGAGGAATACAAAGGGTAACATTGATCTAAAATAATAAATTTGGGCTTTAGAGAGCGTTACGTCTCCGTAGCAAAGCACGATCACGCTATAGTGCTAGGAAGTTTATGTAGATCAAAAGGAGATGCTAAATATACGGCAATTGAATCATTTTTGAGGTTTAATGGCTATGCATATGCTCTTGAGGAAAGGAAGATCAAGGAGACGATCTTAGCTGGTGGAACTCCTGCAAAACGAGCTCATGACGAAGGGATTGAACAGGTAACGGTGAATGTATGTAAATCTTTCTGTGTACGTAATTAGCTGTACTGTAGACTTTGTGGTCATTAACATGTTTTTCCATTTTTTTTGTTCTTTATATTTTTATAGTTTATTTTTAAAAAATGTGTATTTTGATATTATTTTTCAGACTTTCGATACCTAGTTTTAAAAAAAATTTTAATTATTATTATTTTTAGCCAGCAGCAAAGAAGTCTGACGTAAATCCGGTTGAATTCGATTCAAATGAACAACTTTCTGCTGGAACTCAACATTATCTGATAACAAAGCCAAAGAATCCTTCGTGTTTGGTCAATGAATTCTTGGCTAGTAATGGTCACAAAGCAGCTCAGTATAATGTGGAACTTGTTGAGTAAGTCAAAATTTTATTGTTTTTTTATTTTTAGGTAATAAATTTGATAAAAATTTAGCTTCTGGAACACAAAAATGTTCTCCTTGGTTCATAATGGTATTTGAGATGTGTTAGTTAGATCTATATTTATATTTTAGAGGCGGATTCAAAGCCGAATGCACAGCCAAAGACTACAGCGTTTTTTGGAGTTGTGGCGAGAAGCAAGCAGTTAGCGAAACATTCGGCCGCTCGAAAGATGCTTGATCATTTAATAAGAAACCAAGAGATCCCAACTCCAAAAGAACTACCTTTCTATCATGATCAACTTACGCAGCCAAAAACTTTTGAACAATTTGTAAGGTATGCTTGTTTTGAAGCTCTGGCTGGGGCTATGGAGAAGAACAAGTTGGCCTTGTTGTCAGATACTCATTTAGCTGGCTGTGTTATGGTAGATGGAGCGAAGAGAGAAGCTCAATTGATCTCAATGTGTACTGGAAGCTATGCCGGACCTCAGATTTATAACAATGGAGAGGATGTGAGGGATTGTGATGCTTTAGTGCTTTGTAAAAGAGGTCTTCAGAAGTAGGTTTTTTTGGGTTTGAAAAGTTTTTTTTGGACTTTAAAATTTTTAATTTTATTGTTTTGGATCGTGTTTTACATAAGAAATCTTTTCAGATTTTTAATGAAAGAAGTCTGTGTGTTTTACACAAAAGAATCAGCTTCAATCTTTTATCAACAACAAGAATCAGGCAAACTGGCTTTAAGACTAAACATCTCTTTCCACATGTACACCAACTACAACCCTCTACCATCCGAACAAAGCATATCGTTAAGAACGAAACGAACAGTAGGAGCAAACAAATTTGCACCAAGAAAGTTTGTGCCATTGTCAATGGTCACAGCTGATAAGATGTTGAAGTGGAATGTGATGGGAGTTCAAGGAGCCATCTTGTCACAATCAATGGATCCAGTCTTTATCAGCAGTTTCATTATCAATGCAAGGGCGGATCACGATGAGCTTTATAAAATGATTTGTGGAAGATATCCGTCCAAGAATGTTGAGGATAGAAGGATTATCTGTCCTAAAATTGTGGTTATGCAGCCGGTAAGTATTTTAGAGGGTTGATTTTCTCAATTTTGAAGCAAAATGGGACCATTAAAGCAAATGGTACTGTTCTTAAGCAAAATGGGCTCATTAGGCCAAATGGTATTGATTTGAGCAATTTGGGTCTACGACATTTTTCGAAAATTAAAGACTATTCTTATATAAAATTAAGCAGTTTATAACATTTTTAAACTAATGTTTTAGCAAGCTCCATATACTTTGGATATTGAACCATATTCACCTGGAGAACGGTACGCTGTAATGTGGAACATCACAAATCCAGAAGACATTGAATTGGTGTCTTGTACATCAGGTTACTGTTGGGATGGGTAAGATAATAAAATCATTGTTAGACGGGTAATTTTGGAATGGGCAGGGTAAAAATAATTTTTTATGGTTTAGGGGGTGGTTTTATTTCAATGTTTTTTACATTGTGTTTCATAATTTGTTGAGTTATTTTACTTTTTCTGTTAAAAAATGATTTTTTACTATTTATATTGCTGTAGAAATTTATATATTGTTATAGAACCCCATCAAAGATCTCAGACATTGGTCTTTTGGAAGAAATCAAAAACATCTACACTATTATGGGTATCGACATTGGAAATCCGACGTATAACGACGTTAAATACACCTTAAACACCAAAAACTACTTTTCGGCCATGGACAGGGTTAAACAAGCCTTCAGAAGCTCACAAATGGGCAATTGGGTCGAGAAGACAAGACGAATCGTCGAAAATTAATATTAAATGGACTTGATTTGGTTTTAATAATGATAATCTTTTATATTGTCCTGTTAAAATTGATGAGTTTTATATTTTTGATGTAGAGTTAGAAAGCTTTGTCATTAAAAATATAAAATTCAAGGTTTTGGTGTCAAATTATTTATCATTTATGCTTGAACTTATTTTAGACGATTTTTCGTGGTTTTGGTGTCATAATGAACTAATTTATTCATTGTATCTTACTAAGAGGATGTGAATGTACAAATAAAATTGATAAAACATGAATTGAAGTAGTTAGTTGATGTGTTTTGTCATTGGTAATATATGGTTAATACAATTATAATTTTAAAGTTGTATATGGTATTGTAGCTTTTAAATAGATATTTTTAGCTTTAAATTATGTTTAACTTGGCTGCTGACGTCAGAATTGTAAGTTATTTGATATTTTTGGAAAGTTTCTGGTGTTTCAATATTTGTTTTGACGCAAAACCCTTTTAACCTTCAGGAAGAACAATTCGCCTCAACAGCTCCAGAAATCTTGTTACCGTTTGTAAAACCCGATGGCTCTAACCTCAATCAATGGATTGCAAGAGCAGAAGGTCTCTTAAAGCTTCTTCAAGCAATGGTAGCATCAACATCGAATGTTTTTTGGTCCTCAATTTGCCTACGGCCGAATTTCATGAGAGAAATCGATTCGGCTTCGGTTAATTTTCCGTTTTTCGAAGACCTTCAAGATGGCAATTTGCTGAAACGAGCTGGGCAATCAAGATTGGTGGTCAACTTGTACCAAAATTTGTGGATTTTGTTTATTAGGATTTGTGTCAGTTGGGAAAGTGAGGTAAGTTGCTTATTTTAGGTATTAAGTTAACCTTTTTTTTTAAATTTAGGTAACAAATTGACTTTTTTGGGTAAAAATATTGTTTTTTTCTACTTCTTTGATAAAAAATTATAAAATCGTATTCTTCATATGTTTAGGTAACAAAGTTGCATTTTTTATCAAGTTCTAAGTAAAAAATCGTTTTCAAATAATTATTTTATTTATTTATCAATACGTTTTTTTAATTTTTAAGAATAGAAGCATACAATTGTTGTTGGCAAGTCTCAAAATGAAACAGAAACCGGTAAAAACATGGCGTATTTTTCAATTTATTGGCCTTAAAGCCATTTATTTTAATATTTATTCATTTATAATTTTAGGTAATAAACATATATTTTAACAACTTTCAGGGTATCAGTGAAGAAAATTTCAAGAAATTACTGGTAGAGAAGCATAAAATAGTGACATTGGAACGAATCCGTTTAGCTTGTGGCCTGTTTTCAAAGAATTTCTATGAAGTTTTAAAGAAAATTGTGATTAAGTTGAGAAAAACGGTACCCGCTTTGTTCAACACAGTACAGAAGGAGCTGGATGAGGCAGGGAATGTAAGTTTTTTTAAAACACGTTTTTTATAAATCGTAATCCCACTGGCGACGTCAAATTTCAAACATCTTTTAAAAATCTGAAATTTTTATTATGAAGGTTTTAGACAATGCTGAGCACAAAAATACAACTTTCTTTATTTTGGTTACTGTATTTTGGAGTACTGTAAGGTTACGGTAGAATTTATATCTCCATAACGAATAGTTGTAGAGACATGGCGTCTTCACTATCGTGTAGTACGACCACAATACAGTATTTCTTATGTTGAAGTCAAAGTTCCGTGTATAGTTTTACCGTAGTAAAAATTCGTATCTTGTGTCGTAATTACAGTAACCCAAAAATAGTAAAAAAACGGTTCGAGATACCCCTCTTTTTTATTTTAGATTATTACTCTACATGTTATTGCGGTTCGAATGATATATAATATTAAAAAAATTATTGTGACTTTTGGGGTAAAAGGTCAAGTTGAAGTTGGTCGACCCTATATGTATTTTGAAAAAAATTTTAAAACTAAGTTAAAACTAACCGGTGAAGTAGTAGAGTTACTAAAACGCATTTTTTATTATTACTCCAAGTTTACTTTGTCACTTTACCGTAGTAAAATTTTGTATCTTGTGTCGTAATTACAGTAACCCAACAACAATAAAAAAACGGTTCGAGATACCCTTCTTTTTTATTTTAGATTATTACTCTACATGTTATTGCGGTTCGAATGATATATAATTTTAAAAAAATTATTGTGACTTTTAGGGTCAAAGGTCAAGTTGAAGTTGGTCGACCCTATATGTATTTTGAAAAAAAATTTTAAAACTAAGTAAAAACTAACTGGTGAAAGGTACGCCAGTAAAAAAAACGGTTGCCCATACCTATGGGCGATTTTTTTCAAATCCGTCCCTGACTTTTTCAGTTCTACCTGACCCTACCCCTCACCTTTTTGGCCCTATCCGACCCTACCCTTGATTTTTTTGGCCCTACCTGACCCTACCCTTGACCTTTTTGGCCATACCTGACCCTACCCTTGACCTTTTTGGCCCTACGTGACCCTACCCCTGACACTTTTGGCCCTACCCAAGTCCACCCCTGTCCTTTTCAGTCCTATCCGACCCTAGTATGAAGTGGTACGTAGAACAGGGTATGGCATGGTATAGTAGGTAGGTAAGTTATGGTATAGTAGGGAGCATACGGTATAATATGATATAATATAATACGGTATGGTAGAGTATGGTATATCAGATAGGATGGGTACGATATATTATGTAGTATAGAGTATGGTATGGTAGGTAAGGTAGAGAATAGTAAAGAACATAAGATATAATATGATATGGTATAGCATAATAAGTAGGATAGAGTACGGTACTGAATATTGGGTAGACTCAAAAAGGCGGAGGTAGGTTTGGGTACGGCTAATAGGGTCAGCGGTGAGGTTGGGTAGGGCGAAAAGGATCAGGGGTAGCATCAGGTAAGGCCAAAAAGGTGAAGGGTAGGGTCGAGTAGGGCCAAAAAGGTCAAGGGTAGGGTCAGGTAGGACTGAAAAGGTCAAGGGTGGACTTGGGTAGGGCCAAAAGTGTCAGGGGTAGGGTCAGGTAGGACTGAAAAGGTCAGAGGTGGACTTGGGTAGAGCCAAAAAGGTCAAGGGTAGGGTCGGATAGGGCCAAAAACGTCAGGGGTAGGGTCAGGTAGAACTGAAAAAGTTAGGGACAGACTTGAAAAAAATCGCCCATAGGTATGGGCAACCGTTTTTTTTACTGGCGTACCTTTCACCAGTTAGTTTTTACTTAGTTTTAAAATTTTTTTTCAAAATACATATAATGTCGACCAACTTCAACTTGACCTTTGACCCTAAAAGTCACAATAATTTTTTTAAAAATTATATATCATTCGAACCGCAATAACATGTAGAGTAATAATCTAAAATAAAAAAGAAGGGTATCTCGAACCGTTTTTTTATTGTTGTTGGGTTACTGTAATTACGACACAAGATACAAAATTTTACTACGGTAAAGTGACAAAGTAAACTTGGAGTAATAATAAAAAATGCGTTTTAGTAACTCTACTACTTCACCGGTTAGTTTTTACTTAGTTTTAAAATTTTTTTTCAAAATACATATAGGGTCGACCAACTTCAACTTGACCTTTTACCCCAAAAGTCACAATAATTTTTTTAATATTATATATCATTCGAACCGCAATAACATGTAGAGTAATAATCTAAAATAAAAAAGAGGGGTATCTCGAACCGTTTTTTTTACTATTTTTGGGTTACTGTAATTACGACACAAGATACGAATTTTTACTACGGTAAAATTATACACGGAACGTTGACTTCAACATAAGAAATACTGTATTGTGGTCGTACTACACGATAGAGAAGACGCCATGTCTCTACAACTATTCGTTATGGAGATATAAATTCTATCGTAACCTTACAGTACTCCACAATACAGTAACCAAAAATAAAAAAAGTTGTATTTTTGTACTCAGCATTGTCTAAAACCTTCATAATAAAAATTTCAGATTTTTAAAAAATGTTTGAAATTTGACGTCGCCAGTGCAATTGGCTCTGGCTCGAGCTTTACAAAAAACGTGTTTTAATTAAAAAAATTAATTTTGTTTAATTTTGTTTTAAAACTTATTTTACATGTTAAAGTATGTTATTGGCTTTTTTATGGCTTTTTTTTAATTTTAGGTAAGAAATTAGAGAAAACTTTTAAAATTATATGAAAATTGTAGTTTTTACCTTTTCTTACCTAAAACAATATCTAAAACCTCCAATATTGAATCTGTAAATAAAACTTCTTCTTTTAGCAACTAGAAACTCTAGCAATTGAAATTCGTTCACTTCACAATGAGCTCGCATCTAAATCAACAAGAAACACCAAGAAGGTGATTGAAGTTTTGCAAGTAATGCACACAGCGAGAAGAAGAATCTTTTCATGGTCAGAATTCTTGAGAATCCTGCCAGAAGTTCGCTGTAGTGATGATATGGCCAACATCATTGCCGAAACAACACAAACAGTGGATGACACTTTGAATCATCGTGTTATTATGAACCTTGGAGCTGAATCTGTGGAGATCTCAATGTAGGTGGCTTGTTTTAAAAATTATGTCAGTTATTCATAAGCGCATTTTCTAAAATATCATATTTTAAAAAATTATGTCATAAGGGTGTTCAAATAGTTCTGTGCCTTCTCCATGCAAATGTTGGGTTATGGAGGCACATAATTATTTGAACAATCTTACATAAGAAATTATGTCATAAAACAAAATTTTTAAATCGAAAATTTTAGTTCATTGACGAGAGAACGAGCAGCTCTTCTACAGGCCTTGACACACCTTTTCGTACGGTTTTTCGAAAGATCAGATGAAAGTGAACGAATCGATTTGTTATTTGGCCTCAGGGATCAAACTGCGTAAGGTTTTTAAAATGTTTGGGTGTTTTAAAAATTTTCATCAAAGTTGAAGGATGATAAATGAATGAAAATGACATTTTTTAAAGTTAAATTAGTTTAGAATAACAAATAAAGTCTTGTCGTCAATATGCATCTATTTGCACTGGAAAAAGCGACAAGACTTAAAATATAAATTTAAAATTAAAAAACTTGAGGTCTTAAAATCTTAAAAAAATTGCAATTTAAAATTTTTTTTTATAAAAAAAATTTTTAGACTAATGTCCCGTCTAGAAGATCGTTTAAAAATCAAGGAAAAACTGCCATACCTAATCGAAAAAACCGGCATGGGTGATCACGGTGCCATAATCAAACGTGAGATTGACAAAGCTTTGGAGCAGAAATCAAAAGAAATCGTAGTGAGTCTGGAAAGTGAAGGTCTACTGGCTCATTTGGGGGAGTTTTCAAACCCTGTAGTACAGGAAAATGTGTTAACGTTGAAGGATATTGTACCTTACACTACCGAGTTCTTACATGTAAGTGGATTTTCAAAAAAAAATATTTTTGTGAACTGGTCCTCTAGCTAGAACTGGATTCTAGGCCGAGTCTGGTGGAATTTTTTGATTGCCCGGACGCCAGGTAGAACCCTAAGCCCTAGTTCATCAAAATCACCCCTTTCGGCGAGTGACTGAACTTTGGGGGAGAAAAAATTTGGGGGTGGAGATTTTGGGGGAGGTTACTGATAATGTGCATCAGCTGTCAATTAACAATTTTTTTGACTCACTAATGCTAATCTTCTGGACTCACTTTTTTGCTATGACAACATTTCAGTTGGTATTCCGACACTTTGCGTACGATATGGAAAAAGCTATTGCTGCCCTCATGGAACCCGATAACAGTTTACCATTCAATTTGAGAATATTAATGAGGGATTCAAGCAACTTGAAAGCCGCTAAACCTTCAAAACGCCAACAGTTACTGCTTAAAGAGGTCTATGAACAAGGTAAATTGGTATTTTGTAAAGAAAAATTTAAAAAAAACATTTTTGTTACCTAGAAAGTGATAAAAAGGATTTTTGTTACTTAAATTTCAAAAAAAAAGAGTTTTTGTTACCTAAAATTCTAAAAAATCCAACTCCATTATCATAAAACGCATTTTACAGACAGTGAAGCCGAATCCGACCACGAAGATGATGCCGACGCAGCATCGAAAGCCCAAAATATTGACATTGTCAGCCTATTAACAGCTCCAATCGCATCCTCATCGACCAGTAAAGCCCCCATCCTAACGGAAAAGGAAATAAAACAACAGAAAATGGAAGAAAAACTAGCCAAATTAATGAAAAAGTCTGGAGATTTGTTCAATTTACGACATTTACATGGAGTTGTGGAGAAAATGCAGCAAATCAAAATGGACCAAAAGTCCGTAGTCAATGTTGGTGGCAAGAAGTTTGCCAAGTTTAGAAAGGAACAGTAAGTTTTTTTGCAACGAAAACCAATTTATGAAATTTTAGGTAACAAAAACAAATATAATCAAATTTCCTTACAGAATCGACGACGAACTAGACGAAGAAGACCGAAACGTCATCAAGCAACATGCCAATGCCTACAAGTACGAGCTGAGCGACGAGGACGACCAAGATGGACGTCTCGATCTGGACGAAAAATTCCGAGCCGAAGTCGGAGCCACAGGCCGCTTCAACCGCGGCCAAGTCGTCGCCATTTCAACCAAAAACTACGCGGACGAAGAAGACGAATACGATGACACATACGACGATGTCAATATTGCAGTAGACGAACGCTCCCGAATTCCGGAGGAACGACACAAAGCGACGGAGATGGGCTACGAAGGCACGGCCGGTAGCATACCACAAGGCGGCTATGCGGCCGAACATCAACGTCGAGCCGACCAGTCAAACAAAAAAATCCCGGACGTCCCCAGAAGACAGCCGGTTACGGTGGAAAAGGCTCCCAAACAGAACCCCATGAAGATACCGAGAACTGATCAACAACAACAAAGCAAAGCCGGACCCCAAGGCAATCCACAGCCCAAATCGCAAAAGCAAAGCGCTTTACAACCTGGTACTAGTGGTGCACAAACGAAGAAGGATGGATATACTGGAGGAAAGCAAAGACTGAACAAGGAGAGGAACAAGAACAAACACAAGCAACGAGGAGCTGATAAGAAGATGGCCAGAGCCAATCCGTTTTGAAGGGCTAAACCTTGAAATTTACGAAATTTTGTGGATTAGACGAAATTGGTAAATCATTGTTTGGACTATTCAAATAAGACATATTTCTGTTATAATATGGGGTATTTTCATATGTTGTTTTTCTTTATCAAATAAATTGTTGCCGGTTTTAACATAGGCATTTACAAACAAAATAAAAAAAAATTTAAAAAACTGAAAGTGTGTTCCCCGTTTCAAAAAAAAAACGTTTTTCACCCCTCCTGATACCTAAAATCGCCTCTCCCTAAAACTGCTTATAATAAACAATTAAAAAAACAATTTTCAAAGCGGTAAAAAGCATGGCGTATTTTACAATTTATTGGTCCGAAAATCATCCATTTTGAATATTTATTCACTTTTCAAATATATTTACAAGTTTTCGAGCAAAAAATATTAAAAACCTGATAAAAATGATTACGGATTTGATAATTTGGCACGGGTTTGATATTCTGGCAGCGTATAGTAAATAGTACAATCGTTAAAATGCTATTAAAAACAACTAGAAATATATAATACAATTTACAGGGTTTGATTCACAATTCTAAAAAAACAGAAACCCAAGATTTCTACACCATGGTGCACCAGAATTATCAAATTAGGCCTTAAATTAACCTTTAAAACCCGAACTTCCACACCAAAATCCTTAACTTTTAAAAGGAAAACTGGAAGACATAAAATATTAAATACAAGACCCTTAACTAATGTCCCATCTGGACTGAATAGTAAAGCCAAGACCCTTAGCTAACCTCCCATCCGGAACAATCTGAATAATGACGATCTTTGTTCAGACCTCGAAGCTTTTCAATGTCATCATCAGAGATATCCAACTTGGTAGATTGAAAGTTGGCTTCGATTCGTTTTGGATTCGATGACTTTGGGACAACACCGATGGATTGTTTTAGTGGAAAAGCCAACATGATTTGCTAAAAGATATACTTAAAGTAAATTATTGTACTATTCAGATATCAGAAAAAAGTCTTGTCGTCAAAAATTATGGTTTTACAGATCCAAAAACGACAATAAACTCACTTCAAATGTAGCATCATACTTTTGCATCAATTCATTAACAACCTTATCATTCATCAACGATTTGGTATGGAAAGCCAATGGAGTATGCGCTTGAAACAGAATCCCTTCCTTCCTACAGTACTCGACTAGATCTGGCCGTGTCAAATGAGGATGGAATTCACACTGATTCACGGTGGGCTTCGAATGACCATCTTCAACAAGCTGATCGATATGAGATGCTTCAAAGTTAGATACGCCAATCGAGCGGATTTTACCGGCTTCTATAAAGGAGTTAGGTTACTCTTGCCTTTTTTTCAAAAAACGTTAAGAAAATATCCTGACATTAACGTTCAATGTCAGAATTTTAAAATGCTATAAGTACATTTAAACCTAAAGTTTATAAAATAAATATAAAGACTTACTCTGCAGTTCTTCCAAAACTCCATACGCATCACTTCGATCCCTCCTGTTTTCAGATCTTTTGTCAGAGACTCCCCAATTCTTAGGATAATGAATCAGCACCAAATCCAGGTACCTACAATAACAAAACATTAATCTACATGCCTTGTAACGATCATAACATCAGTGCTAGTAAAAAATAGCTTCATTTTGCTTATTATTATACTAAAGTTAAAGGAAGATGTGTTATGCTAGTTTGAAAAAAAAAATTATGAATAATGTCTGCATCTAATGTTACACTACCTACTTTGTCTGAAGTTTAGCCAATGAGTCCTCAACCATGCGTTTTGTAGTCTTCTTAACATCACCATCGTATGTAGAGATATTGGCCTTGGTTTCGATAAATACATCTTCTCTGGACAGATCATTCTTCTCCAAAACTTTCTAAATTTTAAAAGTTAAAACTAAAATCGTATCACAGTTTTAAAAAGTCATATGCCATTTCAAAGCTCAACAACTTTTATAATTTTTAACGTTTCAAAGACCCATATGAACATGACTATAGAGTTTTCCCGTCCTAAAATCTCTTGAGTAGGCTATAAAACATATTTTATCTCATAAAACGTGTTTTATGTCTAAAAAATGAGTCTAAAACAATGTTTTATGTCCGTAACCACCATGTTCTATCTTCAAATCTCTAAGACCAATAATAAATAAAATAAAGTAACCCACCTTCAAAGCATCTCCCAGCTGTTTCTCGTTCCTGTAGTATTTGGCAGTGTCAAACAATCTGTAGCCAGCTTTGAAGGCAGCATCCAACGCTGTAATACAGTCAGAATCCGTTTCCAACTGCCAAGTTCCCAGCCCAAACAATGGAATCTGATATCCATCTACAAGCTTGAAGGTTTTTGAAGCCATCTTTTATTGTTTTTGGCCAGTTTACTTTGAATTTCAATCAGATTTCCTCGCCTTTGTCCAATTCCAATATTTTTAACAATGTTATCTTAGATTAAAGAATGTATAACAATAATAAGAGTTAGAGAAAATATTTTCAGTAATTTTTTAGTAAGCTATACCCGATTTCAGAACTTCTTGGTTCAAAGTTTCAAATTTTGTTTATTTCAAAAACACGTAAACAACTTCGCAGCCTGCACAATGTTTCAAAACAAACGAGCGAGTCGCTCCCAATGAACAACATAAAATTAATTTTTTTCAGCTAAATTTCGCCATTTCTTGCGTTTCGATTGAAACGAGACTCTCGAAGAAGCAAACGGATAAACCAAAGGTCTCAAGACAGGAAAATATCGTACTTTGTGACCACAAAGTGGAATCTTGGGATTCTGTGGCTATGAACCGCGTCTGAAGCGTCTTTCCATCAACTAATTTCGTTAATGTTAAGTGTGAGTTGTTTCTATTTTCTATTCTTTCCATTTTTAGGCGGTGTTTTTAAACTACAACAGCGAGAATGAAGCTTTTTCGAGTTTCTATAGACCTCTCGTGTTGTTCTTCATGTTGTCATAGACATTTTGGCCATTGTTTGGGACTATTTTTATTGCTCATGCGGGTTGAAACACTTTTCATCGCTTTTTATAGTTTAAGCAAAGCTTTTCGTTTGTTTTTCGAGTGGTTTAGACTGTTGGGAAATTGTTTTTTGTATAACTAAGAAAGATATGGCCAAGCCGTTCTAGTTTTCACACTAATCTGGTTGTTTTTATTTGCATAAGGAATATTATAACAAGCTGTTGGTTGGAAAACAGACGTAAAGTCTTTTTTAAGCTATAAAAGTGATGTTTTTTGCGATTGAAACAGTTTTTTCAAGTTAAAATAAGCTTTCATGTTGCAGTAGGTTAGAAAAACTAAATTTTTTTGATTTACAGTTATTTTTGCAGTTATTTTTGGTTATAATTATAAAACAATCTGCTCCACGATAAAGTGTCTTTTTTATAAATTCTTTTTATTTGTTTATAGTTTGCTCAGAGTGGAATAGTTTAAATTTACACAAAACTTGCGATTTTTGAAACGAATTAAGGAGCGTTCGAACAATTTTTTGTCAGACGGGACAAAATTGTTTTATCAATTAGTTGCCTTCTTCACTTTTCTTTTATAAAATGTAGTTTTGGAATTTTTGGTCTTGCGGCTTTGTAGGTATGCCTGGCTCAGGCGGGCTTTTTTATAGATAATTTGATTTTTGGATTGGATTTGGCTGATAATTTCTTAGCCTGGACTGGGATCAAATTATCTCTTTGCTGGACTATCATTAGCCGTCTTTTCTAGACTTCTGGAGGTTTTTGAATTAAATTTTTTAGCTCTTGATGAGCTTGATACTAAAAAAGTTTCTTAGCTGTTAAAGATTGTTTGACTAAAATTTCTTCCTTGTCCTTAAGGGGCGTTTGACTGTGTTGTTTCCCTGTCGTTATCGCTTATTCCCCCTTCATGAAGCGGGTGTTGAATTTGAATGTTTGCAGCGTTTTCGACTTGGGTTTCGGCTGTCTGCTGCTTATCGGCGCTCATTTTCGAACCAATTCGACGACTTTCCCGGGAATCAAGCCCCGCAAAATCCTTTTATGGGCTATCAGCTGGACCAGAACAGTGAAAAGATTCAGCCACAGGACTTTGAGTGGCCTATATTGGTGAGTTTTTTGAAGATTTACTAAATTTTTGTTTTGTAATGGGAAGGTAAAGGAATTTTTAATGATTTTCGGGCTTGTCTTCTTGGTTATATACCATTTTTATAAGATGATAGACTCAAAAAGTAGATTTTTTGCTTTAAAATTTCAAATATCTTAATTTTGATACCTAAAAATTAAAGATTTTAAATTTACTTTAAAAAATAATAAATAAACAACAAGTTAATGTACGTATATTTTCAGCAAGGCGGATACAAACCTAAAAATGTACTTGTGTTATCGAAAATCACACGATGGGAGGTGATAAGGAAGAAGCGGGTTGGAACCGACCCTTCCGATGCCCATCTGATAGCCAAACACCAACAACAAGAAGAGTTTGTGGAAAGAATTGTCAAGCAATTAAGGTAAGATAACGTTTTTTGGAGTTTTCTATGTTTAGTTTGTGTTTTGGGGAGCGTTTGACAAAGTTTTTTTAAGTTTTGGTATCAAATAGAGAAGTCTTATCAAATTTGTTACTCTAACACAATGTTTCTTCAGAAATCACAAGATAAACGTGACAATCGTGAAGCCAAATGAGTACACGGTGGAAAAGCTCAAAGCAGCCGACCTTATCATATCAGCCGGAGGTGATGGCACTTTCCTAACAGCAGCTAGCCGTATTCGGAGTAAAATACCGGTAATTGGAATCAATACAGATCCAGTTGGATCGGAAGGACATCTATGTCTGACTGGCAAGGAGAAAAGAGATGTGGCCGAGGTTATCGAACAGTTTTTGGCCGGCAAGTTCAGGTTCTTCTATCGGCATCGTATTAGAGTGACGTTGTTGAAGTAAGTGGGGCAATTTGAAAAAAATGAAACTTACAAAGATAAAAACAAATATTAAAGCTTGAAATTATAAAATAATTTTTGAAAATGATAAAAAACAAAGACAAACTTTATATTTATTACCCTACCCAACCTTCAGGTCCAGCACCCTAAAAAAGCTAAAACGCGACGACAGTACAGATGGCCAAAACTCGAAAGCCAACTTCCATTCCGACGACGAAGACGCCTCCTACAACAGAGACATTCCAGAACCCCTACTAGCTCTAAATGAAGTCTTTGTTGGCGAATCACATGCTGCCAGAGTTAGTTACCTCGAAATCCAAATCAACGATGGCCCAGTCTACAAACAGAAGAACAGTGGCGTCATCGTGTGCACGGGTACAGGATCAACCTCATGGAATTACAACATCAATAGAAGCACGGAGAGGAGTGTAGCCGAGATGATAAGCTTCATGAAGGAGCATGGGTATCAGGTCAAGCCTCCAATGGATGAAAATTCTGTTAAAACTTTATGTCAACGTTACAATGAGCGATTGATCTTTGCTCCGGATGAAGAAAGTAAGGACTTTGAGTGATTTTATTACTTGAATTTAAAATTTTTTTGTTACCTAAAATTTAGTGGAAAAGGTATATCAATCTATAGACGTTTAAAGACATCATTTTAGCACATAAAATTTATTAAAAAGACATGTTTTCATACCTAAAAATAGAAAAAATGTTTTTGTTACCTAAAATTTAATAAAAAAGCCATTTTGATATCTAAACTTGTATAAAACGTTCATCTTCATGCCCAAAATTTAATTTAAAGTGCATTTTAAAAAAAATTAAAATATTTTTAATTTTAGGAATGGAATACAGTATTAGAGACCCAGTTTTCAACCGCACTTTCCCTCAAATCCCAGACCGAGGTATAGCGACTAAAATCAAGATTAAGTCTAAATGTTCCCACGCCCACCTAACCCTAGATAGTGCCACTTCAATCCCATTCAATCATGGAGCTGAAGTCTTGATCGAGATTCACCCAGAAGATGCTTTGAGGACAGCTATGCTCGGTCCTCATTCTACCGAGTAGTTTGGGGATCTCATTACCACACCCACTTGTATACATTACACTCTACAGCCACACCTTCTACGAGTTACATATGACATTTTTTGCCATTTGCATTTATCAGTTCACTTGGAGTTACCATAGTTATGATAAAGTTTTATTTTGTAATGTAATTAATAAAATGCAGCTAATTAGTAATAGTATCGTTTTTAAAATCATTTTTACAGGCTTTTGTTATCTAAAAATGGAAAAATACTATTTTTGATACGTAAAAATAAGAAAAAAAAACTTATTTTTGTTATCAAAAGCATCCCAAAGCCATCCCTTACTTGTAACATAAAATTCATGCCAAAATCAGAAATTAGTTCGCTTTATTGACTTTCGGATACAAATAATATAATACACAAAATATAAGTATGAGCATAAAATAAAAATTTCTCTCTAGAATCTGCCTAACAAAGTGAAAAGTTGAAATTTGTAGGGTTGTGGCTCAGCGGGTGGGGACAATCGTAATATACTTAAGCGTTTTTATATCTTAGAACAAGACAATCACAGAATGTTGTTAAGTGAAGGTTGGGTTTAGCCATTAGTTAGCTTATCGCTTATCGAAAAAGTCAATGTTCAATTTGAAAAAGACGTATGGGTAATAGTCGTGAACGCCCAATGAAACTAGGGTTGGCGCGTCTTCGAAGGTCTGAAATTGATAGAATTAGGTTTAAAATGACATTTTCGAGCATGTAAAAAAGGTCTGCTATAAATAGTTTTGAAAAGAAAGTTATTGCCATTTTCTGTTATGTAAAGAAAGTTCTTGCCATTTTCGGTTTTGAAAAAAAAGTTCTTGCCATTCCCTGTCTTTTAAAGAAAGTTCTTGCCATGTTTTGTATTAAAAAATAACTAAACCGTCCACTCCCCTTTTTTGCCAAAAAACTCACATCAATTGGCCCAGCGGCCGAACCGTCCAGATGCTGATAGAGTTTGTTCAGCTCTGTTCTCAATTTCTTCTGTGCACCTTTTTGTGGTTCCATGATAGCTGATTGGAAGTTGACGGGCAGACCGAAACGAAGCACCGATTCCACAAATACCCTCAAGGCCTTGACATGGATATACGCCGAAAAGATTTCACCAAAGTTGATTTTGAGCCAACGAACCAACGGCGCATACTGACGTTGTTTCTCTTGGACCAGCTTGTCACGGTCCATTTTGCTGGCTTTTAGCGTTTGTTCATCGTACACAAAGTCACGTACGATGAATCTGGAAGTTTTATGCGTATTAACAAATGGTTTAAACCTTTTGTTCAATTTATAATCAATAAAATAAAAAAAAATAGCAAAAAATGTCCAAGAACTATAAAAATAACCAAATCTTGTCATGAATAATCTAGGAAAAAAAGAAAATCAAACCTATATCATAAAGAATAATTTTTTAACTATAAAAATCTACGTATTTTAAACTACACTTACTTTCTTTCACGACACTTTCCCTTGTATTCATCAATAACCTTCTTGAATAATGTAACCGTATATAAACAATGTTCTCCATCTTCAGTGATCTTTTTGGCAGAGCCAGGAACAACATACTCGGTAATGCTCCAGTAACTAGCTTCCCAATCCTTAGTCAACAATCTAAAAATAAAAAGCTTCTTAAAATGTTACCCAAAAATTTTTAAAAAATCCAAAATTGTTTTAAGCACTAACATTAGCCCAACAAAAACAAAACAACAATCTCTACAAAAATCTTTTTAAAACGTTAAAAAAAACAGAAAATTGCTACCTAAAATTAGAAATTCAAAATGTACATACCAACGCGTATTTTACAAAAAACCTACTTAGGAACAACAACCACAACAGTTTGAAGGTATTCCGAGTTCTGAACAAAGTCGTCAGCCTTTACCAAATCAGCCAAATCTTTAGTAATCAATGAGCCTGTCGCCTTTCTGTCCAACGAAGCCAACGTGTTCTTCAAGTTGTTGTAGTTCAAAGCTTTAGTCTTCAAATCGTTGTCAATTTGAGTAATTTGCTAAAAAAACATTATAAAGTTTAAAAATTATTTAATACCAATGGATAAACATAATTTTGTAAAACTTTCCAACAAAACCAATATAAAAAAATAGATAAATGGGTCGTATGTTACTTAAAAAGCAATAATATCAAAAGAAACATACTTTTCCAATGATTTCACTCAACACCTTCAAAGATTGTTTTAGTGGATATTTAGCTCCTTCCCATTGAAAACGAGTCAAATATGTGTGCATATCCTCTAAAAAATACAAAATTAACCAAGAATAATTAATTGATGTGAGTAAGATAGTTTAACCAACATGATGTTACTAAATTAAAACTGAGTAAACATAGCTATATCAAGAAAAATACTTTCTACATTTAAGCTTTATAATTCGTAACAAATTTATAAAATATTATCTAAAAAACGATATTTAAATTAGCCGTGACATAAATCATTTCAACGCTAATTTAAAAAAAAATTAAAACTGAAAAATTCAAAAAAATGTTCCAAAAGCCAAGAAAAATAATTCCACAACTAATTTTCTGCAGCCCCACAAATAACGCTGAAGAAATGTTAACGTAGAGATCGAAATTATCTTATTTACAGCATCTGCCTCTTTGATTTTAAAGAACTCAACGGGTTTATCCTTGCATGCAAAAAAACTTACTGTTTCCAATCACCAAGTTGTCAACCAGCTTATCTCTCTCCTCTTCGAGTACCTCAGCAAAGTATTGTACCAGCTTTCTCGTTGTTCTAAACACAAAAACTAACAATATAAACCATCAACTTACTGTTCAGCAGCCGAGTCCAATTTGGCCAAGTCGTCGCTCAATCCGACCAACTGATCCAAAGTACCCACTTTCAAGTCGGGAACATTGAACTTGAAATTCGTGCTGATCGAGTTCGTAGTAGACTGAAGCCGATCCCATGTTTCTTGTGGGGTTTTCTCGCCCGGCGCCGAAACTAGCCAAATCTCCTGCGTGGACTGGGCACTCATTTCTACAAATAGTACCCCCGACCTTACTTTATACTATTTGTTTTTCGAGCCAAAAAACCAAAATTTATTTTTATTCTCTCGCCACTGGTTTCTGGTCTTTTTGATCGCAGCTTGTTTTCGCACCGGGACCTAGCGTGAGAGTAAATGTGATGTAAAAGTTTTACAATTAGGCTTTATTTGGCAAAAATTAAGTTGAAAAAATGGAAGTATATTGTTTTTAACAGGTAAAACAAATATATGCTATAGGATTAAAAAATTTCTCAAATTTGCCATTTTACACTTTTTTTCCCCTTTTTTTATAGTTTAAAATTCAAAGGAAATTAACAAAAATGTAACTCACTTTTGTTGTGGTTCAAAAACGGTATTTTAGCCAACATACTGATCTCAAAGTAATTAGATTTTTATTAAAAACACAAAATTCACAATTCGAACAACTGAGTTTAAAAAGTTTAAAAATTTGTTGTATTTTCTTTGTCGTATGCAAATATTTTTGATTTTTAGTGTTTGTAATTCAATCATTTTTATTTATTTTTTGAAAAAGTATTTTTTAAATTTTTAGGAAATTTTATTGCTGTGAATAGCAAAAACGGTAAAAAGCTGATTGCAAATTTCTCATGCTCTCTTCTGACAAGGAGTTGCACAAAATATCTCAAGGCTTTTAGAACGAGACCTATATCGGACGAAAGAGCTTAAAAATTTACCAAAATTATGTTTTTGAAAATTGCTAAATGGTCTTGGCTAGCGAGTTATACTATCATACAATAGATATTTGGTGCAGCTCCGTTTTGAGCAAGTGCTTGCTGTAAATACTCTGCCACAATCAAATTATGATTATTTGCAAGTTGTAAGCAGGCTTAAACACAGAGAAGAGCATTGAAATTTTTCCGGGTTTTGTCCTGTATTCTGTTATGCCTTGTCCGGTACAGGGCGTTTCAATTTTGTGCTTTGCACTGTGCTGTGTACTTGTGTGCTGCACTGTGCGCTGCACAGTGGCAAACTCGGTTTGTAACTCTGAAATTCAGTATCTGTTAATTTAATATCTTCTTTCTTTTTTTTGGTTTTCTACGTTGGGAAAAAAGGTATGCGGCTAAACAAATACATTTTTTTATTCCGCAAACCGCAAAAAATTTCTTTTGAGCGGAAATGTAGTCTTTTCTTTCTCTTAACGTTTGTTTTACTTATGTAAAATTAAAGTTAGGGTATTATTAACACTTGTACAGCTTCTATTTTTTGCTTGTTTTCTCTAAATTTATTTAAATTTTTTTCAGGTTTTTAAATAGCTGAGTAGGCTATGAAATGTTGTTACACTGGAACTTCTGTATAACGAATCGCTCGTGATTTGAACCTTTCTTATTGTGAAAGACTTTCGGTATGAAGGAATTTTGGATTCATGTAGTTGTAGACAAAAATTTAAAAAATTTTTTATTACACAATATTTTCGTTGAATAAAAAAAGGCGTAGCTGCAGTCGAAGCCTTTGCCGAATTGCAGTACTAAAGTTTTCTGGAGCCGGCACGGTTTTGAAGCTGGAGCTGGAGCCAAAGCTAGAAATTTCAAACCTAGGAATTCTGGTTATAATACGCAGGTTTTTTGTGACGAAGAAAATGCAAACACAAGCAAACGTATAAGAAAGGACATTTAAGCCGCTTGTGTTTCTTATCATTTAAAAATTGTCTTATCGAAAGGTTGTTCTAGGTTGAGCTAAAAAATTGTATTCGAAAACATATTCTTGAGCAATTTGGATGACTAACCTAAAAATTAATGGCTTAAAGTATTTTGTGGAGGTTGAGTTTGAGATGTTTTAAATAGGAAAATCATCATACAGTGTACCTTCTGTATAACAAAACTCCTTTATAACAAACAACATTCATAACCCCGTGCGATTAGTTCTGTAAAAATTACTGTGTATTTTTTAAATTTTGTGAATGTACTTTTTAAGAACGGTAAAGTATATAGTCATGCTTCATTTTATAGACGCTAAATTGTATTTGCTCTTTTGAGTATCGAAAGGTTTTGAAAAAAATCATTGGCTTTTAAGTACTAACGCAGTACGAATTCATAATCATGCGTTCATTCTCTTTTGTACGTTAGTACGATATCTCAGTTTTCACATGCTAGTCTTATGCAGGAGTTGCAGTTTCTCTAAAGATGAGGAAAATCAAGTTTAAAATTAATATTTTTTAACGTTTTTTTCTACTTAAAGTTACAAAGTTACTGTGTTATGTATTTTGTGAGTTTCGACTTTGTTTTAACTTGTAGTTTTGGTGACGTTTTCAGTCAAATGACGAGAAATGAGAAGCTTTTGATAAAGCTTACAATCTTTAGTTTCTAAATAGTTGTTCGTTTGGGATAGGGCAAAATATAATGTTTGTTTCAAATAACATTGAGTGGTCGGAAGGTTTATATTAGAGGTAGTAGAAGGTTCAGCGAAAACTAATTTTTAAATTGCTTTAGTCTGTTTAAAAGACGATTTGCGAGAACTTGCGTCCGCTGAAATAAGGGGTGTGCCTTAGAAATTTTACCCTATGATTTTTTTGAATAAAATACATCTTTAGGTGTTCAAAAACACTTTCCTAAATTTTTTTTGAAAAATACGTCATAATGACGGATTTACTATGTTGCCTCTGCCGGGCCATATCTCATTTTAAATTAATGCAATTGTTTTGAAATTTTGTGTGCAAGATTAGTTTTTTATGCTCTACATTTTATCTTATTATGTCAAACTTATAAAAGTGGTCCTAATACTCCAAACTGGTATATGCATACATAAAATGCACCGTTTCTCAAGAAAATTACATTATCGTGATGAAATTTTTTTTCATATTCGGAATCAGCGTAAAATTCTGCTCTAGACGGCACTATTCTCGACTCTGGATCGCGCGGTAAAATTTTCATGGTCTAACTGGTAGCGCGTTATCCACCCGACCGAAACCACACGGGTTCGAGTCCGGTCGGAGGGCAAGGCCCAAAAATGGCGGGAAACGATAAAATAAAAACAAAAAGATAAAATAAACGTAAAATTAAGGTAAAACTAAACTTTTAACACCATAATAAAAGTGTTTTATTAATATTTTTATATTTTTACGTGACGCCCACCTAGGGGCGATTTCAATTATGGGCGGCCCAAATTTTGCACTAAACTTACAATGGTACTAACGATGGTACAGTATTATTAACATAGTATAATATAATTAAAATAGTACTGAAAGTAGTACAGTTCTACCCCTGAGCTTTTCTGTCCTACCCAATCCCACCCCTGACCTTTTCAGCCCAATCCAAGTCCACCCTTGACCTATCTAGCCCCATCCAAATCCACCTCTGACCTTTTCAGCCCCATCCAAGTCTAACCCTGAGTTTTTTGGCTCTACCCGACCTTACCCTGGTCTTTTTAGCCCTACCTGAACCTACTCTGGCCTTTTTAGCCCTACCCGACCCTACCCCTGCCAATTTAGCCCTACTCGACCCTACCATTGAACTTTTTAGCTCTACCCAACCCTACCCTAGCCTTTTTAGCCTTACCCGACCCTGCTCCTAATCTTCTTACCTTACTTTAACATACCATACCCTATGCTACCTAATATACCATACGCATCTTACCAAACATACCAAACCATGCCCTATGTTACCTACTACACCATACAATACAGGGTGTCCCAAGTATTTCTGCGAAAAGTAAAAGCTTCGTTCTCGATGAGTACTAGTCCAAATTGGACAATTCTTTTTTTAGTACACTTGAAATTGCGGGCGGATTTGGTATTAGTACTTTGTTTTTTAATATTCGGCGGACGGTCGGCGGAGACTGGCGGAGGCTATTTTTTTGCTTTGGCCAATCGAAAACTTTGATTTTTGATTTCTATGTCACCTACTGATTCGTCAAAACGCTTTCCAATCAAAACATGTTTTTCTCTGCTGCGGCGGACGATCGGCGGAGGAAAACGGCGAAGTCCGTAACTCCGCTCAAACTTAATATTTTTTCATCGAACGAAAACTGAGGCTATTCTTTTAAGTTTTTTAACTGCTTTAGTTACTTTTTGAATTAAAAATACGATTTTTTCAAATTGGCGGACGGTCGGCGGAGGAAATCGGCGAAGGCCATATCATGGTCAATTTTCAATATTTTTTCACCGGACAACGACTAAAGATGTTTTTCGAAGTCTTATAACCATCATAATCAAGCCCTACCATAACATACCTTATCCCACCCTATCTTATCTACCGTACCATACCATTACGTACCACATCATACCATACTATATCTGACTGTATTATACCATTTACCTTGCTTTACTTACCTACCTATGAATAGTACACGGTAGTGTTGTATAAGATTGAATAAGGTAAGTTATTATACAGTTTGGTATGGTATGGTATTGTAAGATATGATATGGTATTGTAGATAGTATAGGGTATTGTACAGTATATTATAGTATGATATGGTATTATATGTTAGGGTATTGTAGGGTTCGGTATGGTAAATAAGATAAGTGATGGTATAATAGATAAGATAGGTTATGGTATGGTGTGGTATTAAAGGTATGGTGTGGCAGAGTGGGTAGGGTATAGTAGGGTAGGGTATGTTAGGGTATGGTGTGGTATAGTATAATATTGTAGGGTTCGGTATGGTAAATAAGATAAGTGATGGTATAATAGATAAGATAGGTTATGGTATGGTGTGGTATTAAAGGTATGGTATGGCAGAGTGGGTAGGGTGTAGTAGGGTAGGGTATGTTAGAGTATGGTGTGGTATAGTATAATATTGTAGGGTTTGGTATGGTATGGTATGTTAAGGTAGGGCAGAGTATGATAAAGTACGGCATATTATGTAAAATATGGTAGAATATGGTATAGTTTGATATGGTATGTTTGGTAAGGGATATTCGGGTCTGCTAGAAATTTATTTACAAATAAAAGCTAGTTAAATAAACTTAATTTTCGTTATAATAACATTTTTAACAAATAAAAATAACCAAATTTAATGTTTACACTATACCGGAAAATTAAATTCTAAAAAACCAAGCTTTGTTTAGTTTTTAATCTTATTATTCATTTACAAATAAATGGAATAGCAATCCCAATTATCAGGACAGCCGTCTAGCCATGGACCACATCTTTCAACTTGTCCAATTTTGATAAAACGTCTTATCAGACATTATAACAGTAATAATATAAAAATATTAATAAAACACTTTTATTTTGGTGTCAAAAGTTTAGTTTTACCTTAATTTTTTATTTTATTTTATCTTTTTGTTTTTTTTTAATCGTTTCCCGCCATTTTTGGGCCTTGCCCTCCGACCGGACTCGAACCCGTGTGGTTTCGGTCGGGTGGATAACGCGCTACCAGTTAGACCATGAAAATTTTACCGCGCGATCCAGAATCGGGAATAGTGCCGTCTAGAGCAGAATTTTACGCTGATTCCGAATATGAAAAAAAATTCCATCACGATAATGTAATTTTCTTGAGAAACGGTGCATTTTATGTATGCATATACCAGTTTGGAGTATTAGGACCACTTTTATAAGTTTGACATAATAAGATAAAATGTAGAGCATAAAAAACTAAGCTTGCACACAAAATTTCAAAACAATTGCATTAATTTAAAATGAGATATGGCCCGGCAAAGGCAGCATAGTAAATCCGTCATTATGACGTATTTTTCAAAAAAAATTTAGGAAAGTGTTTTTGAACACCTAAAGATGTATTTTATTCAAAAAAATCATAAGGTAAAATTTCTAAGGCAACCGCCGATTCAAACTCTCGCGAATCGTCTTTTAAATTGTTTAATTCTTTTTAATTTGTTTAGATTTGATGTTGGTAAGACTAGTAAACTGGCCCTCGATTTATAATTTTTTTTGGTATATGTATTTGTTTTATATTTATCGCAAGGCAATTTTTCTTGCGATAAATATAAAACTTTGCGCGAGCTAATTGTAAGCTGGACCTTGGGACCTTGGTTTAGGCATTGGCTTACACGTGTCGGCTTGGCTTGGCTCTTTTCAAATTTATTTATAGACAGGCCTAATGGGCTTCTTCCAGGATTAAACTTGACTATTGATACAGCCACTTGAAGATGTGTGTTTAAATTCGTCTGGTCAAATCTTTCCGTGTAGGGCTTCTCTAAAACTTAGTCCTACTTATAAGCTGGAGCTAATTTTAAGCCATTTTTTGTTTCTTGTAGGTTTCTACTGTATAATACACTAAACACGCGTTTTTCAACATTTGTATTAAAAATTCGTTGGTTTTTGTTCAAATTTTGCAACTTTATCCGTAATAGATAGATTGGAGCATTTGTGTAAACACAATTTCAATCCTATTTTTCAATCCACAATGAATAAGTTTTGATTTTAGGCGAATGGCTTCAACCCATATTGTTGGAGTTGATGGCGAGGGCCTAGTTTATTATGGGTTTGGCGGAGAGAAGATCATATTGAAGTGTTTGGTGTCGCAAGAAGATCTTCAGGCTGAACTGGGTGTGAATTCTTGTTGGGTAAGGTATTTATAATTATCATAACGATAAGGGGCTTAAGCTGGGTCTTTGAAAATTTCGGCGATGATCCGGCTTCAGTCTTTCCCGGCCATTCAAATTTGTGGCGGTCCGGTCTAGTGGGTTCTTTTTTAGGTATACTAATGCACTACTAGTCGTAACTAAACTTACTTGCTGGTTTCTCTCTAAAAAATCATGAAAAACCTATTTTAGGTATGCAGCTCTCCGTCCAATGGTATTCATTTTAAAGCTGTGAGCTGTGCCGCTTGTAACGCTTTCTTCCGTCGAAGTATCGCTTCACGACGCGTGTATTTATGCAGAAAGAATGGGGATTGTGAAATCAGTAAGAATGTGCGATGTTTGTGCAGGGCTTGTCGACTCAAAAAATGCGTTTTTGTAGGCATGGATGCAAAAGGTGTGGGTGGTTTTCAAATTTCAACAAAAAAAGTCTAAAAATACAAAACAAACTTTTATTTGTTTTTCATTTGTGTAGCATAATGTTGTTTTTTTAGTTGTCCAACCTCAACGTGGCCAAATGAGCGAAAACGATGGTGTAACGGTGAAAAAAGAGGTTTTGAAGAAAACAATTAAAATTGAAAATAAGTGAGTTTGAAGAGAAAAAAAAGAAAGTTAGTAGATAAACTAACCTTGTTTGTAAAAAAACTTTTATACCATTTTGTAACCGTTAGGTATACAGTAGAACAGCACTTTAACAAACTTCTGTGTAACCAACAACTTTCTATTTCTCGGCCAACACTACGCAACGCATTTAAAGAAGTTTGGGTACAGAGTAATTGTAAATGCACTATGTGGTGTTGGCCGAAGATTCAAGAGTTGTTCCTTATACGGGGCTTTGTTATGTTTGTTATGTAGGGTTTTCATACTGTATTTTTTGCAAAAAGTTAGACAATGCAAAAGGTAAAAAAGCAAGTGAAAAGTGCGAATTTTTTTTAAAACCTAATAACAGTAAAAAACTTTAGAACAAGTCCGTGTTCTGAAGATTCTACTATGCGGTCCGACTGTGAAAGCGTTTTATCATTGAAGTTGTTAAGCGACAAAAGCTCTCCGTACAACGTAAGTCAACTTTTATTTTTTTGCGAAAAAAATTTTTTATTTTTGCAATTTTCTTGTCACATACATTACAGTAAAATACATTGTAGCTTCTGTATAACACAAACTTTGTATAAATAACAACTTTTAACTCATCGGCTAACACTGTAGAGTGCATGTAAACCGCCCGTATAACAAAAGAAATTCCACTGTACAAAAGTTCTAATGTACTTGACTTTTATTCTAAATTTTCTCAAATCTTTTGTAACATAGACAACATTTTTTACAGCCCGAAAGCTTTAAAACCTGCGATTCAAGTCCGTCCACTTCTTCCCATTCTCACTTTCAATTCAAAATCATTGACGTTGGTCTGACGGCGTATCGTAAGCTTCTGAACCGTCGTCGAATCATCTACACAACCACGTCTTTATACGATATGATGGCGGGTATTGAACCGCCGTTTCGGAAACACTGTTCGGCTGACCATCATCGACTCGAGAGCGCTCAAATACGAACATGGGTCACCAATGCTATCGAGTTTTTTGATTCGTTTGCCTTTTTAAAGGAGCTTGAGGTCAAGGAGAGGTGTAACATGTTCAAGGAGTTCTTGTTGAACTTTATCAGTTTGGAGAAGTATTATCTCAGTTACAAGTAAGGTTTGGAATGACTTGAAAGTTTTATGAAATTACTTATTACTCCTGTTATTATTCTAGTATATATTTATACTTATTAATATTATCGTATATACTGATATTTCTAGAATGGGTGGTGCTGTTCAGAATCGTATCTACTGTCAAGACTATGTTTACATCGACTTGAATGAACTGATCGAAACCACAAATGAAAAACAAGAAACTCTATCAAATCCTGTAAAACAAAGTGAAATTTATGCTACTGGTCGAGTAAAAAATGACAGTATAAAGGCTTCAAGTTTAACTCACTCAGACAAACCTTTGTCTTCAACCCACCTAACCAAAGCTTCTTCTGAATTCGTTGGAAGCTTGGTTGACAACATTGAAACTGTAAACGCCATTGAAAATTCTCTGATTCAACTTGGAACGTCTAGTCAAACAGCTGATACAAGTAGAACAGGAGTACTTGATAGCACATTGAAAATCTCTGAAATGCCTGTAGATACAATCGCTACCAGTAGTGTTAACAAAAGATTAAAGACGGACTCTGTAGGCTCAGTAGAGTCCAATGTTTCGACTAAAACAAGTAAAAATTTGAAGATGGATCAGATGATGGACAAAACGACAACCAACAAAATAAACCTGCCTGACTGTATTAAAGCTATGGAGCTGTTGGTACGACCGATGCATGAGCTACAAATGGACGACACTGAATTCATCTGTTGCACTGTTTCTATCATGTTTGATACGAGTAGGTGTTGTTTTACAATTTTTTTTTATTTTTTAATATTTAATTTTTCCTGATAACTTAAGTACGTTCAGGTTTTTGAGTACCTAACCAGAAATTTCAGATATTGTCAATGCAAATCCAGCAATAAAAGAATTGAGCAAAAAAGTTCGAAACCAGTTGTATCAGGAATGGTTCCACTACTATGCTGCCTTAGGCTACAATCATGACGAAGCCGCGATTCGAATGGGAAATGCGCTATTGATTGGACCGACGTTGATCGAGTTTGTTAATCATGTCAAGCAAAACTTTCATTTAATGCGAGTTTTCGGCGACAGCGATGATTATGATAAGGTGCTGAATGACATTTTTATGCCTTGATTTTGTGTAAACACGAGGTATGATGAAAATGTAAATAATTTTAAATTCCATTGTTAATAAAGCTTTATTAGTCGTGTTTACAAGGAAGTTTTTTCACTTATTGGTTGAACCAAAGGTAATGGGAAACTTTTTAATTGAAATATAAATCAAAGTTGTCCCGCTACTTTTGATTCATCTATTACACTTAATATACTATGCAAATGTTTACACTTACCTTGTTTTATGATTTGTGACTAAAAACATTGTTGTTCTCTGTTTTCTACTCCACCTGTTCGACAGACCGTTTAAGCGTCTTTGCTTGTTTTTTGTTTCAGCGCAGATCATTAAACGTTCCGTTTGTTATGTTCAATCAAAAATTGTGAAAACAAGGGTTTTGTAGTGTCTGCGGCTAGACAAAGGTTAAGTGTGGTTGGCTAGACGAGAATGTTGGTTTTTCAAGTAGTTTTTACTTTTATACCATAGTTAAATGACCTAATCCAGTTTAATTTAGGAGTTAAAGTCAGAACTTTTACTCCTTTTGCTTGCAAAAGACTTCTTGAATCGTTAAGTTAAAGCTTTTGAAAAAATTTGAAATTAAATTTTGAATTTTTAAAAATTTTTGAAGTTTAAAAACCCTTCAAATTGCCAAAACTTTCATAACGGATTTGGGATTGCCCTTAGTAGCTTTTTGTTTGTTGTTTACGTCTGCATCGTAAAAATATTTTTCCGCTTGTAGGTATGCGTAATCCCTGTTCATCTCTGCTATCGCCCGTCATTAGCCTTTTTTATGAAGGAGGGTTGGTGGGTGGAGGTTGAGATCGTTGTTATGGCTGGGAATTTTATAGTTTTCAACATGTTATTGTTTGATCCGGTTGAAATGTTGTTTTAAAAGTTTGAACATTGAGTTTAAGTATTTTTGTGCTCTTTATTAGTTTTAACTTTTAAAAAAATGTTCTTATAATACAGTGAAACTCCTATATTACAAAATTCTTTATAACAAGCAAATTTAAAATCTTTCAACAATTTGTTATACAGAATTTTCACTGTTATAGTATATAGAGTTTAGGTACATACTTAACGTAACCAAATTTTTCTATAAACTTTGTCTTAAACTTTTTTTTGAAAGACTTTAAATTAAAAAGACCCGGATCTAGCCTAAAAACTGGGCACTGTCCTTTTACAGGTATAGTGGGGGCACCAGAGATGTCGATACAGATGTGCATGCTGTTTTATTATCTATTATTCTTTTAGGGCTGGGAACTAGGAAGAAAAGTAAAAGAGGGGTGGCTATGTTAGAATAGATTTCTTTTTCTTTACTTGGTTTGTTGTTTTATTCATTGTACTACGACATTTTTTTTCACTGTATCATAAGTTTTAAAATACGTCTGAAATTTGTTATCAACCGGCCTTATTAATTGATCTTACGTTTTAAATTGAATAAAATTTAAAAACTGTAATATAGCATTGTAATAGGAATTTTAATTTAGATTTACAAATTTTAATCGACCCTTAAAAATGTCGGACCCAGATACTTTTATAAAAATTGGCGCAGAAATGGTGAAAATTACTGAAAGGTTGGCTGAAGCTGATCAGTCGACCGAATGGCCTACAATAGAACTTGACACCCCGGAAGTGAAGATCTACTCTCGGCCGCCGAAAGAGTTTCCAACTGCTGAAGAAAAAATGCTGCTGACTATCACTAGAGTTGAAGTATGTTGTTTTAAACTACTCGTACAGTATAGCACCAAGTCTTCATAACATGTTTTTACTTATATTAACTATAACAACTCTAACTTTATATTGCTACTTTAAAGGCTAACATCGAAAAAGTGTTTACATTATCATCGAACACGGAAGGCTACCGACAGAAATGGGACGACTTATTGGAGAAGCAAGAAGTAGTGACAAAGCTGAATGACAATACATGGATCACTCATTCCTATGTCAAGAAAAAACTGATTTTGTCAGCTAGAGACGCGGTGGAAGTTTTACAGGTATGGTAAATAAATTACAGTCAATATACTTGAGGAACAGAGCTAAAAAATCAAAAATTTTTAAATTTGGCAGATTGTAGCGTGGTAGAGAAAAAAAAGAAGGTAGCATAGAACCTGTATTTTAAAAAGAGCTACATATCATGTCTTTTGTGTAATCCTTTTTGATTTATATACCTTTTTATTACAGGTAAAACGTCGAGACGATGGCGTTATAATCATGGGACTTCAAGGTATTGACTACCCTGAACGTCCACCAACCAAGAACTATGTTCGCACAAAACAATTCATTTCTGGCACTTATCTAAAGCCTGTCGGCGACAATTGCACTGAATTTAGACATGTGTTAGCGGCTGATCTTAACTTACCCGTCCCGAAGCTGATGGCTTCAATGGCGGCTTCGTTCAAGCCTAAACTAATTTCGGAGTCTTTGGGAAGTTTGAAAAAAGCTGCCAAGACTATTAATGTAAATTGAGCTTGTCGTTATTGATGCACATATTTCTTGGTTTCTAAATTTATCACAATGGTTTTACGTAAAGTAGAACTTTGACATAACATCATAAAAACTTATTTTATGCAAAAATGCTTTCTACAGGACTTCTACTGTAATTTAAGTCTGACTTAGCACTAGTCTGCAGTGAGCGTTAATTATATGTACCAACGTAGTACTAATCTTCATATTGCATTTATGAATAGCCTTAAATTAAATTATACTTCTAAACGTACATGTTAATGCATTTCTAGACAGACATTTAATGACTTTGTATATTCATTAAAACTGCACAGTAACTTGTACATGTACTTCAATATCAGTACATATTCATCTCTCTTTCTTTCTTTATTGCTTCTAAGAATCGCTTTCTCATCACATATCAACTCTACACCGACTCAAGAATTAAAGCACAATAAACTTTTGTAGTTTCTAGTACGTATTCGAATCAGTAAAACGTATGTGTATCACAGTAAAGGTAGATTGCGTGTTTGGTAGAATTTACTGCTTCTTCCAGCTATACCGACAAGGTTAACATTGTGTCGGATTGTAAAGCTAGCGTTGTAAATAGCCGGTACCAACCTTGGGCATTGGAAGAAGAGGGTGAGAGTGGATTAGTAAAGGACAGGCCGGTTTTTCAATTCTACCCACGCCCAAACCAAGAAAAAAACCTAAAAGTTGTAATAGTTAAAATAATAACCAGGTCAGCTTGTATAGTACTGCTTATGTGCTGTAAAGTACCAATAATTTGACAATTTTGAGTTTTAAACAATATTCATAAAGCAAACAGATTCTAAATCAGATTCGTTTTACACTTTTGGCAAGGGTAATCTTTCGTTGCGAGACCTAAACTTGTCTTCCCTTTGAGACTTTCAGTTAGGCGTTTTATGTGAGCCCGCACAACCAGGCCAATTCCGGGTTTTTTCTAATTTTTTTAGCCCAAGCTACAGGCTTTTTTTCAAGTCTACTTATGTAAATGGCATACCAAAATGTTATTATGAATCCAGAAACAATTTTAAAGAATTAAAACAATATAGTTTTCAGATAAAATGTAAAATTAAATGTAAAAAGTTGTATAACTCTAATTTTTTTTTATTATTAAAAATTTAACAATTAAAAAGCAATTACATGTTTACCACAAATTAAAAAATTGTTTTTAACATGTTTTGTTTGTGCTTATTCTCAAATGTCACTTCCCTTTTACTTTGTTTTGATACAAATTGGATCATAATACAATTTTTCGATCTCTGTTTTCGACTGGTGCAAACTTGGGCATATGTTTACTAACTATAAGTATAAAATGTTGTTTTTGCTTTTCTTCACGTGATGTGGAACAGTAAATACAACAGGACCCTCGTATAACAAACTGCACGAAACTTTGAAAGTTGCCCATTATTAGTTTTCCTATGATTCTGTAAAAATGGCAAAGCAAGTTTTCAAAAAATTAAAAAATTAAAATATATAACTTCTTCAGGAAAGGCTTTTTCCTGTCAACCTCGAGGAATCGGATTTTTTCCTTTTTTTATATTATCCTTAATATTTTCCGATATTTAAGCGATATTTCTTTTGTTGTGAGACAAGTTTTTTTTTTCATAAATATCAAAGTGTAGTTTAAAAAATATCAAAATATCGAAGTATCGATCGATTATTGAAAATCCAAAGTGGGGATATATTAAGACTAAGCAACCGAAAAAGTTAAGTAACCTCAGAGTAGTGTCATACTGATAGGTATGAGTTTATAGAGCATAAACATCCCTTAAACTCCTTTCCCTCCTTTCTTTTTGACGTTTTTTTGACGGTCTATTTTAGGCGATTATACCAATGATAACGTGCGTTGGACCAATAAGTTTGACTGTGATTTGCTTCTTGCTAAAGCTCGACTTCAACGGGTTGGAAGTCACTCTATATGGTTGTGTTGCGTGGATTCCAGTTTTGAATGTTTGTTTTACAATTTACTTTATCAAGCCGTACCGACTGTATGTCATAAAGTTTTTGACAAAAAATAAGTTCATTCAGACGTCGATAAGTTTGGTCCCAAACGACAACACCCTAACCCACAATACAAGAATGTAGTTTAGGATGTTGATATCATTTGTCTTTGACGTTTCGTTGTGTTCCTAATGCGATAAAGATTTAAAAAGAGTAGGATTGTTTTGTAAATATTTAAAATCAGCAGTAAAAAATAAAAAAGTGACTTTTAAGTGGAACATAACAAATGTTTTTATAAGAAAATTTTGTAAAACAAGCTACATTACAACAACAGTAAAGCAAGTCATCTTAACGCTCTATTTACTCATACACAGTGCATTTAAGACTTATATGACTAATGTAGAACTCCTGTTAAAAAAAATGTTTAAGTAACGAACAATTTTTAGTTTTCTGTTGTGCAAGCTTGTATGTCGCTTTATATGGAAGTTTTATAGAAATATACACCTATGGTATGTACAAGTTGATGTCTATGTGGCTCGTTACTTGGTATAAAGCTGGTTATAAAATACAAGTGTTCTTTACGTCTTGAGGTCTTCACACAACTACAAGTTGATAGTGCTGTGATAAATAACGCATTACTAATCTGACTTGGCACGCTATAGACCAATTATGTTTTTGTATGGGGCGCTTTATAACAATCATGTACTTGAAATACCATATAAACAACCATTTATCTAAGGCAATTTTTACATAAGTACCCTACGCAACTCATATTTGTTGAAATTTGATTACTCTATTGTCTCTTATTGTTTGCTTCGTATTGTGAAACTTTGGTATAACAGCTAGTGTGAAATTTTAACTGTTCAGACATGCCTTGTCCTTCATACCTACAATTTACAACGTGGTGTTTTCGTATTACAACGTTTGTTGGCCCACTTTTGAGTATTCTTTTGCTGTATGTGATCTACAACACCAAAAAAAGTGTTCTACGAAACTTTCAATCGATTCTTATACTTTGTGGTATTCATGACTTGTTCTTTGAGATTGCTTGCTTTACCACTAACTTGGTAGGTTTTTTAAGTAACGCCTTGTCTAGCGGGCCGCATATAGACAGGTTTGTACACAGTAACGTTTTACAGATCATAAATATAAAAGCAGATGTCATTGTTGTTGGTGTTAAATATGGAAGTAACCAAATGTATGCGATTGTTGCGTATATAGGCTTATACACGTATGGCACGTACATGTTAATGTTCATGTTGCTAGTTACCTGTCGGTATCGTTACAGCGTTGTAAAAAAGTACGTTTTTTCAAATTATTAGAGTTTTATTTAGAATATATTTCTTATAAATGGTCTTTTTATAACTCTACCTTAACTTGGCAATTGCTTTCTAAAATATTTTGTCTTCAGTACTTATAAGACGCTAACAAAACAATGGGTAAAGTCGTATGCTACAGTATCAATTACATGTCTTATATTCACCTTATATACGGTATGTGTGTTGTTGTTTGAAGGCACTGTACTAAAACATCATAAATCAGGTGGCTTGTGTTTTGGCAAAAGTAACAACAATCTTATTGCTTTCAGTACGGTAAGTTGCTTAAATTTGGAGGCTTAAAGAGAGGGGGGGGGGTGAAAGAGCACAAAACAGTAAAAAACTTTATAAGTTCTTTTAATGAAAAAATTCGCAATAATGATGTGTGTCATTTCAGCGATCGCCGATACTAATAGCATTCATCTGCTCTTGGATTGTTTTAATTTGTAGTATCTACATCGCGTCAATGTATTATGGAGTAAAAGCCTATAAGATCATTAGTCAAAATGCGGCATTATATTCGGCAAAAACATTGGCAACACAGAAGCAACTTTCAAAGATTTTGATAGTTCAAGTAAGGTTTTTAATTAAACTTTTATTCCCTTTACTAGCACTGTTTTGCCGAACCGGGTCCGGTCCGGCCCAAATTTTCAAAAATTGCAAGATTGAAAATAACTTTTGAGCTTATGGTTTGAACTTTTAAAAAATAATATAAAAATAACTCTTGTGAAGGTTCGTCTCATACAAGTTCCTCGCTAAACATTTAGACCGGACCGAATCGGTCTTGCCGGTCCGGACGATCCATTTCGGTAATAACTTGATAGCCAAAGAAGGACCTTCACAAAAGTTATTTTTTTTAAAAGTTCAGACTATAAGCTAAAAAGTTATTTTCAATTTTGCAGTTTTTAAAGAACTGTGCTATAAAGTTCTTTGGCCCTCATCTTACCCACCCGACTTGTCTCCTACCGATTATCAGTTTTTCACGCATCTGAATCAGTTCGTCTGGCAAAAATGCTTCAAAACTAAAGATGAGGGCAAACGGGGCTTCAAAGATTATCCAGAAGACTGGACTTCTACGAAAAAGACATGAAGCAAGTTGCCGCACGTTGGGAAAATGTTAAATATGCTGGTTGTTAATTCGGTTATAAAATTGTTGTTGGAGAAACTTTTTCTTTGTTAAGGTGTATGATACCGGCCATTTTTTTGGAACAAACAAATATTAGTCCCGTTAAAACTGAAAAGAAGGCGTAGTAAGAGTTTTATATGTATATAGTTTAAGCTCTTACGATCGCTAGCCGGGAGCTTTCACCAGTTGTAAAAGTTCTTCCTGGTAGCTTTATATTTTTTTCTATACTATATAAGTCTTGTTCTAAAAGCCTGTTATAAGACAATCTCAGAAAAAGTGAACCACGCCTTTGCTACCTTATTTGACTGTCCATTTCAGGCGATTATACCACTGATAACATGTGTAGGACCAACAACTTTGGCCGCGATTTTCTTTTTATTAAAACTCGACTTTAACGGTTTGGAAATAACTCTATATGGTTGTATCGCGTGGATTCCAGTTCTGAATGTTTGTTTTACGATCTACTTTATCAAACCGTACCGACAGTATGTCATAAAATTTTTGAAAATAAGAGAAATTACCCAAACGTCGGTAACTTCGGTTTTAAACGACAACACTCTTACCCACAGTACAAGAGGATAATTTGGAAAGTTTGATATCACACGGCGTTGACGTTTCTTTGTGTTTTTAATACAATAAACATGTAATTAACAAAAGTAGGCTTTTTTCGTAAACAAGCTATACAGTTAAAAAACAAAAAAAAAGACTTTCAACTGGAACGACTGCATAAAGAAGATGAGCAAAAAATTTCGAAAAAATAAACCGCGGTAGGAATATTGTATAATGTCTCTATAACCCCGTATAATAATTAACTTTTAAATCCTTGGTTAACGCTACACAACACATTTGGTTTATTCACACCCTAAAATGAACAAAATTTAAATTCAAGAGCAATTCGTTATACTTTTGTTCCACTGTAATTCGTTATACAAAAGTTTTACTGCAAAGTAAATTTCTTATAAAAAAACGACCTTAGAACCTCGATGCTGTTCTTTGTACAGAAGTTCAACTGTACTATATTGTTTCAAAAGCGACAGACAAATTAAGACAAAACGGAAGTTCAAGCACTGAAATAGTACTGTAAAACACATTTTTTTGTATTGTTTAATTTATAGATACAATTTGTTTCTTTATACATTGAATTAATTACGAAATAGCTTAGTTCTAGGCTACTTGTGACTTTTCAAGCACTTCAACAGCCTTTTTACCGTGTTCCGCTTATTAAAAACAATACACTACACTTTGAATAACTCTAATATTATAATAACCTTGCAAAACCTAATTACAGGCTATTTGTAAAACTTTTATAGTTAGAAAACGCTATTCAAATAGTTTCAGCTACCATATTTTGTGTAATAAACTGCCATACTTAGTGTCATCAACTATTATACAAAGTGTCATAAACTACCATACTCAGTGTGATCAAATACCATACTCGGTGGAGTTAATCAGATTGGAGGATGAACTGCCAAAATTATTTAAAATTTGCGAAAATTGGTCATAAAATTACGTATTGCGCTGGGCCCGCGTTGAATCTTCTTTTGTGCTACATCATCTACCGGACTCGGAAGAACGTACTCAACAACTACCAAGTCATTCTGATCTTGTATTCGATTCATTACTTTTTGTTTGAAGCGGTTTATTTTACTAGTGGAATGGTAAGTATAGTAAAACCTTTTTACAGAGAAAACAACCAAAATTTTTTTAAAAGATTTATGTAGGAAATAATGAACCCTTTTAATAAATTTTTAAAATTGACTTCCCATTGTAATTAACTTTCATAGCAGAACATGAACATCAAAGGAACTACTACTATCATTGGGGTAACAATCGGACATGACCAACCTTTGCTCGTTGTGATGTTCGTAGCGCTTTATACATACACCGCATTTAGTTTAATATCAATGCTATTAGTCAGCAGCTACTACCGTTATAATGTCATCAAAAAGTAAGTAAATAAAATCATTACTGTGCAGTTTGTTAGAAAAAGCAAAGTAAAAACTTGTAAACCTCTAGTACATCTGTTTCAAGGTAAAAGAGATACAGATTTTTAAAATAAAAAAAAACCCGATTTTTCAAGCGGAATCGAACTTTTTTGATTTTTGAACATTTTTAAATGCCCTTACCTCATTAACAAAAAATAATTGAAAGATAAAACTTTCTGAACTTGTACAACTTTTTATACTCTATAAAACGTACATGTTCAATTTTTTTAAAAAAATTTATGCAAGTACTTTGTAAGTATAGGGTACGGTAGAATTACTGTAACTTTTTCGAATCAACAAGAAAAAACATTTTTTTTTGCAATTTCGTTGCCAAAAAGAATATTGTAAAATCACAAAAATTTTAAGCTTTACTCTTTTAGTTTCAAGAAAGTTATACTTACAACCGTCGTGTCTCATTTTTTCTTGCCGCCACTGTACCTTCTGAAAAGCTTTTTTAAACGTATTTTTAAACAAATATTTGTTGTAGCAGGCAAGTGAAACGAAACAACCAATGGATAGCGCCATATGTCACGTTGACAGCCGTTTGTCTAATAATAAGTTTGCTGTTTGTCGTTGTTATAGATATTGATAAGAATTTACAATCTTCCTACAAACAACTTAATTGGTGCCATGACGACAACATAACTAACGTTATAGTTACAAGATTGGTAAGTGTTTTAAAATTTAAAAATTTTGGATTAAACGTTTGCATCTTAATTTTCACAATGTGTCAATCAACAGTAAATCAAATTTTAAGCATATAAGCTATTAACTTTACAATTTATAAACAATTTAGGCGTCTCTTAACGTGGTAGTGTCAATTGCGGCTTTTATATTCTTAATAATGGTTTATAGTGCTGCGTTATATTACGGTGTAAAAACGTACAAACTTATAAATAAAAACATCATTCACGTTTCAGCAAGGACAATAGAAACCCAGAAGCAGTTGACTAAGATGTTAATCGTTCAGGTAAGAGTATTTTTGTAATTTACTTGCATAGGCAATCCTGAACGCTAGAGTAGGGAAATAGAGAAAGGAGGGAGGATAGATTGGGGAGGGGTTCAGGGAGGGTTGGGGAGAAGTTGGAGTGCAGAAAGTTTGGGGTGGGTTTAAGGAGGACTTGAAAAAAAGGCTAATACGTTTCCTTAGTAGACTGAAAAAGGGGCCCATTATGCCAGTATCGGCTCTGGGACGGCGTGAGAAAATCAATTTGAAAAGATTTTGGGTTAGTTTTGATCGTGGGGACTTGAGAGCCTGTCCTAAAGGATAACCTCAGCTTTCCAGCTAATGTCCCGCAACGAAAGATTTGACTTCTTTTATAACAAGATGCAGTGGGGTTCTAAATTTGTTAGTTATACAGGAGCTTCGGTATAGATGAGTTTGTTTATATTTGTTTTATTGTACTTAATCTAAAAATTTCAGGCAATAATACCCTTTATAACATGTGTTGGTCCTCTTTGTGGAGCTTTTCTTGGCGTTCTCTCAAAAGTAGATTATGACGGTTTAGAAATTACTGTAAATGGCTGTATGTCATGGATCCCAGTATTAGATGTTTTGTCAACAATCATTTTTATCAAGCCTTATCGTCAATACATCATGCGTTGTTGGACAAAAAGAAAGTCACTGGTTAGCCATTCGTCGATGAGTGCACACAATCGGACGGCGAATGGTACTGCGGAGTTTATCCAAGTACAATAGGGTTTTTTTCAAGTTTAATATTTCCAATTTCATAAAAGTGTACTATTTCTAAACAATGTGCATATACTACAAAGTTTTACATCGTGGTTTGCTTCATACATTACCGACTACAAGTAAATAAGACTATTCGCTACAATTTGGCACCTTACAACAAAAGAATAACGTGTACAATTGTTTATAGAATCTGTAAACACATTTTTCCTACATTTTGTGTACAATTATATTATAATATAAATTAAAGAGTCACTTATGAACATTGGATAAGAGAGACAAACAAAACCAAATACAGTGAATTTCCGGTAGATAGGTTTTTGGCACATCCAGAAAATCACGTTACGAAATTTTGGACAGTCCTAGAACTTTCTGTTAGCAACCTGTATAAAGAGATTTCCAAGGCTACCTGGGCCGATTTTTGCAAAAATTTTTTTTCGAAAATCTACAGGGGGACCACGTTCAACTTTTTTCAAAAATTTTTTTTTCTGGGGGGGGGGAGTGTACCTTTACAAAACAAGAAATGTGGGCTTTAAAAGGCATTGTAAGGCTATAATAGCTCAATCATTTTTATCTGAAAGTTATCTTAATAACGAAACACTTAATGATTCTATTTTTTGTTTCAGCGATCGCCCATACTAATATATAGCATTGATCAGCTCGTGGCTTGTTTTAATTGTTAGTGTCTACAGCGCGTCAATGTATTATGGAGTAAAAGCGTATAAGATCATTTCCCAAAACGCCGCATTATATTCGGCAAAGACATTGGCAACACAGAAGCAACTTCAAAGTTTCTGGTAATACAAGCAAGTAATTCCAATTAAGATTCTGACCCAAACTGAAATAGCCTTTGCTAAGAAATTCAATCACATTCCCCCGGCTTTTGATAGGTGACCTACTAGATTGGCAAAAAAAGAATTTGATGTTTTTTATCGTCCATTTCAGGCGATTAGACCCATGATAACGTGTGTAGGGCCAATAAGCTTGACCGTAATTTGCTTCTTACTAAAGCTTGACTTTAACGGCTTGGAAGTCACTCTATATGGGTGGATCGCATGAATTCCGGTTCTAAATGTTTATTTTACGATTTACTGTATCAAATCGTACCGACAGTAGTTATAAAGTTTTTGAAAAGACGAGAAGTCACTAAAACGTCCATAACTTTGGTTTCGAACGACAACACTTATATCAACAACACAAGAATGTGGATGGATGTTGATGTCAGTTGTTTTTGGCGTTTCTTTGTATTTTTACTACATAATAATAAAGATGTAATTAGAACTGTATAACGAACTTTTCTATAACTAAATTTTCTCATAACAAACAACTCTTAAATCCTCATCTACTACTACTCAGTGCACTTTATCTTTTGAATATCTATCTATAAAGACGCTTTCGTGCAACGAGCAATTTTCAATTTCTCTGTTGCGCAAGCTTATGTTGTTTTGTATTAAAATTTTATAGGCTTATACACTTGTAACACGTAAAGTTGATGTCTATGTGACTGGTCACTTATTATTAACCTTGTCATAAGACACAAGTGCGTTTTACGCATTGACGTCTTCATGCAACTACGAGTTGATATTGCTGTGATAAACAATGTGTTACAAATCTGACTTGTCACACTAAAGAGCAATTTTGTTTTAGTATGGGGCGTTTTATAACAATTATGTACTTAAAATACTGTATAAACAACCGTTTATCTAAGGCAATTTTTTACATATGTAGGCCTACGCAACTCATATTTGTTAAAATTTGACTTCCGCCACTAGTTGTAAACTATAGTCACCTATTGCGTGCTTACAATTTGTACAGTGAAACCTTGCTATAACAAATACCGAGAGATTCAAACCGTTAAGAAATGACCTGCTGTTCATACTTACAATTTACAACGTGGTGTTTTCGTATTACGACGTTTATTGGCCCACTTCTGACTGTTATTTTGTTGTATGTCATTTACAGTACCAAAAAAGTGTTCTACGAAACTTTCAATCGATTTTAATTTTGTGTGGTGTTCACGATTTGTTCTTTGAGATTGTTTGCTTTTTCACTAACTTGGTGAGTTTTAAGTTTATAAATGGTTTTTTTATTTTCTTTTCCATTTCAGAGAATTGTATTATATATCTATCATCTGTTGATAAGTGACCCATATAGGATAAAAGAACATAAAAATTTACCGTTAAAAGCGTATTAAATTAAGAGTGAATACATATACAGTAACTTTTTACAGATCATAAATGTAAAGGCAGATGTCATTGTCGTTGGTGTCAAATACGGAAGTAATCAAATGTATGCGATTATTGCGTATATAAGCTTATACACTTATGGCACGTACATGTTGATGTTCATGTTGCTGTTTACCTGTCAGTATCGTTACAGAGTTTTGAAAAAGTACGTTTGTTCAGGTTAATAGAGCTATTTTTAAATATTTCTTTCAAATGTGTTCTTTTTATCCCCCTTCTCTTTCCCACTCCCCCTACCCCCTAAACTTGGCCATTGCTCCATAAAATAAAAAAAATTTTTTTAGTACTCATAAGACTTTTACAAGACAATGGGTCAAGCCATATGCTACAATATCAATTACATGTATTATATTCAACATATATACGGTATCTGTGTTGTTGATTGAAGGCACTGTACCAGAACATCATAAATCAGATGGTTTGTGTTTTGGCAAAAATAACAATAATCTTATCGCTTTCAGTACGGTAAGGTGCTTAACATTGGGGGACAGAAGCGGGTGGAGGCAGGAAGAGCACCAAACATCTCTGTAAACCAAAAAAAGTATATATAAGATAAAAGAGCTCAATCAACAATACCTGCAGGCTACTTTAATAAAAAAAATACTCACTAATGAGGTGTGTCTTTTCAGCGATCGCCCATACTAATAGCTTTCGTCTGCTCGTATCTTCTCTTACTTGTTAGTATCTACAGCGCGTCAATGTATTATGGAGTAAAAGCTTATAAGATCATTGGCCAAAATGCCGCATTATACTCGGCAAAAACATTAGCAACGCAGAAGCAACTTACAAAGATTTTGATAGTTCAAGTAAGGTTTTCAATTAAACTATTATAGTCTTTACTAAAGAATTGTATCAAATATCAATAGTATTTTGAAACAAGACGTACACAAAGTGAAAGAGCATAAAAAGTTAACGAAAAATTTATTCTCATGTCAAAAACGGCTAACTGGTCTTGGCTAGAATGTTACAGTAAGCTCAAACTTTTTATATTTCTAAAGTGCTTGTTGATTTAAGGATGTAAAATATAGATAAAAACGTTTAAAAAGTGATACAGAGAAACCTCTTCAGTACCCTTGTCATTACGTCACCCTATTTAAGTGACAGCTTTTTGACCGCCCTTCGGCGTAATGTCTGACTTCAATCAGACATTACGTGGGCATTTTATCACAGTTATAAGGACAAATAGTCCCGTTTCATGAGTCATAGTGAAGACTGAAAAGCAAAAATTCTGAGAAAAAAATCTTTTTTTACGTGAAAATTTTGTTTGGTTAACCAAAACGTCTTGTCATAGTGGCAAACCGCCAAAATCACTTTGACGCCGTTTGAAATCATCATCTTTTGCTATCCATACTTAGCCTTTAACCTCTCTGCCATACTGGCTTGATCTACTTACTGTGATGCAATGAACGAAAGTTGAAAGGGAAACAACTTTAGTAAATCAAAAAAGTGTTCCACTACTTCAGGACAATGTAACTCTTCACAGAGCACGGACGACTACGGTGAAGCTTCAAGGACTAGACTATAAATCCTTTGGATCCCGTCCTATTCACCTGATCTGTCTCTTACCAATTGCCGGTTTTTGAAACACCTGGATCAGTGCGTCGGCGGAAATGCTTCAATACCAAAGTTGAGGTCAAAAAGGGCTTCGAGACTTCGTTCGCCTTCCGAAGACTGGACTACGAAAAAAGCGTGAATCAACTTGTTGAACGTTGGGAAACACGTTGGTTATTATTTAGATTAGTAAACTTGTTGTCGAAGAAAGTTTTGCTTTGTTAAATTTTACGGTTAAAATCGGCTATTCTTTTTGGAACAACCTAATACATATTAGTCATGTTAAAGTTAAAACGAAGGTCTGGAAAGAGTTTTACATGTATACAGTTTGGTTTCTTATTACTCGCTAGCTGGGATTGTTTAGCAGTTTGAAACGTTTTTCCGTTAGCTTTATATGTTCTTCTATACTGTATGTCTTGTTCTAAAAAAAGAGAAATAGTTGAACTTTTTTGTTATAAAAAATTAAGAAAAAATTAAACCACACCTTATTTGCTGCTTTATTTGACCGTTTATTTCAGGCCATTATACCAATGATAACGTGTGTGGGACCAACAACTTTAGCCGCGATTTTTTTTTAATTAAAACTCGACTTTAGCGGCATGGAAGTCACTCTATATGGTTGTATCGCATGGATTCCAGTTTTGAATGTTTGTTCTACGATTTACTTTATCAAACTGTACAGACAGTATGTCATAAATTTTCTAAAAATAAGAGAACTTACTCAAACGTCGTCGGTAAGTTCGGTCGCGAACGACCACACTTTTACCCACAATACAAGAATGTAATTTTGAGCGTTTGATGTCACTTGTATTTGACGTTTTATAGTGTTTTTACCACAATAAACATGTCATTAAAGAGAGTAGGCTTGTTCCATAAACAAAGATTATAGTGAAAAATTTAAAAAGTAACTTTTAAGTGGAACGGCTGCATAATAAATGAAAGCATACAAAATTCCAAAAAAAATAATATACAATAGAATTACTGCATACCTCGTCTATAACAAGACTTCTTTATAGTAATAAGCATCTTTTAAAGCTCTATTTACCGCTACACAGTGCATTTAAAACTTCTTTATTTCGAAAAAATTTTATAATGGAAAAAAATAAATTCCCGAGCAATTCGTTATACAGGGTCATTAGAGAAATTTGAAGGAAAGTAAAAGCTCCGTACTCAAAAACTAGGAGTACTAAAAAGCCGATTTTTTAAATATAGTACCCAATAGTGGGCCATTTTGGAATTTTACTGTTTTGATCGAGTTCGGCGGACGGTCGGCGGAGACTCGGCGGAGACGCAAAATTTGTCAGATTTTTTCTTCAAAAGCTTCAAATTTGGTCGATTTTGTGTTTTGAAGGTACAGAATAGCATACTCTTTATAAAAAATTTATTTTTTCTCCGCGTCGGCGGAGACTGCATTTTTATCGGCGAAGGCTATAACTCGGCTCAAACTCAATATTTTCTCTTCGGACAAAAACTAGCAGAATTGTGACATTAAAACGCATAAACTAGTACTAATTTTGAAAATTTTCCGTTAATTTTGAAAATTCGGCGGACATTCAACTTTTCGGCGGAGACTATTACTCAGCCCAAAATTCATATTTTTTCCTTAAACAAAAAGATTTAACTTTACATTGTTTGTTTCTACGCGTAGTTTAAATTTGTTATTATTTGGTTTAAGTTTGACAATTCGGCGAAGGCACATGATTTCGGCGGAGATCATAACTCAGCTTAAAACTCATATTTTCTTCTCAAATAAAAAAAATTGAGTTCTTAGCTTTTTAATCCACTTAACTTTTAAATTTCGTCATTTTTACGCTAATATTGACAATTTGGCGGAGAGCAGTGTTATCGGCGGAGGCCATATCTTTCCCAAACTTAATATTACCTCACCAAATAAAAAATGAATGTTTATAAATTGTTAACATTCCTAATCCTATAGCTTTTCATGTTCACGTCAATTATGGGCCAAGAATCTGACAAATTTTGCGTCTCCGCCGAGTCTCCGCCGACCGTCTGCCGAACTCGACCAAAACAGTAAAATTCCAAAATGGCCCACTATTGGGTACCATATAAAAAAAGAATCAGCTTTTTAGTACTCCTAGTTTTTGAGTATGAAGTTTTTACTTTCCTTCAAATTTCTCTAATGACCCTGTACAAGAGTGTCACTGTGGTTTGAAAGTTATACTGTAAAGAAAAACTCATTGACAATAAAAAATCTTAAAATCTCTATGTTGTTCTTTGTATAGAAGTTCGACTGTACTATTTTGTTTTACAAACATCAGACAAATTAACACAAAACGGAAGTTAAAGCGTTGAAATGGTACTGTAAAACACATTTTTTGTATTGTTTAATTTGTAAATACAATTCTTTTCCTCATACATTGAATCAATTACGAAATAGCTTAATTATAGGTTTCTTGTGACTTTTCAAGTACTTCAACAACTTTTTCATTTTTTGCTTATTAAAAACAATACACTACACTTTGAATAACTCTAATATTATAATAACCTTGCAAAACTTAATTACAGGCTATTTGTAAAACTTTTATAGTTAGAAAACGTTATTCAAATAGTTTCGGCTACCATATTTTGTGTAATAAACTACCATACTCAGCGTGATCAGATATTATACAAGGTGTGATAAAGTCCCATACTTGGGCTAATCAAATCATATTCAGAAAATTTAATCAGCTTGGAGGATGAATTGCCAAATTTATTTAAAATTTGCGGAAATTTGTCATAAAATTACGTATTTCGCTGGACCCGCGTTGAACCTTCTTTTGTGCTACGTTATTTACCGAACTCGGAAGAACGTACTCAACAACTACCAAGTCATTCTGATCTTGTATTCGATTCATTACTTTTTGTTTGAAGCGGTTTATTTTACTAGTGGAATGGTAAGTATAGTAAAACCTTTTTACAGAGAAAACAACCAAAATTTTTTTAAAAGATTTATGTAGGAAATAATGAACCCTTTTAATAAATTTTTAAAATTGACTTCCCATTGTAATTAACTTTCATAGCAGAACATGAACATCAAAGGAACTACTACTATCATTGGGGTAACAATCGGACATGACCAACCTTTGCTCGTTGTGATGTTCGTAGCGCTTTATACATACACCGGGTTTAGTTTAATATCAATGCTATTAGTCAGCAGCTACTACCGCTTCAGTATCATCAAAAAGTAATTAAATAAAATACTTGTTGTTGCTTATACGTGTAGCTATTGTATAACAAAAATTCTGTATAACGAACAACTTATTCGACTATTTTTACACCGTGTATTTACATCTTATGGGTAACAAAACCAATAAACCTCTAATGAACCTTTTTCTAGATTATTATGTACCTTCTTAAAAGCTTAACAAAAGCAAATATATTTTTAAACATAAATATTTATCGTAGCAGGCAAGTGAAACAGAACAACCAATGGATAGCACCATACGTCACACTGTCATCCTTTTGTCTTATAATAAGTTTGCTGTTTGTGTTTGTTATAGATGTTGATTCAAATTCGCAATCGTCTTATAAACAGATTGACTGGTGTCACGCTGACAACGTAACTAACGTTATAGTAACAAGATTGGTAAGTTTTTTTTAACTTTTAGCAATTTTAAATATAACATATTTTTGGCTTTTGCGTTTATATGCTTATCTCGATTTATTAAAATTTGAAGTCTATATACTATTATCTTATCAAGTTTAAAATAATTTAGGGAAAACTTAACGTGCTATTGTCAGTAGCGGCGTTTCTGTTCTTAGTAATGGTTTATGGTGCGGCGTTACATTATGGTGTGAAAACATACAAACTTATAAATGAAAACATCGATCGCGTGTCAGCGCGGACAATAGAAACACAGAAGCAGTTGACCAAGATGTTAATTGTTCAAGTAAGAGTTTTTTGTACTTGTACAGGCGTGTTGGGGAAAATACAAAGATAAGGAAAGACTTTTGACAGAAGCCGACCCAAGTTGGCATTTTTTGGCTTGAGCTTCGAGGTCTAAATCAAGCTCTCGAACCGAGCTTAGGTCTTGCAACGGAAGTTTTGACTTGCGAAAAGTGCAAAACAAATGTGATTTTAAAGCTGCGAACTTAATAAATTGAGTACAGACTGGCTTTTTTTGCTAATTTACAGGTGCTCAACTACTTTCTTGACATTTTTCCGACAACATAGATTGTCTTTCTAGCTTATTTTTAAAACTTCAGGCAATCATACCCTTTATAACACTTGTTGGTCCGCTTTGTGGAGATTTTCTAGGCATTCTTTTGGGAGTGGACTATGACGGTTTAGAAATTACTGTGAACGGCTGCATGTCATGGATCCCAGTATTAGACGTTTTGTCAACAATCATCTTCATCAAGCCCTATCGCCAAAACCTATTAAGTTTTTGGAAAAGAAGGAAGTCATTGGTTAGCCATTCATCGATGAGTGCACACAATCGGACGCTGAATGGAACCAATAGGGTCATTTCGAGTTTGTAATTCCACATTCATAAAGCTGTATCATTTTAAACAACGTGCAGACCTCGACTACAATATTTTGTTTGTATCTTGCTTCTAACACTACTGACTACAAGTAAATAAAGTTATTCGTTACAATTTGACAAACTACAACAAAAGGATGTGTATAATTGTTTATGTATTTCATAAGCACATTTTTCCAACATTTTATGTACAATTATATTATACTGTAACAAAACATGTCACGTAAGAAGGTTGCAAAAGAGGTATGTGAAGTTACGATAAAACCAACTACCGTGAAACTGCTGTATAACTAGATCGGTAAAGAAAACGGGCCGGACAGAGTTTTTCGGCCCTTACGGCTTTCTTCTGGACCCCGGCCATTGGGTTTACATATGCCGGCCCGTTCTCTTTGAAATTTGTGTTGACCCGGTCCGCTCTCTTATAGGTTTTCTTCAAAAGAATGGCCGAGTTTGACCGAAAACTTTAAGAAAGCATAACTTTCTTCAACAACAAGTTTATTAATTGAAATAACAACCAACATATTTAGTACATTTTTCTCAACGTTCGACATGTTGGTTCAGGCCCTTTTCGTAGAAGTTCGGTCTTCTGGAGAAGATGGAATCTCCAAAGCCCGTTTTTACATTACCTTTTGTTTTTAAGTAGTCCTGCCGGACGAGCAGATCCAGTTGCTTGAAACGGTGGTAATTGGTAGAAGACAAGTTGGGTGAGTAGAGCGAGTGTCAAAAAGTTTTCTAGCCCAGTTCTCGTAGCTTTTCCGTAGTCATCTTCAAAAAGTTGGTCTTTTTGCTTACCTTTCAATCCGCGTGTAATCCACTTTTCCAGTGTTTTTAGCTTCTCACTCTTCTCAAGGTGGTTGTGAATAGTAGTGGGATAAAAATCTAACTCAGAATCAATATTTTCAAAATTACATTTGTTTTACACTTTCCGCAAGTCAAATATTTCGTTGTAAAACTTTAGCTGGACCTCTGAGAGCTTTATTTAGGTTAAACCTTCAGGCCTGCACAATTCGGCTAGGACTTTTTAATTAGTTCCAACTCGGCCCGGAGCTAGGCTTTCTTTTAGGTATACTTATGTAAATGTTATAACAATTTTTTATTTATAAATAGTTTATACAAGTTTATAAAATAAAACAAAAAATAATGTTATATAAAAAATACATACATAGGCACTTGAGTTCTAGTTGAGAATTTTGAACAATACACACCCGGAAAGCTGGATCACTAAAAATATAAAATATAAAAACAAAACATTAAAGCTTGAGAACCAGACTTAAGAAACAAGTTTTGAAATTAACACCGATATCAAAATCACTATCAAACAATGTCGCCAATGTCACCATCGACCAGTAGATGCTCCCTTCCTGGTCCCATGTACGATTGGATTTTGCCAAACTCTTTTTCAAACTTTTTCTGGATCAAAATTCGATAATGTGCCTGGGCCGAATTTCGTCGAAAACTTTCGGGCCGCGGAGTTGGTGGTCGTTCAATTACTTGGCATTCCGTTTCAACTTGGCCGGTTTCCGATGGTAAACATAGCAACTGTTGGCAGACGGATCGGAAGCAGAAGTAAATTGCGGCTACTAAAAAAAATAAAAAAAGGTTTTTTTTTTGATTTATAACTTTGAATTTGAAGTATTATACAGTGAAACTCCTGTATAAAAAAATCCTGTGTAAAATTACTCAAAAATCGTAAATTTGTTTGTAATAAACAAGCTTCCGAATACAGAAGTTTAGAATAGAGTGTGCAGTGATAGATATTGATTTAAAATTTGCTCGTTTTACATAAAGTTTCGTTATAGAAGAGTTTATTATACATAAAATTGAATTGAGATTTCTTAAACCTAGTCTGGCCTCTTTCTTGCCCAAATTTACATATGTAGCCGGGCGTGACCAAAGAAACTCAATGCAACCGGGCCAGACCGTCGCAAGCCGACCCGCTCTAATCTTTTCTGCCTTAAAGCTATGTAAACACATCGAGGTTTGCAAAGTGTTCGTTATACCAAATTTTTGTTATAAAGAAGTTAGTTGTACCAAAATTTCATTGTGAAAAAGATACTTCAACACAAAAGTTCTAGAACACATTAATCATGCCAAAAACGGGATTTTTAGAAAAAACGGTATGGTTTCTTTCGAAGAAAACAACCCCTTTGTATTGCCGCTGAATACGTAGATGTTAATGAACTATATTGTCCCAAGTGACGAAATTACTTTTAAATATGACGCTTGATTATATAAAGACTTTGGTATAAAAATCGGCTGGGAAAACTTTGAATAACGTTTCTTTTTGATATACAGGTTAGAGAGGATCTTGTAGAGTTAGACCCCTACCCGTAAACTTAATTTTATTTTGCCAAAATCAGCAAAGGATAGATAAAAATGCAACTGTTTTTTAAAATTTTTTACAAAGCAAATGCAACTTACTCATCACTATTAGTAGTACACTTCCACCGAATATCGATAGCATAGCAAATAAGAAGATATTGTCTTCGGGTATAGGATCTTCTTCAGGGAAATTCACTTCTTCTAGGTTCAATTCAAAGTCATCAAACGGTACCACTCGCATTTTCATTATTCTAAAAGGAACGTTTGTTAGAGAAAGTACATATAAAATAGTACAAAAAGTTGTTTGGGCACGAATAAAAAATATCATACTGAAACATATCGTACTTTAAAGGGTGGTACTAAAAAGGGCTTATTAAGACAGTCATACTAAAGACAGCCATACTCAAAAATACTATGTTAAGGTGGGTTGTAACAAAAAGAGTCGTACTAAAAAGAGTCGCCCTAAGGAATATTATACTAAAAAGAATTATATTAAGGGGAGGCGTACTAAGAAAGGTCGTACCAAGAAAAGTTTATTAGGTCATACTAAAGAAAAATTAGGTCATACTAAAGAAAATGATGCTCAAAACACCATACTAATGAAGGTAGTACTAAAATGGGTCACACTAAAAAAGATCATTCTAATGCAAGACCGTACAAAAGAGAATAGTACTAAGCAAAGTCGTACTATAAAATCTTTTACTCAAAAAAAAACTTCTCAAAGAATGATCTATACTAAGAAAAACTTTACTAAACAAATGCATAAAAAACAACCATACTAAAAACATCACTGCCCTTAACCTAAACATAAAGAAAATCCGTAGCATCCAAAAAAAGGCAATTAAAATATTAGGGTGAATATTAAGGTTAGGTATGTATCTAGATAATTTGTGGCAGTAAGAAAAGATAAAAATAGAAAGCTTGGTGCTTAAGAACGTCTTTTGCAAAGAAATATCTTTAAGTACTTTTTAAGTACTAGCATCTAGATTAACTGACACAGGATTCTTCTTAACAAACTAAAGATTACACACGTAACAGATAGAATTCTCATAATAACACAACAAACACATCTGCGTTACCGTCACAGTTAATATCAATAAAGCAAAGTTCTCAAAAAAATAAAAATTTTAATAAAAGAAGCCGTTTTAATTGTTAATTCTATAACACAAAGCAAAAGATACAGTTAAAGCCAACATACAAGTCGTTTTGTACGGCATGTGATTAACATTGTAATCCTGTTTCAAGATTTTTGTGCCGTGCCATGCTTAGCACAAGCTTAGCAAAAAAGTTTGCAAAAAGGAATTTTTGTCATAGATCAAAAAAGCGTAAAAAATTACAATTTAATTTAAAAAATTTTTTTGTTTGTAATTAACAAGCGAGCCCACGTTAAATTTTTTTGTAAGGCATACAAAATCCTTTGAAACTGAAAAGAAACTGGGCAGATCTAAAAGCTCAAGAAACCGTAAAGCTTAAATGAAGAAAGCAGAAGCTTTGCTGAGGTCTCACAACGAAAGATTTGACTTGAGGAAACTTGACTCAAGTCCAAACCAAAGGCCGAAAATTAGGTCCGGCGAAGCTCTTGTAGTGATCAAATCGCCTCTGCCTTGAATTTTCTAAAATATCCTAGCACTAAAACTTCTCTAACGTATTACTTCACCGTAACAAAATATTATAAATCGCGCCATCATAATAACTTTTAAAAACTCTACTTATTGTTTGCTTAATTTGCATTCAGAAAATTAAGTTAGAATGCGTAATCTTACACTAGAGACGATGACATTACACACCATTGTCTGGTAGGAGTTTAAACTTAAAAGTGTAATAGTCTTTAACAACATCGTTTTATGATTGTGGTGTAAAAGTTACCGTAACAAAAAAAAACTTTAAACAGTTGGTGCTCTATATAATGGGCTACCTACATATTGCGATATAACCGGTCAAAATTTAAAAAATATAAATAATTTTTTAAAACTTGAGAAATTTATGAGCTAAGACATAATGCCACCCCTCTACAGTTCTATCCTACTCAATCCCCGACCCTTATTACAGTATCGTAAAACAAAACATATTTAATAAATATTGGTAATTTTTCTCATCCAGAACAAATGTTAATGAAAAAAACCCCGGATGCGGTTGCCTAATACCTACTATGGCCCCGCCTCCGACTTAACCTTTACAACCATGCACCAATGAGGAATATATTATCAAAGCGGAGATAAACAACTGAATTATTGTCATTAGTGTCGCAGAATCGCTTAACATTTGGCACATAAGACCTTTTTACGACAGTGGGTGGTTCAGTGTAACGAGTTTTACTAATTCCAGGAAATCGAATATACTGTAGGTTAGGTACGCTAATTTCTGTGTACTGTTTAATAAGTACGATACATAGAATGGATAAGTACGATACACTAGTACAATACAAAAAAGTGTGCTGCTAGCTGATAAATTTAAAAAAAGATGGCTAAAATTACGGACTGGGTCTATTATCCGAAGATAAAACCTTATCAAAAATTGAAATAACGAACAAATGCCATACTAATGTAAGCTGTTTGGAAACGGCCTTCCATTGTTAATACCGTCTGGCACAAAGTCTTAAAACCAGTCCAGAACAATTATTAATAAGATTGTGTGTGTTGTAACAAGTAGAACACTATGGTTTCAAATTTTGCAATTTTTACAAATTAAAAAATGAACTTTACCCCGACTTTTTAGCATTTTACATATCAAACAAAGGAAAAAAGACCCTGCCCTAACTAATAATTTTATATAACATGATTTTTAAATCATTCATATTTGGAAAATCTTGTAGTATAACATCATTCAGATTAATTTAAATGTTGTCTCAGTATATTAATCAAAACGTTATGAAAGGAATAGTTTTAACATTTTTAAAAAGTTTATATTCGGCTGTTTAATCGGTTTCCGGCAACGTAATTCGTCATATTTAATACACTTTAATACTTACTTTGTGAAGGTACTAATATACTTATATTAATAAGGCGCTGGCATTGCTTCTTTGTGAAGTAGAATGTATAACAATTTGCTTAAAAATTTTACGTTGACAGAAAACTAAAAATATGGTATATAAGGAGTTTTTTTACAAAACTACCACTGTATTACTGTGAGGTTAAGCAGTGATAAAAATTTAGCAACACTCCAAGAAAATAAGCAAAGAAGTAGTTATAACATGTTGTTAAGTCTTATTCTTTACCGCACAGTAAAACTTTTAAGTCTAGACAAATCATCCAACAGCTTCGCAAGTGTTAACCACAAGCACGTTCACACATAAATAAATAATTTTAACTAAAAGTTTCATAAACCTATCTTATCTGAAAAAGCAAAATTAACACTATGCTAAATTTGCTGCCTTGAAGAATTTAAATAAACATTTTATAACTCCCCAAACCGCAGTTTAAGACCATAAAGACAAACTTTTGCTCAAAAACGTCCAAGTACAAAATGTTAATCCAGTTGTTGATAGACGACGCGAAACATAATAAAGGTTATAAGAGTTAAAAAATAGTAAATTTTAAGAACAACCTACTTTATCTCTACTACTGTACATAACAGTATCTTCGTGATCCTCTAGAGACATTTTGTAACATTATTTCATATTTCTTTCCCAAGCTTTTCTACATTAAAAATGTCACAAGTTTTGGGTCCATTAAAAAGATTGCCATTAATAAATCCGAAACGCAAGTTTTTAATGTGAATTCGCGACAAGATACATATTATAAATATGTCTTCAATAACGACGTTGGTTTCAAAAACTTTATAAAACTAACAAACAGACAAAAAGTTTTTTATAAAAATAGTGCTCAACCTGTATTCTGTCAGAATTACGTCAAAATTTTGATAGTATTCGGTAAAAGCAAGTATTTACAGTAGAACTCCTGTATAACAAACTTCTCTGTAACGAAACTTCTGCATAACAAAGCTTGTAAATCCGTAGCTAAAACTACAAAGTGAATTTAAAACCCTTGTACAACAAAACTTTTAAATAAGGAGCAAATTTAAAATTTCCGAGCAATTCGTTATACAAGAGTTCCACTGTATAAAATCACCCTTGTCTAAATTGTAAGTCTTAACAAAAAAAAGTCATTTTAAACTTCTAAACCTAAAAGTCTTTTTATATAAAAAGAAACGCCAGATTCGCAGTTTTCAAACCGCCGTTCCTTTTACGGCCGTTCTCTTTAAGGCGCATAAAAATAAGATTTCTAAAATCCCCGAGGCTCAGAATTCTATTTTTTTATTAAAAACACTGTTTCAAATAGATTCACGTCAACTCAACGTGCTGTGATTAATGTTTCTATAGAAAGTTTTTTTTGCGAATTGGGGTTAATAAGGTTTTTAAAAGTTTTAAAAAGCTTTGAATTAAAATTCTTAAGTAAAAACTTGTAGTATATAATCAAAGCAAATTTCCGAGTGTAGTGGGCTCAAAATTACTTGAACAACCTAATAATACAAAAAACCCAAAAAAATGAGATATTATAGAAAGAAAGACGAATCCGTATAGAGATTATAGACCTATGTCAGAACGATTACCAAGGAAGGTCGAATAGAGGATTAGGCTTACGTAGCGGATTTTCACATCTATTTTTGAAACAATGGATGACTTATATGTTCAGAAGAATATAAAAGATGACTTATAAAAGTCGATTCGGAAAAAAAGTGTTATAGCAGGATCCACATTTTTAATAAGTATATAAATGATTAAAAATGGGAATGTACAGAGCAAGGCAAACAGAAAAAAAAGGGGGGGGAATGGAGGGGAATGGGGAAAGGAAAGAGGATAAATGTCGTATCAAAATTTTTTTTTTCTGAAAAAAAGTTGAACGTGGCCTCTTATGTCAGGCCGGTAAAAATTCCGGACCAGGATCGGTTTTTCTATTTTTCTCAAGGGCCGGTTCTTGGTCCCAGACCCTCAAGCCCAAATGTTTTGTTTCAACCTAGCTCTGATTGTTTTACATTTTTTGGCAAGTCAAGTCTGTCGTTACGGGACCTGAGCTGGCTTTTTAAAGCTTTCATTTAAGCTCGGCCTTCATGATAGCGCAATCTGTCCTTTTTCTTATCAAATTTGGGATACCGATTGGAAAGAAAAGCTATGCCTCACGGGCTCGCACGATCCGGCCCGGTTTCCTTCAAGCTTATCTTGCCTTGACCTGGCCTCGAGCCAAGTGGGATCTCTTTCAGGTATAGGGCGAAGAAAAAAAGCTTTTTATAAAATGCTTTATCAAGAAATTTTATCAAAAAAAAGTTGAACGTGGCCCCATTTTTAAAAATTTTTATTTCTCTTTCAAAACATTTTTACCTGTTCATCCTTGAATTCTTGACGGCCTATGTTAAACGTACAAAAACACACTGGCTAGTAATTGTTTACATTATGGTAGCGAAAAAGTTAATAATAAAGTTAAGTTTAATTCACTTTAATTATAAAGTAATTAAAATTTTAATTAAAAATAATGATAATTGGGCATAATTAAAAAAGGATAAATATTGTTTACAGTACTTAACAATCTCGTTGAAACGTAAAATTTTAAATGTTAAAAGCTGAACTACACAAACAACATCACGCTGATAGTTTTTAAAATGTCATCAAACTGTAAACGCTGTTACAAGAATTAATAACATGAAGTATGCATTGATCTGTTTGAAATGTCATAAAGAGATTACATTGTGCTAAGGTACTTTAAACATTTATGATATTCAAATACATAGTATTGTACTTTTATTTACATGTGGGATAATACTTCCGTATTTAACGGAATAAATGAGCTTAACAATGTCTTAAACAATAGCTGAAAACAACATCAGTCTTAATTCATTCTGATCAATGTAAAACGTTTTAGTTGATGTTTTTGTCTTTGTAATAAATGTTATAGGCTATAACATAATGACGTTGAAGACAATACCAAGGTTATTCATAAAAGATGACATTGCTGTAGACATTAGTGGATAGTAAAACGGAAATTTATGATGTGATCATTCTATTATATTATACATACTTATCGTAAGCCTATTATACAATTTGCAGTCAGTGATAACCATTAATTGTAGTGAAGGTGGTAGGGAAAGAGTGATGAGGGGGAAGGGGGAAAGGGATAAGAAAGATGGATAAAGTAAACGAGAAGTAAAGAAGGGTAAAGGATAGGGAAAGGGTAAGGGAAGAGTAGGGAAAGGGTAAGGGAAGGGTAGAAGAAGGGTAAAGGAAGGTTTCGAAAAGGATAGAAGAAAGGTGAAAAAAGGGGAAAGGTAGGACCAAAGTAGAAGAAGGGGAGAGGAAGGATAAGGAATTCAGAATCAAGCTTACTGTACCAGTTATACAATATTTTTGTATTAAATTCCCCTTGTTTATTCCCTCTTCCCCACCCTCAGCCCTTCTGCTATCTCTCTCTCAAAGTCCTACCAGTTTCCTGTCCTTCTCCACCCTCTTCCTCACGTCTATTCCTTTTTTATTTATAATTAGCAGTTACCCTATTATAATACAATAAGCAAAACTAAAGTCAGATTAAAAACTAAAATTCAAATTGAAAGCGAAAGACGTTTTGAAACTAAATTTAACGTTAAATACCCCAAGGCAATTCGTTCGAATTAGCTAAGAAATCCTCGAATTAGGCTAATTTATAGTCCAGTGACGTAGCTTAGCCCAAACTGGTAAGTCGGGATGTTAATTTTACGTATTTTTCTTCCTTATATGGTATGTATAATACAATGATAATCACAATAGAGAGGCTACTGTGAAGAAATGTTTTCATTTCATTATGTATTATAATAAAAATTCTTTCAAATGTCGTACTGAAAAAGGGTACTTAAGCTTATGAACGACTCTAAATTTGCATAAATTTAAGTCAAAGAAGTCATTAGTAAGAGTAGGAGGGGGGGGGAGGATAACGGTAAATGAGGCTAAATCTACCCTCTCCAAATCGCTACAGTAAGAAAAAAATCCTACCCTTGCCTTTTAAAACCCATCCCTAACTACATCCGTTTATTTTAAAATTCTCTAAAAAAATGAAATGAAAACCCTTTTATAACAAATAAACTTAAAAATCTTGGTCAATTTCAATTTTTTATACAGAGAATTAAAAAAAATGTGACCAACCCTCTATGAAACTCCCTCACCATTAAACAAAAACTCATCTTTATTCATCGAGGAAGTTACATTTCCGAGTAAGTTAAACAAACTTTTATAGGCTTTTACACTTTTCGAGTCATAAAAATTGGATTGCACTTGGACGCCTCAGGGGCATTGTGCCGTCGCCATTATTATGCCCGTGCTTCTTTTGATACCATTGGCTTTAAATTGTCACAACCATTTTTTGTTATAATAGTTATCGGTCTTCTACCCTACCCTGCTCTACCTTACCGTACTCTACCTTAACCTAGTCTGCTCTACCTTACCGTACTCTACTTTACCCTACCTCCACCGTGTTCTACTGTGATTATAACTGTAGTAAAACTGTAAATCATTCGAAAACACTGTAAAATGCGACACATATGTAATATTGTTAACATTATTTCACATATTTTGAATAACGTAACAGCATAAAATACATATAGTGCACCAGACGAAAATAATGTGTTATTTGATATGTATAAAAAGCCTTTGAAAAATGTGTTTTGTTGTAAAATTTTGGGATTTTACATATAACGTTAATACTATAATATGATGTGATACAGTAGCCAAAAACGGTGACAAATACAATAGTTTACATAAAAACAAATTTTTTTTTGTATCTATTATATTATATAATGTCTACTCTACACAAGGTAAAAAGCCAAGCTCTAGGCTAAACAACCATTTTCCATAGTCTTACGACCTAGTATGTTACGTTAAGCCATGTCACGTTTTTTCACAAAAAAATTTAATATTTCACAAAAAATTAGTCACTAAACCCAGATAAAAGTGCATTTGTCAGAAAAAGTTGTGGAAATGTATTGAAAACCCGCAAAAAGCCCTCAGCTTGGCCCCAAAAGTGTTTTATTGAAAGTAAACAAGTCTGTAAAATCACATAAAGAAAACAAATTTTAGACGTAAAAAGATTTATGCGAGAAATTTGATTAATTTCACAAATTGTTCATGGCCTAAAAAATGAAAAAATGTCGAATTTGAATTTGTATTTTTATTCTTTAATAAAGATATTATATTATAATACTTTCTGACGAAAAATTATTTTTTAATTTTTTAAGTTAAGCAAAATATTTTTTAAAACTTTAAAAATTGTTTATTAGTACGTTCAAAGCTTTACAAACAAATTATTTTTATACTGGCAATGAAACATAAGAAAGATAAAAAATTTTATGTTGCCGAAATTGAGTTGGAAATTTATAAAATGTTAAACAAAATAGATTTCAAAATGTTTCTTTGGCAAAGTTCATCAAGGTCGATCAGGTATCATTGTTGTTCAGCAACAACAACAGCATCTCTCGCATATCTCTTCACCTAAAGTTATCTTATTAGTATAATATGTAATTCCAGGGACGTCGCTACGGTTTTTCTCTAGGGGGGGGGAGGTCGAAAAATTTTTTTTCGGTCCACAGGTAGTCCTGTGGACCGATCTTTCAACATTTTTTTTTCGTTTTTCCGCGTACAGGTACCTACCTGTGAATTTTTTTTCGGATCGGCTCTGGGGGGCGGCCCGCCCCCCTGCCCCCAAACGACGTCCCTGTGTAATTCCTAAGTTGATAGTGAATAGGACGTGGCTAGCGGTGAGAAGGAGGGGAGTGAATGATGGTAGATATACCCTACTCTCCTTCAGAGCAAATTTGAAAAAATGATAAAATTTTTTTTTTGGTTTTCACCCACCCTCGCTTCTTTATTTAAAACCGTAAGTTAAAAATGTATAGTTAGCACTTACAAGCGCAACATCCGATAATTGTGGCACAGATTCCAATTCCACAACACTCGCAACTGTCCTTGAAGCAGCTCGCACAACAATTTTGATCGTCTGGCGGTGGCGGAGGCGGGTTCACGTAGTTCTGATTCATTGCCTTTAATAATAAATTTCTTGTAATATTTTCTATAGTATAACTTTTTGTAATATGACCTTTCTTTTTGTAACCTAAATTAATATGATCTTTCTTACAAGGAAAGTACCCTACCTGCCCCGCTCAGAACCAGCTCAAAATTTTTACTCGAATTCTTTGTACCACCAATAGTACCCATAAAAAATTTTAGCTCGCGCTTTTCAGTTTTAAATTTAAATTATTTGCGTTTCCCGCCAATTTGGCAACTTTGGCATTGTGTTTCAAGCACTTTTTTCGACTTTCCAGACAAACTACGCTTACAAATTTAAAAATATAGGTTCAGTTAAAGGTTTTCTACTAGTATATCAAAGAAAAACTCCTAAAAGTCATAAAATAACGAAGTTACATGCTTGAAACACAATGCCAATTTGGCGGGAAATTCAAAACGTAATTTTTTTGATCTCGATCTTCTTGAGGTTTCCTGGAAAGCGCGATATATTACATTTTTAAAGGCCTTATATTTACATGATCTTTCTATATAAAAAGTTTGAAGTCAATCAGAGCGGGGCAGGTTGGGCACTTTCCTTGTTAGTATAACTTATCTCAGTTTGAACTTTATTATAATAGTAGCATCTTTCTTAGACCAATTCTCTTCATACAAAAGTTTTTATTATAGTTGGTTTAAGTGCGACTCTTCTTAACAAAACTTTTTTTTTAAAATGATGTATAGTACACTTACTCCTGGTTGTTTGTCAATGATAACGCCGTCGTCCATGACAAAAAGTTGTTATTCTTTTTAAAATACTAAAACGAGTGCAATTATTCATTTATAATATTAACTATGTACAGAAATACAGGTTTCTAAAAATTGTCTTTATTTTTGCAATTTTAACCACTCATATGACACAAATTTTATCAAAACAGGCTAGTCTAACATTGTTGTGGAGCCAAATTACTTTAAAGTCAAAACTCACAGTGTTGATAAAACAACTATAGTAGAGCAACCTTCAGAACTTCAAATGAAAAACACTTTAGCTACAGCTTTAAAGAACCAAATATCACGCTGTTGTGACTTATATACGAGCCAAAAGGTATTGTTCAAGTTTCAAAAAGCTTGCCGATTCCGTGTTTGTTATGTTTTTTAGTGACGTTGCTGAGAAACAGTAAAAATGAAAACAGTAACCTGGCAAAACTAGAAAGAAAAACATTTCAAAATGTTCCAAATTGCCAAAAATGCAGATTGCTTGACAACGTAGACGTATCGTATTGTTTGGGACTTCGTAATGTTGTTGTTACATCAGAGTTCATGCACTGGAGCCGGCTTTGGCTTCTGTGGGTAGGGTAGGGTAGGTAAGATAGGGTAGGGTAGGGTAGATATGTAAAAAAAAAACAAAGTATGTTTATAGTACATCAAGTCAATTATTATGCATTGTTTGTAAATGCGGCGGTAGAAAATGTTCATAAATGTTGTCCATGTGTTCGTGGTGATGTTCCGGACTAAAATGATGGTTTTCCTCTTTATCATGCCCAGCTTCATTGTGTCCGCTTAGTAAATGAGGTGATAGGATCTACAAAAATCATACAGTAACTTTTGGAAATCTTCTTTCCATTGCTTATAGTCATACCTTTACTAAAGACCTAACATATAGTAAAGTTAAGACTACAGTTTTTAAGTTACTAAGACTCACCTCGATGTTCAAATGCCCGTCGCTCATAATGTGAGGTGAAAGGATGCTTGGCGACAGCACACGAATACCTGCTGATTCTGGTGACCCTACTCGTGGTGATAAGATAGCTAAAGAAAGTTATACAGTACATCAATCTTTTTGCTAATTGCTTGGCCCTAGCTTAGTGCCTTAGCCCAGAGCCCTAGATCAAAGCCCTAGCCTAGAGCCTTAGCTCAGAGCCCTAGCCCAGAGCCCTAGCCCAAAGCACTAGCCCGGATTCTTAGAACAGAGACTAGCCAAATGAAATCAGTGAACTTACTCGGATTCAGAATTTCCAATGACAAAAGCCGCGGGCTGGCTACTCTAACATCCAAAATCTTTGGCGACAAGATCTCGGCCAACAATGTTTCCGGATTCAAAATGTAAGCACTAAGAAACTCTGGTGACAAAATTTCTGATCTGAATGCTGATGGCGATAAAATACGAGTGAACAGGGCTAAAGGAGAGAGTACAGAAGAGAAGAAGGCTGAGGGTGAGAGGAGGTGCATCTGTAACAAAGCTTTAGAAAATTGTTTGATAACGTGGCGCACTAGTTATGGCAAATGTTACGAAAAATATTGAAGAAAATAACGAAATTTCACAAAAGTATTGGAAAAAGTAACGAAGTGTCACAAATAAAAAAAATTTCAAAATATAACATTAGTGCCATTTTAAAACAAAAAGTAAACATACATACCGTTAAAAGCTCCGGTGACATCAAATCCCCAGCAAATGCGTGAGGTGACAATATGATTCCTTCTAACACAACAGCACCTTCACGATGTTCAAACACCCATGGCTCTAGTAGTACCACTTGAGGACCGTGATGTTCTGTATCAGGACTCTCTTGGCGCTTTACTCTGACATTGTTACTGTCTTGCGTAAACATGGTAAAGTAAGCACCTTTTTCTGCTTCAAGAACACTATTTTTATCCATTTTAGCCAATTCTCTGATCTTTTTCTCTAACTTCTCTTCTTTTTGTGTGCTATCTTCATAATCTTTTACTGTTCCTGATGTTTCACCGTACAAAAATTTAGATTGTGTAGACGTTGTAAACGTGTAACCATGTTTTTGAAGTTGATTTTGTTGAAATTTCGAAAAAGAATTTTTAAAATTTGAATATTTAGCTACAGTATCCTCGTATGACTTAATCTTTGGGTAGGCTACATTCTCTATGAAGTCGATCTCATCTTTGTTGCTTGTTAAAATGTCATCGATTTGTTGTGCCGCGCCAGTCAGCTTCATTAGAAAGTCTGTCCATTCGTATACTTCGCTTTGGGTTATGGCAAAGTTCTAAAAATGTTGTTATAGGTAATGCTTTATATATTACGTAATTTAAAAAAAATTTTTTTACCCTACTTTTTGCTTGCCTTGTCTTGCTTTACCCTACTCTACTCTGCCCTACCTTATTCTACACTACCAATGCAATAAAACACCCCACCTGTATAATCGAAGGTATAGTAAAAAAGCCATCGTCGTGAAAGCTCAACAGTTCAGGTGACAAGAATTCAGGTCCGTTATTTTTCTCTTTGGGAAACAGTCCAAATAAACGTGGTGATAATATCGACAATCTCTTGAAAGCTTGACTATTCTCAAACAAATTCACAAATTGTTCAAATGCAGAAAAAACTGGTGGAGGTCGGTTCTCGAATATTGTTGTATGGTTGAGTGATTGGAAGTAACTGAAATATATACTTAATAATAGGTATTCGATTAGTATTATCCTACCTCACTTAATTTATTATTTTGAAAGAACTAAGAGTAGTGGGATACTTTTAGTTAAAAATTAAGTGAATAGTGTCTCGCTGCTTCTGGTTCAGTCGTATACATGGTGCAAAATTATTAGAATTGTAAAAGCTCACAAAACGTTCTTGCAAAACATTGCCGTTCTGTCAACCACGTTTTTCAAAGACGTTTTGGGTATTTCAAATAAGAACTTTAATTATAAACTTACTCCGAAGCCATCCGTGACAGATTGTTCATAAACTTTCTACAATATTCTGCTTTCTTTAGGTAACTCTTTACTTTTTCAAGTTTTAAAAAAGTTTCCGGCATTTGGCTCTTTATTTTCGCTGGTTTCTTCATTACTCTTTTTTCATATACATCATCAGGCTTCTGAATTTGTGTTTTGTCTTCTTTTTTCTCAATTGTTCTCACATTGTAGTAGTTATTTGTTTTGTAACGAGTAGCCTTCATTACATTGCCTTCTTTGTCTTTAATATAGCTTACAGGAATTGACGTACTACTAATGCTTGAAGTACTGTTAGATATGGTCGTATTACCAGGGATTGAAGAACTACCTTGGATTTGGTCTGGCTGCAAATTCAAGAGGTTTGCTGTTATAGGAAGGTCTTTATTTGACGTTGTAATAGGATCTTGAATTGATGTTAAAGTAAGGTCTTTCTTTGATGTTGTAGAAGGTAACAAGCGTACATGACTTTTTCCACTTGATATTATTGTAGGTTCTGATAGAACTCTTTGATAGAAAGGTTTTTCCATTTTAACTGAACGTAAAGCAACATCAGTTTTGTAAATCCTTTCACCATCCGCTTTTACTTTCATTACGCCATCAGTGTTGTCATAGCTCTCTATACTGCCATAATCTTTAAATTCTAGTTTTAGTTTGCTATTCTTTGTTATAACCTTTGACTGCTTCTCTGCTGAACTCCTCTTTCTTCTGAAAACTCTCCAGTGTTCATTCTTCTCAACAAAATCCCGTCGTAGACTATTGATGAACAGTACAATCGGATTGTCTTCATTTTGATAACCAACTTCATACGATTGATCTCTACTGTCCATTACTTTTACTATACACCTGGCCAACTCTGGTAATAGTTTGGCGTCTTTTGAACAAATTTGGTACAATGTTGAAGTTGTTTCGTCAACTTGAGTCAACAGCTTTTTGGCTTTCAGTTTTAGCATCAATCGTATGGCGGTGTGATATTCATATTGCTGGAATTTGTTAACATCGAGATCGAAGTATTGTGGAGATCGAGGAAATACTAAAAGTTTTTGAGGTTATATAAAGTTGAAACAAGTTTAAAGTAAAGTTTTAACTTATTACGAATATTTTTGAGCTACACAGTGGAACTCCTGTATAACAAACTCCTCTATGACGAAAGTCCCGTATAACGAAACTTCTTTATACCAAACAAATTTCCAGTCCCCTAGCGGTTCGTTATACAGGAGATCCACTGTATTTGTGGTTGTGCTCCGGAAAAAGAAGGTGAAGCGAGAAACTAAAAAATTTAGAAGATAATAGCAAAAGGAGGAGGGAAGGAGTGAAGGCGGTAGAATATTTTGCTCAAGCCATCTTGCCTCGAACCCTGGGCTGAGTTGGGCCTACACGGCTTGTTTCTCACTCCTACTAACAAAACAAAAGCGACTTTTTATTACAGTTATTATAAAGTAACATACCCGGTTTTTGACGATAGGAACTCACCATGGAGGTTAAGAATATCTGAATAAATATGTAGTAAAGAGTTGTCATACGTAAAACCAATTCATTTGTACCATTAAAGGTACACTCGTGGGTTGGTTTTGTAAGATTTATAAAAACGTATATGTATCAGGCTGGTATAGCTGAAATCATAAATTATTTTGTTTACTATAAGAATGTTTATAAAACATAAAAACGTTTTAAAAGCTGAGGTTCGAAGCTTTAGACTTAAGCCTTTTTTTAGGTTTAGCTAGTTTTTGATTTAGTTTAGTTTTGCCTTGTTTTACATCACGTAATGCTAAAACAAAATGAAAAAAACTAAATTCAAAGCAAATCTCAGGTCCCAAAAACCGAAAACACTCGAAAACCGTTCAAAATGTTGAAAAATGTTGAAAACTAGTTGATTTACTAAACGATGACAATTGAGAGTGGGCTTTGAATACATGTTGCGGAAAATCTGCCGAGTTTACTTCCCACCTGTATTTGAAAAAAGGGCATAACAAAAGAGCCTGTTTCATGACGGTTCATCGGATTTGCGGATCGCATTGCAGTTAATGCTTAACATTCGCATCGCTTGAGATCAATAAGTTATTATAAGGTGAGGTGAGAACTAATGGCTGCTTGTTTTCTAGTTGAACAAAATAAAAGTAAAAAAAAATAAATAAAAATCGAAAAAAGTAAAAATTATAACAAAACAGACTTTAAACTTACAGTTACAGTGAAATTCCTGTATAAAAAAACCGTATGGCAAACACGTTTAAATCTCTGTCTAGTACTACACAGTGCATTTGAAACTATTGTATAACAAAATTTTTTTATAACGAACAAACTGTAAATTTCCGAAATATGTATTTACTAAACAAAATTTCACTATATTTTTAAGTTTTTTTAAAATTCATAAATCAAAAAAAAGTTATTTTTAAAAAGTTCAAAAACCATTTTGTTTTTCTTTCACGTTGTCTGTCCGTCCGATTACGCTTAATATTGTGAAATTTCAAGATTTAAAAAAACTCCTTTGTAGACTGCTTTTAAAGCGCCAAATCCTTACTATATTAAGCTGTTTTTTAAATTTTTTTATGTTTTTTTCAACTTTAAATTTTAAAAAAAGGTAATAGTAAATAATAATACGAAAAGCGTAAAAAAGCCTTAAGAAATTGAACTTAATAATATTCCCCAGCTTTTGGTAAGTGACCTATATGGGATGAAAGAGAAAAGTAACCGTGGATACCATTTTTAAAAACTGCTAAATTGCTTTGGCTAGCGGATTACAAAACGCCCAATTTTCTTGTACTTTTAAAATGTATAGCTTTAAACTTCCGAAAATGTTATTTTTTAAAAAATATTCGTTTAAAGTAACTAAAAACAAAGATAATTACAAAAAATAGCGTTTCAATCTTGACATTGTTTGGCCAGCTAAAACGACTTGTGATAATGGCAAAACGCTAAAAATGAGGTTGGCCGAGCTCGAGCTTACTGTCTTCTGCACGCCAGACTAGACACTTATTTAAATTCTTTGGTTGCTTATACCTAGCTAGCCGAGGTCAATTTTCAGTTTTTGAAAACGATTTTTATAACAAATTTTTATACCTTTCATACTTATATAGGTTTTGTCGTAGCAACCAAAGGGTAGTTGATGCAACTCCCTTGTAAGGTTGGAGTGTACAAAGTTTAAAATGAAAACTTTGTTTATTATAACTCCGGTACATAAGATGTACATAAATATTATTAATGCGGTATGTGAAAGTAGTGTTCGTAAGCGTTGTCTTGATGAACGTGGTGATGCTCCGGTGAGAAGTGATGGTTCTCTTCCGTATCCAAACCTGGCCGACCGTGACCAGACAACAAGTGAGGGGATAGTACCTAAAGTTATAAACTTTTTTAATACAGTGAAACTTCTGCATAGCATTGTCGAATATAAAAGAAATTTGTTAAACAGGAGCTTGTTATACAGGAGGTCTACTATATTATGACTTACTTCAAGATTCAACAAACCACCACTTTGGATGTGAGGAGTCAATATACTTGGTGACATTACGTACACACTCAAATATTCAGGTGAGCCTATTTTGGCCGATAACACGTCTATAAACAATAATGAAATACAAAAGATGCGTAGTAGAACAGGGTAAGGTATATTAGAGTAAAGTTTTTAAAAACACTTACAAGGGGTCAATATCTCCACTGTAAGGGCCCTGCCACTGGCAATACGAAGATCCATAAACCGAGGAGCCAACACTTCTGCCAGTAGTGTTTCCGGTGACAAAATATACGAACTTAAAGCTTGTGGCGAGAGGACCTCAGCTCGGAATGCTGATGGAGATAAAATACGAGAAAATAGTACTAATGGCGACAAGATTGATGCTAGGAAGGCAGTTGGTGATAAAACTTCTAACTGAAATCATGTTAATTACGAAATAAAAACAAAAATGGCTCATCATGAGAAGAAATTTGGAAAATGTGTCGTTATCACTCAAAATTCTAGAAAATGTATCATGGTTACAAAATGTCTAAAAATGTAAAAATGAGATGACAGTAAACTCTAAAAAATATGTCATTATAACAAAAATCTTTCGAAACTTGTCATTATGACAAATAGTCCAAAAAATGTGTTATTCTGACATATTTAAAGAAAACTATATTCTCTTACCGTAAGCAGTGAAGGCGAAGTAACTTCAGACAAAAACGCGGCCGGTGACAAAATGATGCCCTCAAGTAATATGCCGCCTATACGACTTCCAAATACCCATGGGTCAAGTACGACAATCTCGGGTACCTCCAGCTCTTCTTCCAAGTAATTTCTGACCCGGAAGCTAAAGTTTTGTCTTGGAAACACGAAACCTGTTTGACGTTTGGTTCTTTCGTAGTTTGAAGCTACGTTATCGTAGTGTTCGGCTACAGAAAAAAACCGTCCTTCAGAGGTTTCTAAGGCATTTTTAGTACGTTGAGCTGAGTATTTGCTTATTCGAGTTGAAATTGGGGTAGTTTTTAAAAATTTTGAATTTTTGGCTGTTCTTTTGTCAATACCTAGCTGATCTGGACTTTGAGTAATTGTAGGGTCGATATCATTATACGGTTGAGCTAGGTTAGTTAAGTTTTGAGTATTTTTTGTTGAATTTATAGTTGGATCTTGGGTAAGTAAATAGTTTTTCAAAAGTTTTAGACGATTTTTCGGTCGAAGTTTTGGTCGAATTTTTGGTCGATTGTTTGCTTTACTTTTAAATTTTTGTAGTTTTTTGAGGTGTCTACTGTATTTAGAAAGTTACTCTCTGCTAAATTATTATGTTGTTGACTACTATCTTGTAGGCTATTATGCTGTAGATTATTATCTTTTAGGTTAATACTTTGTAGATCATCATTATGTAAGCTACTCCTATGTAGGTCTTGATGAACTTGTAGATTATTTTCTTCATCTTTAAAGCCATTGTTATCATCTTCAGTATACAATATGTCATTGACAAGATCACTGTTAATTTTCCTATTTTTGTCCACCTTTTCAAAATCTTGCCCTAAAGGACTATCCACAACAAAACTGTCGCCATTATCTTTTAAATCGCCAAATAAGGCTAGGTATCGTATCTTTTCTTCTAGTTTCAGCTCATTTTCTTCAAACTCGTCATTGTGTACATTAGAATGTTTTTGCTTCTTATGATAATGCATATCGTCTTCAGTGTTATCAGGTCTTGTATTTTCATCTTTTTCGTTACTGTCAAAGCTTGTTGTGTGGGTATTGACCCGGTTCTCATGGTCTTGGCTTGTGTCTGTTTGGGTGGTTTTTTCAGTACGATAACTTTCGTTAACGTTAGTACTGTCTTTATGATAGGTACCCTGTTCAACTGACCCTTTATTACCTTTATTTTTATCACTACTTTCGTCCGCTTCATTTTCATTTTTTCTACCTTCTTTAAACAACTTCTTTTGTTTAGTAGTGAGAAAAGTGTAGCCGTGCTCATCCAGATGTTGTTTCTGACTCTTACTGTAACTTTTTTCAATTTTTTCCCAAATTTTTCGACGTTTTTGTAACTCAACAATCTTGGGATAGGCCACGTTCTCAATATAGTCAATGTGTTCCTTGTTCTTGGTTAATATGTCATCAATTTTCTTTGTCGCACCAGTTAAAGACATCAAGATATCCATCCAACGGTACATCTCTGTCTGGCTTAGGTTCATTGTCTGAAAGATTACTTGTGTACTTTCTAGTTCTTTTTCTGCTTTATATATGTTTATGACTGATTTAAAAATAAATTTTAAATGAATGTCGTATATAATATGACTTATTTTGAAATTTGGTCATTAAATCAAAGATTACAATAAACGGTTTTCAACGTCATTAGTCATTTCAAAGTCTATCTTCAACTCAAAGATTTATTTTATCAATTGACCTTTCAATTGAAGAAACCTTTAACAGCGACGTTAAAAAGCTAAAATGGCGTGCCGTCGCCAAAAAAGATGACGTTCTTATCGGCAACAAATAAAAGTTTAAAAAAGTTAAAAACACACGTTTACTGGATTTAAAATAATGTTTTAACAAAAGCAAATATTTAAAGTTCTTAGCTTAATCTCAATTTCAACCTAGCTTTAGCAAAAGCCCTAGATGTAGCCTTAGTCCTGGTCCTAATGTCGGCTGTTGCTTCGGTTTTCTGCCTTACCTCAAAAATAGAAGGGAAGCTGAAGAAGCCGTCTGCGTGAAAACTCAGCATTTCTGGTGACAGTAGCCGTGGTCCGGTCATCCTTTCCTGCGGAAATAAGGCAAACAGATGTGGTGATAAAACGGACATACTATTGAAAAGATTGTCAGGCTTTAGGCTTTTAACCATATTAGAAACAGCTTCATACGATGTTGATTCTTGGGTTTTGTAGAAGGTTGGGTTGGAGTATTTGGACAAGTGTCTGTAATCATTGATTGAAAATTAAAAAACAATTTTTGTTTGCAAACGTATATTAAAGATTGGCAGCACAGTCAAATACACAGAGCTTTTTGTGAAAGGGTTCTATAAATTTATGAAAACGTACGTTGACGTTACCTGTTCAACATCCTTCATGAACTTTTGACAAGCTTCTGACTTCTGAAGGTAGCTGTTGATTTTTTCAATTTTTTCAAAAATTCCTGGTTTTCGTACTGTAGCTGATGGTTTAACCTTTTTGCTGGTATACCAAATTTTGTTGCGGTTTTTATTGGCGTTAGTAAAGGATACTGCAGGTACGTCTGTAGCGGATACTGTAGGAACCCCTTTATAGGATCTTGTAGGAAGGTCTGCAGAGAATACTGTATTACTGTTAGTGGAAGACGCAGTATGTATGCTATCAGAAAATAAACTAGCTTGACCATCTTCTTGGCGAACATTGTTATCACTTAAGGTTGGTCGATATTCGGTGGATTTTTGAATCTTCATCGATTTAAAAATACCTGTAGAACTCGTAGAATCAACTACTGTAATTTTATCTGCTTTTTTGTTATATGGCTCAGCAGCACGGTTATTAGTACTAGTAATACCTTTAGAAATACTAGGCATATCTTTAAAAACAGTTTTTGTAGTAGCCATAGTCGGCTCCACTCTACTATTTTTACCATTTTTCGGCTCATTCAGGCGTTCTTTATCTTGCAGCTCTTTCATACCTTTTAGTTTACTAATTTTAGAAGCTACAGTATCATTAGAAACCATATCCCTCTTCCTGCGTCTCTTCCTTTTTTGATAACTTTGCTCTCGATACCTGAACAACCTGCTAGATCTTTTGTCATGACTGTTGCTGTATGTTCTGTCCCGATAATCCATTAACTTGACTACACATTTGGCCAAGTCTGCCAGATTCTTGGCTTCGGATTCACAAAGTTTGTGTAACATTTGAGTAGAGAAGTCTACGTTTTTTAGAAGTTTTGTCGCCTTAATCTTTAAAATAGCACGAAATGCAGTTTGATACTCGTAGATTTCCAGTTTTTCCAAGTTGAGATCATATGATTTGCGGTTCCCTGAATTGGCTGGTTAGGATGAGCAAAGAAAAAATTATTCCATTCCAAAAAACCACCCCTTACCTGTGTAAATCTCCCCGTGCGCACAAACAACAAACACAATAAGAGCGATGCTTATGGAGTCGGATAGCGAAGACATGAAAACCGTTCCCGCATGAGATGTTTCATTCGGCTATCAAAACAACGGCAGACACGTGTGAGTCGGCTACCCGTTTCGACTGTTATAAAGCATAGCGAGAAGCCTGAAAAAAAGTTGAAAGTAATAAGTTAAAGATTCCGGTTCAAAAACATGTGGCGATCTTTGCAATTTTTTATCGCTCCCGATGTCTGAAGCAATTGGAATCGGACAGTTTTGGGAAAAATTGGAAATATTCAAGAAAATTTTAATCAAGAAACTTTTTTTAATTAAAATAAGAATAGTTATGTCTAGACACAATACTAGTCTATACAATATGACAAAACTAGTCATGATTTTTTAAAAACAAGGTTCAAGTGTTCAATTCAAGGTCAGAAGGTAGCAAGGTATGAAGTAATGGGCAGTGTAAAATAAATGGTTAAAAAAAGAAATTTAGATAAGGAAACTGCACACTAAACTAAAGCAAGATTAGAATAAGAGTAAGGCTAGGGCTCAGGGCTGGATCTCTGGGCTGGGGCTCTGTGCTGGGGCTCGGGGCTGAGGCTCTGGGCTAGTTCTCTAGGCTAGGGCTTCGGGCTAGAGCTCTGGGCTAGGGCTCTGGACTGAGGCTTTTCTCTAAGGCTCTGGATTAGGGTTCAAAGTTAGGGCTTGCTTATTATTATCATTATTATAACTTTAAAATAAAAAAATTAAAAATAAACTTTAAAAATCAACCCACATCAAAACGATCATAAAAATTCAGAAGTCTAACTGACTTAGCTCGAGAGTTACGACAACGTGAAAACGGACTATAAATTAAAAACATGAGATTTTTCAGTATTTGAGCGGTTTATTTATGACATTTTATTTACTGACGTTTGACCATCACATTGCGAGTCACATAAATTACAATTTATAGTCTTGCGCCTTTAAAAGATTTTTAGAAAAATTTAACAATGTCTTAAAAATGGCAGAGTATTACAGTAAAAACTACTATAATATACCAAATAGATTAGAGTTTTTAAAATTTTTGAATTTTTAAAAATATTTTAAATTTTAAATTTTAAAATTTTATACTTAAAAAAAGCCAAAAATCTTATCATTGAAGTATATGTAAGTAATGTTCATAAGCATTGTCTTGATGTTCATGATGGTGTTCTAAACTGTAATGATGACTTTCTTCATTATCCAAGCCTGGAGCGCCGTGACCGCTTAGCAAATGAGGTGATAGGATCTAAAACAACATTTATAATTTAAAAGCTCAATATTTTTAGTTTCTAATAACGTGTAGCTTAACTTAACTTTATTCTATTCAGACTTGGAGCCTTCTTTACTCCAATCATACCTTACTTTTACTATTATATATCCGTGTCTAACGTTACCCTAGCAATAAATCAGCTTGTTTCTGTCTTCTCCTAATTTTGTTCAAGCCTTGTATATAGAAAACTTCTTTCATTTAACAACTCAAATAACTTTTGGTGTTCGTGACGTATTTTACCTCAATATTCCAGAATCCGGAACTCTCGATATGTGGTGTCAATATACTCGGTGATAAAACGTAAACACTCAAAACTTCTGGCGACCCAAGCTTGGCTGAGAGAACGTCTACAACAGTATTCATCAGTTTTTCTGTTTTACATAATTACTTTTACATTAGTTAAATTTTACTGTACAGCTGTTTGTACTAAAGTCAAAATCCATCGTTATCAAGCGTACAAGGAGTTAGCACTTCCACAGTAAGCGCTCTTCCACTGCCAATACGTAGATCCATAAATCGGGGTGATAACACTTCCGCCAGTAATGTTTCAGGTGACAATATGTAAGAGCTAAAGGCTTGTGGATCGAGAACTTCAGCTCGAAATGCTGATGGTGACAAAACACGAGAAAATAGCACTAATGGTGACAATACTGATGCAAAGAATACTGTTGGTGAGAGGGCTTCGAACTAAAATATTATCATTCTTTAGTCTCCTCAATGGAATAAAGCTAATGCTAGAGCTAACGCTAGGACAAATTACAGTTTAATTTTTTTTGGTTTTTAAAAATGCGTTACAATGACACTTTTTCTAAAATTTGTGTCATCATGACACATTTTATAAAAAAAATGTTAAAGGCGCAAAATTTTTCAAAAAGTGTGGCAAGATGACGTTTTTACATAAATTTGTGTCAACGTTACACATTTTATAAAAGAATAAGTTTAAAAAAATTTAAAAAAATGTGTCACAATGACTTTTTTTCAAATTGTGTCATCATGACACATTTTACAAAAAAACTGTTACAAAATCAAAAATTAAAAAAAATTTTTCCAACTCACAGTCAAAGCAGAAGGCGATTCAATTTCGAATAAAAAAGCAGCTGGCGATAGTATTATGCCTTCCAGCACGACTCCACCAAAACGTGTCCCAAATGCCCATGGATCAAGAGTAATAATCTCTGGTACTTCGGTCTGTTCTTCCAACAAATTTGTAATTTTAAAACTGTAATGGTGACGTTTTAAAATTTCAATCTCTCTTTTTGCTCTGGAATAGTCTTCTTTATCATTATTTTTGGCTTTTCTATAAAGTTCGTCATCATTTTCATTAAAGTCATAATTATTTTTGTAAAACTTGTCATCTGGATTGTCTAAATCTTTATGATAATGTTGACTGTGAGCTGTTTTTTGAGCCTTTTTAGCTTCATCTTGACTATTTTCAGCCTTTTCTTGGTTATCTTCTGAGCTTTCTGAGCTTGCGCTAGCTGGTCGTTCTACAACAAAACTGTTTTCATAAGATATGGTGTCTCCAAAGGTTGCTATATCTCTTATTTTTTGTTCTAACAGTAGCTCTTTGTCTTTAAAATCCTCTTCATGAAATAAATATCGACCTCTTCTTTGCTTTCTGTAGAGTAAACGACTACCTCTGAGTTTATGATGATTATATCGGTATATATGACTTTCAGGTTTGTAATCGTCTGTAAGATACTGATATGTAAGCCCTTGTTGATCATTTATACCATCAAACTTGTGCCTTAGTTTATCACTTTGATCTTCATCATAATCCTGACTTTTCATACGATCTTCACTATCATACTGATCAGCATTGTGATTTTCATGCTCATCTTCATTATCATAACATCCTTTTTGACACTTCCTTCCACCTTTAAACAAATTCATTTGCTGCTCAGTTAAAAAAGTGTAGCCATGCTCTTCCAACTCTCGTTCTTGCCTCCTACTGTAACTTTTTTCAATTTTTTCCCAAATTTTTTGGCGTTTTTGTAGCTCAACAATTTTTGGATAAGCCACTTTCTCAATATAATCAATGTGTTCTTTGTTCTTGTTTAATATGTCTTCAATTTTCTTGGTAGCTCCAGTAAGAGTCATTAGGAGCTCCATCCAATGGTACATTTCTGATTGGTTGAGCTTTAGTTTCTGAAAAAATTCTGTTGTATAGAAGCTATCAATCAGCGCGTATTTTACACGTAAACTCTAACTTTCTTTCCCTAAATGAACATATGTTAAACTTACTTCAAAAATTGAAGGGAAGCTGAAGAAGCCACCTGAATGGAAACTCAGCATTTCAGGTGACAGTAGTTTAGGTTCAGCCGACTTTTCTTGTGGAAATAATGAAAATAGTTGTGGTGAGAGTATAGAAAGGCGTTGAAACACATTATCTTTGGCAAATGTGTTAACAATGTTTTCAAACGAAAAAGGATTGGAAGATGGCTGGTCTTGGTAGACGGTTGGTTTTGAAGCCTTGGATAAGTGCCTGAAGTGGGTAATATTTATAATATTTAAAATAAAAATCAAGGCAAGGCAAGGCAAGGCAAGACAAGGCAAGGACAGGCAAGGGTAGCTTACTTTGAGGTATTTTCTTCGACAGCTTTGATGAATTTCTGGCATATTTCGGCCTTTTTCAAGTAGCTGTTGATTCTTTCAATATCTTTAAATATTTTCGGTTTTGGTACTGTAGACGTATCAAACATTTTCTTTGATGTATAGGCAATATTCCTCATCGTTGTCGTTTCAACGGTTGCATTCTTAATCTTTTTCTCATTTTCAACCGGCTTTGTATTCTGCAGCTTTTTTTTACTTTTTAGCCTTTTAATTTTTGAGGCTACAGCATCATTAGAAACCGTATCTCTCTTCCGCCGTCTCTTCCTTGGTCGATTACTTTGCTCTCGATACCTCAAAAACCTGCTAAACCTTTTGTCATGACTGTTGTTGTAAGTTCTGTCACGATAATCCATTAACTTAACCACACATTTAGCCAGTTCTGCTAGATTTGTAGCTTTAGATTCACAAAGTTTGTGTAGCATTTGAGTAGAGAAGCCTACGTTTTTTAGAAGTTTTGTCGCCTTAATCTTTAAAATAGCACGAAATGCAGTTTGGTACTCGTATATTTCCAGTTTTTCCAAATTGAGATCATATGATTGGTGAGGTACTGAATTTCGAAATTTTTTAAAAACTTAAATTAAAATTTTAAAAAATTTTAAAAAATTAAAAAGTTTTAAGATTAAAGTTACAAAAAAATTAAATTTTAAGATCTACCTTTAAAAATCTCAGCCTGAATACCAACAATAACAACGTTAAGTACCAGTAAATAAGATACAGTTGACATGCATCTAGAAGTAGATCCATTAGTCACAAAAAAAGTCAAATAACAAAAGTCAGCTTTTAAGAATACAAAACAAAGTTTTGTCTAGACAAATTAAGAGTTCCGGAATACAAAAGTAACCTGATTTGTTAACACATCAACAACATACGAGTGGTAGAAACAATAATAACATACGAAAAGAAGCGGCATCAACGGGATACAAAAAAAACTTGCATCAACGTATGAAAGGTAATTTGTACAAGATCACAGTTATTTTAGAGTTTAGAAAAGGAGAAAATAATTTATAGTTTATTGTTATAGGCTAACATAGTTTGATATTATTCAAATACCTAACATAATATAAAAAAGAAGAGCTTCGGAACATAAAAAATTATTAAAATCCTTGACTTCTTGGTCTTTTGACGTTCGAAATTTGCATTTTTAATAACAAAGCAATATTTAATAAAAACCTTTAAAATATAACTAAACTAAAAAATATCTATAATTTTAAATTATTTTTGAAAAATAAAAAAAAATCTTTGAAAAGGGAAGAGGAGGGGGAAGAGAAGTGAAAGTAACAATGATTTTTTCCCTACTGATATTTTGTCGTTTTTTGGTATTATTTAGTTATAATACGCTGTTAACTGCAAGTAAATAACTCCACGGGTACTCGTCTTCTATCTTGTCCAACCCTTGCCTTACGCTTTTTTAACTCTTGTCCTCCCCCCCCCCTTGACATTTCCTTGTTGAATCTTTGTACTGTTCTAACCTAAGCTTTGGTTTTACCTCTTCTCTAGTTCTAAACTAGAATTACCTTCTCTTAGCCTTGTCTTAATTGAGATCTATTAGCCTTACCCTCCCGCTAACGCTAGACTAATGTAGCCTTACCTCAAGCCTAACCCTAGTTAGCTTTATAATAATTTTAGTAGAGCTAGACTTGTCTACCATTTTTTCTAAACTAGCCTTATAGGACCTTACTCTAGTCTTATACTTGCTTTACTTTACCCTTACCTTTCTTTAACTCTAACACTACAGTTGCCTTCCCTATGGCAGTTTTGCTTACTCTGGGTTACCATAACCCTACCCAAACGTTATTTACTCTAGTAAATTTTTAAAGCTGCTACTTTGTAAATGTGCTTTCTAATCGTTGTGCAATGATAAATCACTTAACATCATAACTTTCTCATACTATGTTATATTTCGCTCACAACAACATAAGCCCACAGTATTGTACTGTTAAGCCGGCCGGGCTGTTTTGTTTTGCAGTTTTCAAAACAAATTATTATCGGAATTGCATTTCAGTTTTCCCCAAAGGCAAATAATGTCAGTTTAATCGACGAAAGGCTGTAGCGGGGCAAAAGTTTTAATTAGCGGCAGCCGGCGGGATGCCAGAGATTGCTTAAAGCCGGCTAAATTGTCATAGTTGGAGATTTTATTCAAGTTTTTTTGGAAAAATGTGGAATTTTCTAGAATTTTTCTTATGTTTTTACACTTTTTGAACGCATTGGGATAAGGTTAGAGGTAGTTTAGATTAAGAAACGTAGGTAAATAGGTTTTCAAGAAACTTTTGGAAAGTTACACATAGTTTCTAGTGCTGATTAAATTTTTTTTAAATTGGAAAAAAATTAAAATTTTTTTAAAAATTTTTTTTAAAATCAAAAAAGACTTTTTAAAACTTTTTAAAATAAAAAAAATTTTTTAAATTAAAAAAAAATTTTTTTTTAAATATTATAATTGCCCATTTAAGCCCATTTTCTTCTGGTTTAGTCTTTTGGTTTCAGTAAGAACATAAAAGTCACTATTGAGTTACACGTTGAAACGTAAAGTCTAGCATTTGATGTCGTGCTACGTTATTTATAGGTTTTTTCCGGAAAAAAGTGTTCGCTTTTTTGATGCATGTTACTTGATGTTTGCGACATCAAGTCCAAAGTTCAATTTTTTAAAAGTTAGATTATTTTTTTTTGTATTTTACATTTATTATAGCTGTGGTACGTACTAGAGTTGGGTAGAGCTAAGCTATTTAGAAGAGGCCTAGAGTAAGGAATAGATGAGACAAGGGTAAAGCAAGGGTAAGGAAAGAGTAGAACAAGGATATGAAAGGAGTTGAGTCGGAAAGGGTAGGATAAAACAAGGCTAAGGTAGGGTAGGGAGGGTAGGTCATGCTAGAGTAAGATAGGCCCGGCTAAAATAACATTGACAAAGCTAGGCTGAGATATTGTAAGATAAATAGGTCAGGCTAGGACTCAAGGCTAGGGCTCTGGGCTAGGGTTTTCGGTTAGGGCTTTGAGCTAGGGCTCTAGGCTAGGATTTGGACCTAGGGCTGAAAGCTAGGGCTTTAAGCTAGGGCTATGGCTAAGTGTATGGGTTAATATTCGTTTTCGTTCTCAAGATATACTGTATTTTACTTTTTACCTACTTTGGCAGTATTTCAGGTTTTATAAACACATTTTATTGTCAGTAGAGGTCATGTACAAGCACGCCCGACTAACAAAAGTGGACCAAAGCACTAAGGTAGGCCGTTTTTAATACGTTGTATATGTTTTTTTACTTATTTTTACATTTTTTCAAAAATTTTTTATTATTTTTCAATTCAAAATCAACCGTTATGACACATTTTTATTTTAGTAATATATACATAGTATTTTTCAAAACCTCAAATGGCTATAACAAAAAAGGAAAGCGTGAAATACCCTAGGTAACATTAGCTGTTTTGTTTTATTCGGTACTCTTGAAGGATATGTAGAAGGCTGGGGAAGGCTTCTCGTACGGTCTGCACGATGCCGATACACAGTATTAGGATACGAAGCTCCATATCGGCTTCATCGCACCATTCTACTTTGATCTCGTTTTCACCAACTATGGTGCCACCGGGGGTTACCTATATTAACATTGGTATTAGTATGGGTAAATAGGATAGGGTAGGGTAGGGTAAGGTAGGGTAGGGTAGGGTAGGGTAGGGTAGGGTAGGGTAGGGTAGGGTAGGGTAGGGTAGGGTAGGGTAGGGTAGGGTAGGGTAGGGTAGAGGGTAGGGTACGGTAGGGTAGGGTTGGGTAGGCTAGGGTAGGGTAGAGGGTAGGGTACGGTAGGGTAGGGTCGGGTAGGATAGGGTAGGGTAGGGTAGGGTAGGGTAGAGTAGGGTAGGGTAGGGTAGGGTAGGGTACGGTAGGGTAGGGTAGGGTAGGGTAGGGTAGGGTAGGGTAGGGTAGGGTAGAGTGGTAAAATGTTAACTTACAAACCCAACAGGTACCCCATCCTGGTCTACTGTAAAATAGTCCGAAACAAATGTAAATCCACATGTTGATAACAATTTACGCCAAAAGTTCGAATGCACTTGAAATTGACATTTTGCGCTTTCGTCCATACAATTCGTTATATAGTACTGATGACTGCGGTTCGGCACTGACACTATTTCATACACTTTTATGCCTAAAAATATTTTACTGAGATTTTATAGTTTAATTTTAGTTTTAAAATACTATTTTTTAGAAGTTTTTAAGACATAAAAAATTTTATGGCGAAATATCAAAAATTTATTGGAAGATTAAGCGAAGTGTCACAAATAAAAAAGTGCTATTAGCTAAAAAAAATGAAAGAAAAAACGATAACTTGAACATGTTTTGTGGCATCATTTTAGTTTTTAGACATAATGTCCAAGTTTAATCTGAATTAGACGAAATGTCACAAAACTTATTGAAAAATGAACGAAATGTCACAATTCCAAAAATAACAAAATTTTCATGTTTTTCAAAACGACTAAAAAGTAAATAAAAACCTGATTTTCAACTCACCAGAGATAGGATGTCGTATTTTGGCAAGGGTGAAGTGATCTGCGTCGGGGTCGGATTCGGCTAGGACAACGCTTAAAACTCGTCGAGTTCCTTCGAATACAATAACTTCTTCGGCAAAAAATTGAGCTGTCATAACAACTTGGTCGATTTGTTCATCATAGATTTCAAATTCGACCGGGTCGAAATTGGCCGAGTTGTGAAGGACAAACTGCTTTAGGGCTGTTTGGAGCTGAAACTTAATAAAAATTTCAAAAAATTGTTACATAGGACTGATAATGTTATATATAGTATTAATTTTATACTGTGTCCAAATTTAGGTAAAGCTTTTCATTTTTTTAAACAAAGTTTTTTAAAAAAGTTCTGTCGTTATTTTCTATTGCTTTTTACTGTGAAAAACGACAAGACTTTTTTTCAATTTTTTATTAGTTTTTAACCTTACACATTCTAAAAACAATGACTTTAAAAGTAAAACGTTTTACCTGACTCATACTCCCAATCCTGATAGACAACTTTCTCCGTCTAACTAACGATGCTACTGGGTCTAACTTCGTGAGCTGTGGAGCGATAGCGGCGGAGAATTTGCGCGCGAAGCCGGTCAGCTGCGCCGAAACCGAAGCTTTGCGCATCTTCTTCAACAGCTTACAGACAATCTTTTACCGTAGTATTTTGACAAGTTGTAGTAATCTTGATGTGTAGTATAGAAAGGTATTGGCCCAGATAGTAGTAGTGTAATTTTTAGAGTTTTAGTACTAATAGTACAGAAGGTAGGAGGTTTTTAGCTTATAAAGATAGCACCAAGTAGCGGTATCAAATAATATTCAAATAATATAAATAATGGCAGTTATAATAAAAAATAAAAAAAATAATTTCAAAATAAGAACAATCGTGCCAAGTTGCTAGTCGTAGTAGTTACTGTAAGTACCTAAAATAAAATTTTTATAATTTTTTTTGAAATTTTGAAATTAACAGGTTTTCAAAAACACGCATTAAAGTGAAATAAACCGCAAATATAGTTAAGTATATAACTTGTTAAACACGTTGCGTAAGCATACTAATTGCGGCTTAAACAGTATTAGCAGCATAGAGTCGAGGCATTAGATTGGCAAATAAATTAACTATATGTAAAGAAGGATTGTCTCAATAACAGGCTTCATGCAAATTATAAACAATAAAATAAATTCTTAAATTAAAAAAATTTTAAATGATAAGACATGTTATGGTTAGAGTGGCCGAAACGTGGCTAAGATAAGGTAGAGCAACAGTAAGACTAAAGTAAGGTTAAGATAGGGCAAAAGTAGAGTTACGGTGAAGCAATAGTAGAGCTAGGGTAAGGTTAAGGCAACCAATATGACTGAGGCTGTAGTAGGGCTAGGGTAAAGCTACGGTAGGGGTTAGCATACGGCTAGGATAGGCCTAGAATAGATTAGGTTAAGATAGAACTAGGGTAAAGCTGGGATAGAAGAAAGAGAAAAAATGCTAGAGTAAGGCGCTATTGAATTACTAGTACTACCCTTGTGAACATAAAAAAAATTGTTCACAAATAGGTACCAAAACAACTAAAATGGCTCAAACACCTTTTAAAAAAACATTTTCATGAATTGTCAATTCATTAAAATGTGAAATGTGCTTCTGAAGAGTCCAAAAAACCGTGAAAACACAAAATTAAGGCCAAACCCGGTCGCCCGCGAGCAAATAAAACGAAATAGGGCACAGTGAGGAGAATGTAGATAAAACAATTGGATTGTAACATTAGCAAAAATTATATATTCAGGGGAAAATTATCTAAAATTTTCATTACCAACTGAGAAATGGCAAGAACCTTCTTTACAAATCAAGAAATTGCAATAACTGTTTTACAAAAGACGAAATAGCAAGAACTTTCTTTACAAAACAAAAAATGTCAAGAACTTTCTTTACAAAGCATAGAATGACAAGAACTTTCTTTACAAAACTACAAATGGCAAGAAATTTCTTTACAACACAAGAAATGGCAAGAACTTTTTTTACAACACAAAAAGTGGCAAGAACATTCTTAAAAAAACAAAAAATGACAAAAACTTTCTTTACAAAACATAAAATGCAAAAAAAATTAAAAAAACTAACAAAAAATCAGCTCAACATAACTGCATAACATAGATAACGTTACTGCATAGTAAATTAAATATATAGGTGTTTATTGAGGATTTGAATATAATTGGTCAAGCAAATCTGTGGTTTACAAGAGGACGTTTTTGCTTTTGTAAACAATTAGGAAAGTAGTAATAAGCAGGTGGTTTTGTAAATAGTACTCTACTACAACGTTTAAATATATCCTACCCTACCCTCTACTATTCTACTCTATCTTAGCTTAGCCCACCCAATATATCATATTACAAATAAGACTAACCTAAGACTAGATCAAAAGGTCTATAGTAACAGTTAAGCTGGCTTTAAGCTTGTTTTCCTAGTAAACGGTTCTAGTCTACCGATTTTCATTAAAAGTCAAAACAAAAACGTTTTAAATTTATTCGAAAAAAACTAGTTTAAAAAATTTGAACTCATTGGATTGACTCGATTGTTTGCACTTTTTCACAAATTTATAAAATTTTAGCCAAACTTTATATCAATATTAAACAAATAAGAGGGGATTTGGTGCATAAAACCCGGAATTAAAAACCCAATGAGATTTAGCTTTATGAGCTTGAGCCTGGGTTTAAGACTTACTTTGGGCCTCACTACAAGCCTAAGCTTAGGTTTGGGCTTGAGCCTGATCTACAGCTTAAGCTTGAGCTAAAACAAGAGCCTGAGTCTAATATTAAGCCCTTTTCTCAGCTTTAGCGCTTTAGCGTGCGTCAGTGCCTAAGCCTGAGCCTAAGCCTGAGTTTGAGCCTGAGTCTGAGCCTGAGCTTGAAGCTGAGCCTGAGCCTGTTGAACTAGCACTAGGCTTAGATTTAGCTGTTAGTTCTAGTCCTATGTTACTCTTTTTCTTGTCCGTATTAGTCAGTTACTCTGCTCTCGTTTCCGTAGCTTAACTCTAGCTTTTGTTTTACCTTGCCTTTTCCTACCCTTTAGTCAAAAAAATAAATAAACTCATGACACAAGTCAAATATCAAACATACGACAAACAGCCCGCTGAAACAGGAAAAAACAAAACTGTTCCATATTCTGAATTAATTATTCTGCAATTTCAAAAACTGTTTTTAGTTTGTGAAATTGACAGTTAATGGGCCGGAGCGTTATTATAATGACACTGTTCTTTTATACATTAGAAGAGTCTTGGGCAACAACATTCAGCCTGGTAAACAGATACGTAAAATAAAGAATGAACCAAGTTTTTCGTATGTTATAGCTAATGTAAAACTTAGCCTTTGAATGTAGAATTGGGCGGTAAAAGGGGAAGGGGGGGGAGAGAGAATTAAAAAAGGGGGAGCTCATGATTGCGTACAGTATATACGAACAAATACGAAAAGGTACGCGTTACTAATACAAAAAAAATTCCATTAAATTGAAAATGTATGCTGCTGTATTAATTATCGTAATTTTCTCTTATCTTTCATTTTTAAACTACCAATTTACTACTATTTTTTATTGTGTTCTTTCCTTATTACAGAAAAAGACCAGTAATTTAAAGTTATAAATAGGCTTCGAATGTATGATTATGAGTGGTTTTGTTACTTACTATGATATTAGAATAACAGAATTATATAAACTAGCAAGTTACTAAAAAGCGGTCGATTTATTAATTTGAGTATGTCATTTTGATAAAGTTGTGGTAAGGAAGGAGAGGAAGTTAACGAAAAAAAAAAATAGAAAAAAAACGTTTTCTAGCGTGACATTGTTACTACCCTATTCTACTTTATCCTGCCGTACCGTACCCTACCGTGCATTACTTTATTCTACATTACCCCACCTTGCTTTTCCTAAATAAATCCTAAATATAAATTAGTTTTTGTCAATTACCAACTAGTTTTTTAAAAAAATAAAAAAAAGAACAATATTATCCATGACATGACAGATCGACCTCTGACAAGAGTCCCACAGTCTGTGAACACAAAAGAATGAAAATTAAATACTGAAATGCAAATATGGCTCTTTCTCTGTTACTGATTGTTCAGTGAAATTATTTATATTTGGGAGCTGATTGTTTGGATATCACAATTGTCAATATCATGTTATTCATGACCTCAAAAAGGAGGAAGAACTGTTAAATACTTGCAGTTTTTGATCAGATATAAAAGGTTTGAAATGTTCGAACATCAGATCGAAAAAGTTATAAGATTATGCAGGTTTTGTTGTTTGAAAGCATAATAAGTTGCATATTTATAATCTTTTAGGGGAGCTTTAGCTGTATGAGCCTAAGCTTAAGCCCGAGCGTGAACCTGAGTCTGAGACTAAGCCTAAGTCTGAGCCTGAGCATAAGACTACGCCGGAGCTTAGGCCTAAGCGTGCGCTTGTGCCTGAATTTTAGCCTGAGCCTAAGCCTGAAACCAAGGCTAGGCTTGAGTCAGAGTCAAAGTCAGAAAAAAAAATTTGAGCTTGTGCCTGAGGTTTAGAATTATTCTTGTTCTGAGCCTAAGCATGAGCTTAAGCTTGAGCCTCAGCCGAAGTCTTTTGAATGTCAAAACACAAACATCAAAATTCATAATGTAAAGCATCAAAATAAAAAAAAAATTAAGTTTATAAACTTAAAAGTTTTGAAATAACAAAATAAAGTGTTTATAAGATTGACAATGCCTTTGTCCGCTTTAATTATTTATAACCACGTATAATTTATTTACACGGAATATACAAATTGGTTCAAGTGCTGAATATACAAACCAAAAAACGTAGTAGAATAACAATGTAATTTGACATAGAAAAGATAGTACAGTAACATATATAGATAAAGATATATACCTTTTGCTAAAAACAATTTAAAATTTAAAAAATTAATTTTAAAAAATTAGTTTTGTGTCAGAAAGTAAAAGCTAACCCTTTTGCCTTCACCCCCCTCCCCCCTTTAGTCAACATTGATTATAATAAAACGCGTATGGTTTAAGCTACACTACCCTCATTTCATCTACAGTACCCTTTCTTTATCACCGTTTGGTTAAACTAATCTTAAGAAGTCAGCAGTGTGTTATACTTGTTATACAATCAGTGATAAAACAGCCTTTTGGCAATCACAAACAATGACGCATATGACGCACTAGAAGTCAAATATTAGCAAGGTCCGGTGATAAAATTGGTATTTTATGAGTAATTCTTGTCTCAAGATTTTTTAGGTACGTATTAGTTAAAGTTGAAATGACATTTTTAAAATTCTTTATAATTTTTAAAAATTAGTAAAAAATAGTTTATACTACTGGCAAAAATATCAGTTTTAAAACCCTAACTTTACCATAGGATTACCCTAATTCTCCCCTAGACCTACCCAAGCAGTGCCCTAGCTAGACATGACGTGCCGGGCCCACTTTTTTTACGTGCAAACAAGCCGGGCCAAGCAGGGCTTTGATTTTTTAAACCTAAATTTAAGCCAAGGCCAGCCCGGTAAGTTTAAAAACACAAAATTTTAAAAATTTCAAATAATATTCAAAAAAATATTTGAAACGCCAAAAATGGCAAGCCAAGAAATAAATAGACGTCCGCTGTTCTTTCCGTTTGGTATTGTGAATCCGGCTTTCATTGTAGTTAAACTGCGTGGGGAATGGCTTCATCACAAAACATACGATTCAATTAGCTTGACGATCATCTGCAATTCCCTCAAGATTGCGACGATATGATTGAGTTGTGTTAGACATCATGTTTAAGCCGTGTACTATTTGTATTATAATTTACAGTAAAAAATGTTTACAACGTTAATAAAAGAAAAGCAATAGATTTTTTAAGTTAATTTAAAGCAAAGTTAAATTTTTTAGTCTTGTTGTAGAGTAGGCTAGTGTTATATTATTTTAGCTAAAGAAAAGTATAATGAACTTCTTTATTTACTTTAGATTCTTCAAGCTTCTACAATTACAACACGAGAGGTTTATATTAGGTTAGATTTTTGATGCCGTAGGTTGTAACGTACTGTGCTGATGTGCAAGGATGTTCAAGGTTCAGATGAAGACCAACGGAGCTATCCTTGAGTCTGAAGTTTCTCATAATTGGGCTCTCTCCAAGTATTTCACTGTTCCTCGCGTCACTGAGTCGTGAGTAGGTGCTTCATAAGACTTCTGGCGTTCAATCATATACGTGTAGGCCAAGTATAGATGTGCCTAGTCTTTGTGCACTCAGCACTACCCATTCCTCAAGGCGCCTGGGTTGGGCGGTGCGCGGGGCCGAACCATGGTCCTTTAGAATAGCGAGCGGCGCCACAGCCACTGCGCTACCAACGCCTCAACAATCAACAAATTTGAAGTTTTCGAGTTTTTGTTATGCAAAAGTTCAACCGTATTGTATTTTAAAAAATAAATTTTCTGAAAAGAAGAAAAATGAAATAGTGCGTATTTTACAACAAACTAGCTATATAATTATAGAGAACATGTAATAGAATATAGTAAAAAGTTACTTTTTATTTTTTGAATTTTTTTTGAGAATTTCCATTTTTTTTGGTACTATTTAATTACTATCGTTACGTTTTTTCAGGTTCGTCCAGCACATCGTTCCAAAAGTCAACCTAACTTTGGTGGATATGTTCGGCCAGGGATTTCTGCAACTTTGCATAGTTTTATGGTAAGTTTTATAATATGTATTTTTTATAGGCATCTTTTAATTTAAAAAAAGCTTTCAAACTTCAAAAAATTTTTATTCAATATCTTATGACATTCCAAGAAATAGGGATCTCATAAGTAGTCCTTACCACGACATTTGAAACGGGAAGAATGATTTTGGTTATATATTACTTGGCCATATGGCCAAAAACACTCTATTTATACTTTTTCGCAGCATCAAGAAATGCGAAACCTTTTGGTTTTGCATAACTTAGAGTTTTGCTGGTGGAAATTAAGTGTTTGAAAGAAGCGGAAAAGGGTGTAGAGAAGAAGCGAGGGAGGGCTGTTTTAATTTTTTTATGTAAAATACGAAGTAATACTTAATTTTTAAGGCTTAAAACAACGTTTTTTCTATGTGATATTGGTACTACAAAGAGTCTTTGTAAAATTTATGATGAGTTTTTGAGAGTGGCAGTTTGAGTACTGTCATTGTTACCCAAATACTAAAATACACATTTTCAGTCAGCGAATACAACGAAAACAGTGTCGCGCGACCCGCAGCGAATGGCCATTTCCTCCTCGCGCTCCACAAATCATCTGGCCATCGGAAAGAAAAAGGTGAGTGATGATTAATTAGTCCTCCACACAAAATTGAATGCATTTGCATTCGCAGCTAAAGTGCATTTTAAATTAAATACGTTTTTTTAGCTTTTTCATTTTTTCTTTTTAACTTTTTTTTAGTTTTTAGTGTTTAGCGTATTTTAAGATTAGAATTGTAAACTTAAGTAAGCTACGAGCAGGAAAAAACTGTTTCAAAAAGATAGTTTTAGGTAGTAAAAGGTACGGTTAGAGTAGATTAATGATAAGATAAAGAAAAAGATGGCAGAGTAAAGTATATTAAAGTAAGGCAGAATAGTGTAAGGTAGGGTATGTTTAGTAACGTTTATACGAAGACCCAATTACAGCTCTAACTTCTAAACAAAAATATTACAAAAAACGCAAAAAACTTGGAAAAACCATCATTGTTTCATTAAGATATGCGTGCAACATTATAGTAAAACTGGTTTTTGCTAACGCATAATAAACTTTTGTCGTTTTTTCGTCGTTTCTTTCATTATGTTTGACTGTTTATAGTAACTTTCAGAGTTTGTCTTGTACATTTTGAGCCTTTCTTTTTATTTAAAAGAATAGGGCAGGGTAGGTGAGGGTTGGTGAAAGTAGGTCAGAGTAGGGTAGAATAGGGTATAGTAATTTAAGGCAGGGTAGGATGAAACAGGGTATATTAAAGTTTAGATAAGGTAAAGTAAAGCAAAGTCTGGTAGAGCAAAGTATAGTAGTGCAGAGTAGTTTAGAGTAGGGTAGGTGGAGGTAGGCTAGGGTAGGTGAAGGTAGGTGGAAGTAAGTGAGGGTACGTGATAGGATCATAATTTGTTTACTAAAAGAAGAGTTGCTTATATGAAACCTTATACATTGTTTTCGTTATATAGTGAACCATCTGTATAAACACCTCTCTTTATAGTAAACAAGAACTTTAGCCCCGCCAAGTCAATTTGCATTAAAAATTACCTTGTAACGGGAACATTCCTTATAGTAAACGCAAAATGTAGGTTTTTTTTGGGTTGCTTATTTAGAGATAGTACTGTACGTAATTTGCAAAAAAAAATTTTAATTTTTAAATTTTTCAAAAATATTGAACGCTTTCTTTCCTTTTTTGCTGTAGTCAAAATTGACATACCCAGTCCTGTGTGATACATACTAAAATTCAAATATTTTTTTCATATATAATTATAACTAATTATAATTAAAAACCTAACTGAAGTTTTGTTTCAATTCGCAACTTTTCCCCAAACAACCAACATTGATCTTGAACTAGTTTTTGGGTAATAAAAGCGGCGCTTCCGTTTACAACCTTGCCGCAATTTCGCGCTCTCCCCTTTTTCGTGGTATGTAACCTCTTGACCTCCAAAAAAGGAATCCCTATAGCATGCAAAATTCTCCCCCCTTTTTTTGCTCTAAGACGGCTTTTATGAAACAAAATTGTGGGTTTTCTCGTCTTTTTTACTCGTCGGGAGTTGCGAAGACGTTTTTCCATCCCGTAAAGGGGCATATGTTTGGACAGATATAACTAACTGGTTTATCTTGTTAGAGAGAATGTAAAGGGAAATTTTGATGTAAAGAGGAGAAACGTTTTGCATAATAGGATGTTTTCAATTCGAGTGCTTCAGTATAATAAACTGCTTTTGGTAGAGGTGTTTTAGTGTTCTTTGCATTTTTTTTGGTTGTACCTGTAACTTTGTTTTGTTTTTGTAAAGTTAAGGATGTAGAAGGGTAAGGAAGTAAATTTTTTTTCAAGGTTAATGTGAACCATGTAATTCAGAGCTAGGAAAAAACGAGACATTTATGTTTTTTGGGGGGGGGGTGGTGTTTTTTTTAATTTTTTCCCTCGTTTTTTAGTTATTAAGGGTAGGGCAAGTTAATTGATAGGTTTTGAGGTCGTGACTGTGAAGTAAGAGGTATAGAAGTACTAGAATTGGGCAAGAGTTAAATTTCTCACAGCTGACACAAAGCGGAAAATTTTAACCAGAGGGGTGATTTTTTTGGTTTTTTTATTAGTTAGTTTAACAGGAGTTATGCTGTACCCAATTTGTTAGCTCAGTCCTAAAATCCAAATTTTTTGGTTTGACCTTTTTCAAATTTTCTTTGGTCTGGCCCGGTTTCTTATGTAAATTCATTAGTAATAATAAGCTCAGACCGTGTCCGGAGCCGAAGCAGCGCCGGACCTAGTGAGCCTCCTTGCAGGTTAGGTACAAGCCAAATTTTTAGCACCATTAAGTCATACCTTCCGGTTGACCGCTTAAACTTTTAAAAACAGTAAATATTCGTGGTTTCTTAAAAAGAAATTCGATTATTTGTTCAGCCAACTCAAGACGTGTTTTGTAGCGAAAAACGGACCTTTTAAATCCCTATTGTAAACACAAAGAATGGCCGTTGGTTTTTACACCGCGCGTGTGTTGTTACTGTTTTTAAGGGTTGAGTGGGTCGTGGAGAGCGATTTTTTGTGAAGCTAGCTTTTTTGATTACGGAAGGGGTAGCGCAAGGCAGGGTTAGTGGTATGACAGAAAAATACACTACAGGGTAGGGCTTGAAAACGGCAGAGTGAGGACATGAGCTATAGCGTAAGCTAGACCTAGGGCTAGGGTTTAATCTAGAGCTTGTGCAAGATTTTGAGCTAGGGCTTGAGCTTTGGCTTGGTTTAGGGATTGAGCTAAAGTTTGTGCTAGGCATTGAGCTAGGGTTTGAGCTAAGGTGTGAGCTAGAGCTTGCGCTAAAGCTTAGACTAGAGATAAGGCTAGGACTGAACCTAAAGCTAGGGCTTCAGATAGAACTGGATCTTAAGCTAGAAATAGGGTTTGAGCTAGGGTAGTAATGCAGTACAGACGCTCTTACAGTATCCTTCCATTAGTAACTATAGGTCTATTGCTAAAAGCTTGAAAGTTTCTTTTAAAGTACTGCAAGCCCAACTTATATTATGACATACTAACTCCAACCCGCGCACCCGTTGCCATTTCCCTTCAACTTCCGCAGCCCATAAACCCCCCGTCAAACCTTTGCCCAGTCCATTCCCTATCCTGTGGATGAGGTGCTTAAAAAGAAATGAGTTTTCCGAAAGCGTCCAATTAATTCCAACATGAATTGGCATAAAATCGGGGATGGAATTTGTTTTCTCTTTTTTGCAATTATTTTTTAAAGCATGCTTATTCATTCCCGCTCTCGACGATTTTGACAACAAATAGTGGGGGAATCACGCTGAGCGGACTGATTCCGTGCGTGTTTGTTAGTGACCGCGGATTATTGATTTCGGCTCGAGATAACGAATAATAAATAACGTTCGAGAGACGTTATGATCAATTATTGTGGTCGGATATTTTTTGCAATTATTGTGGTGGAGGTGGTTTTGAAGATGAGAAGTCAGATGATTGAAGAAGGGTTTTTGGTAACGAAGGGGGAGGACGAATGCCCTGATTTTATACTTAGCCCTAGCTTTAGCCTTAGCCCTAACTCTAGAGTTATCCTTAACTTCAGTCATAGCTCTAGCTTTAGCCCTTGCTTTAGCCCTAATCTTTGCTATAGCCCAAGTTTCAGTCCTAGCTCTAGCCATAGCCCTAGCCCGGCCATAGTTTTTTATTCCTAGGCCCAGCCCTCACTCTACCATATTCAAGTCATATCTTGTAGCGGCGCAAAAAATTAAAAAATTGTTTTTATTGGTCAACAGGGGGATTATGTTCAACTTTTTTAAAGGTTTTTAAAGCCTAAAGAGTACAGGATGAATACAGTAAAGCCAGAGCTAACTTGTAAGGCTAGGGATAAACTAGGGGTTATAGCTAAAGCTAGGGATAAGGCTAGGGCTTTTTTATCAAACTTTTATAGAGCGGTTTAGTAATGTTGAAAATTTTTTTAAAAATTTTAACAGAAAAACTTTTTTTAGAAAAGGCTTCGGAAAAGTGGCTGCATCTTTTACATTTTTTTGACTTTTAAAATTTTCTTTTTGGGATTAGATGACAAACATAATGATTTATAATTTACCCAGTTTCATGATAATACCTATTTTTTAAAAAAGTTACATTAAAAACTAAATTTTATATTTTTTAAATTTCGAAAAATCGAATATGAACCAAAAGACCCAATAAATGTCACTAAAACACCATGACACGTTGAACTGTACATTCCACGTGTAGACAATGTTTTATGGGCATGAAAGGGAGCGCGTAGCGTTTATGCGTCAACTGACATTTGCCTCTTTTTGGCCGTTTTTTTTCTTCGAGTACAAAAACTTGGCCGCCCGCTTCCCGACTTATTTCCTCGCTTCTGTTTTTGTTTGTTTGTCAAAGTTGGCGCGAACATTAGAGGCCTCGGGACGTGATTAGTCAACAATATTTTTAATTTATCAAGGTTGTCCCAATATAACTGGGGCGGGAATATGGTTACTTGTTTTTATTTAGAATATGTTGTAATTGCAATTGTTAAGTACTCATTTAGGTATAGTGTGTAATTCCTGTATAACGAGCAGCTCGAAAATTTCAAATTTGTTCGTTATACAAGATTTTTGTTAGAAAGAAGCTCGTTATCTAAGAGTTCCACTGTATTATGGCTTTTCTAAGGTTAGGGATATTAGAGAAAATCATGTTTTTTAATGGATTGATAATTATTATACCTACCGGTCGTTTTTTATTTAAAAGTGTGCTCTAAGCAAAATTTTTTAATGGTTATGTGAATAAGGCCAAGACTAGGAAAGAAGCCTTGGTCAAATTAAGGTAGAGATATAGATTATGAGTAAGGTCAGAGGCATAGTAGGGTAAAATGATAAAACAGAGTAAGATTGGGTCAAGTAGGGCCATTGCAAGGTAGACCGCGGTAGGGAAAAGTAAGATAGGGTAGGTTAGGGTAAAGTAGGGTAGGGTATGGTAGAGTAATGTAGATTTGAGTAGAGTAGGATAGGGTAAAGTAGGAAAAAGTAGAACCTGTGCAAGGTACGATAGAGCATGGCATCACTAGTGTCAAATAAAAAATTAATTTTTTTAGTTTTTCTAATTGTGCAATTTTAAAATGTTTAAAAAACAAAACTTTGTGTGTTGTTTTAAAGCTGTTTTAGTAAACCAACGTAATTATATATGCATCTGACGCATAAATTATCACATTTTTCCCTTGAAAAACGCTGTTTTTTTGCCATAAATTTAGTTTTAACTTAAAAATTTAGCTTATTTCGTGCTAATTTCTCCTAAAATATTATATTTTTTGTTTTTTATCAAAATGTAACCCCGTATTTTACAAAAATTTGAAAAAAAATTAAATTAACTTTTCAAAATTTCAGCACGACCAAATAATGATGGCATCATCGTATGCCACTCCATCCACCTCTTCATCTCCAGTCAATGGCTGTTCGTCAATGTCTCCCGAGCCTCGATTCAATCCATTTCAAAGCTCATCTGAATCAAGTTTGACCATCAATTCAATCGATTCTCAAAGCTGTGTCTATGGTGAAGATGGTTCTATAACAAGTGCCGGTCCTGAAGCCTTGTGGAAGAAACTTTTACCTACACAAGAATACGAGCCTTCCAGGAAGCTGGTGTTTACATTACTATTGAATTTGAGGGCTTTTGTGTCGCCTGTGGAGATGCTACAGAAATTGGTACAGGTAAGACTGTGGGATGGATAAGGTTGGGCAGGATACGGCAGGGCAAGGATAAGATAGAGCAAAGACAAGGTAGGCCATTGCAAAGCTTATGTGTGGTAAGGCAGAAGAAAATAAGCTAGAATAAGGCTCGGCAGGGTATTTTAGTTTAGCTGGGTTAGGACATGGTAAAGTAAATAAATTTTTTCAAAAAGTTTTAAATTTCAAAAAATTTTATTATGACCTCTTAAACTTAAAGCTCAATTTGCCTATATTCACCACGCCCATTATCAACATATCATTTCAGAACTGCATCTTCGAGCAACACACCAGCCTCTCCAACTTTAACCGCCACACTCACTCCAAACTCTCCGAACATGTATATAACTTTATATCCGAATGGACAACCAGTATACCTTATGATTTTCGATCCGATGAGATGCGCCAACGTCTATCCGAACTATTCTCTCTATGTGCTACTGATTCTACCCAAAATCGAAAGTTCTCAAAGCTTATGGACAATCTTAACCATGTCTTGGCCAAACGTGAACATTACGAACGTGCCATGAAGAACTTGGATTCAAATTATGATATGGATCTTGAGAAGACGGAGCAGATGAGTGGACTTGTGGCTATGGGAGCTCAACCTCAAGTTGTGGCACAACAACTAGCTCATATTGAGTTGGAAAGGTTGAGCATGATAGGGGTGGATGAAATTGTTCAAATGCTAGGAAATGTTAATTTGGAAAGCTTGGGAGAGGTAAGAATATCTTTCTTACTATCTTAAGCATCTTTCTAGCTTTATAACTGCTTTACTGTTCAAATCCTTATAGTTTTATTTTTTCAAAACCCTTTGATCTGTTGTCTTTGATAATATAATTTTGCTCATTTTACTCAAATTTAAAGTTGAAGAAAAATAAAAATATGTAACTTACATTCAGTAACATCTGTTCATGCCAATATCTTACTTATCTTACCGCTTAACTCACTAAAAGTTTAATTTCTTCAAAAATATTTGACCTGATGTTTATGATAATATAATTTTAATCAATTCTCCTCAAATTTCAGCACAATTCCGATACAACAGGAAACATAAAGTATTATATAAAGTGGTTCAACCAACTCAGCGTATTTACAGCGTCAGAAATCCAGAAACATACCCGGAAGAAGCACCGGGTCCGATGCATCGAGTTTTTCATTGATCTGGGCAAGGAATGCATCAATATTGGCAATTTCAACTCACTTATGGCCATTGTTGCTGGTCTATCATCTCAAGCTGTTACTCGACTAAAGAAAACTGTAGGTTTTGAGTTGGTATTGCATTGGGATCTAGATATATGGCATGTTATAGTAGAGGGAACCTAAAATAATATCGGTGGTAGACTTTTTTATTCTTCTTGCTTCAAATTTGATTAGATCTTTCTAAAAGAGTTTAAAATTGCAAAACATGTCCTCACCATTATTTTAACATCACTCCATTCATCTTTACGTATCTTAAATCATTTTTAAACCAATATTGTTGTAGTGGCAACGTGTTGACAAAGCCAAGCTCGAAATCCTCCAACATCAGCTGAATCCCTCCGGGAATTTCGTTAGCTATCGTGCAACATTAAACGCCGCAATTTGGAGGTCAGAATGTGCCAAAAACGACAATGAACGTGTAATCATACCGTTCTTTGGCCTTATGCTCAAAGATTTGTATATTATCCATCGTGCTTCATTGGACCCGTTGCCTAATGGTCAACTTAAGATTGCCGTATGTTTAAAATCATTTTTTGTTACCTAAAATAATAAAGGGAATAAGAAATAGCTAATTTTCTTCGTTGAAAAGAGTAAGGATGATATTGAAACAGAATTCCAAATAAATTGTTTTTGTGGTGGGACCTTTTATTGTGTCTGTTGTTTTTGTAAAATACGACTTGAGTTTCGTAAAAATGTAAAATTTTAGATGTTTGCTCAATTTGCTCAGCACATGGCCAATTTGATACTATGGAAAGATAGACCGTGTCCATTCAAACGAAACACCAGCATATTGCAGTACTTGTTGTTGGCGCCTTCTTATGTGGAAAATGGTAAGTTTTATTGATTTAAATTACTCTAAAATAATTTTTAAATATTACACTGGCACTTTACTTTAAAATTTTATGTTTTTTATTTGCTTTACCTCAACTTTTCGCGTTTTATGCTAAAAGTTGAAACGTTTGGACGATAAAAACAATATAACTCTATACCTTTCAGATCTCTTAACCTTGTCCTTTGAAAATGAACCACCGGAAACGCCGAATGAACGTGAACAGTATAAAAAATTGACAGAAGCTAAAAGCGATACTAGCTCGGACAAGTGAACTCATTCTTAGATATTGTGATACATAGTTTAATATTTTTAGTCAGATCTTGGTGTGTTTGGCAGACATTTGTATCGAAATTGTTATGAATAGCATGAGAAGGTTCTTGGTTATCTGTTCTGTATAAGTTTGTAGGTAGTTCACGTTGGGGTGGGTTAGAAAATGGCAGATTTCTTTAATATATACCAAGAAGTTGGTATTGCTCGATGTGTTTGGTCGTTTCTCGATGTAATGACTGATATTGGACTTGAATTTGTTACGAAGAGATTGTTCAAGGTCTTAGCTGTCTTTTACGTATAATTTTGTAGGTTTAGATGGTTGTTGTTTATGAAGAAATATAATTTTTCTGCGATATACACCAAGATTTTTGGCTTGAAACTGCATGTTACTATAGAAAACTTAATGTAAATAGAATAAAATAGACAAAAAAATTTATTATAATATAAATATGGTTGTGAGGACCATTCTACGTACTTTTAGAGCTCAACTTTACACTGTAATGTATAACTTTCATTAATACTTTACCTTCAAAACCAACAAACTTATAATTATTGTTTAATAAAAATTTCCGGGATATAACAAGAAACAAATGGACTTTTTTCTGATATGGGTATTATCATAGGTCAGAGTAGAAGATATGTTAATGTCGAACTTAAAACGTCATGTTGTAATGGTCAGATTTGTTGGGCATAATGTTGTTACCAAACACACTCTGAAGGTTGGTCGAACCTGATGGTGAGGTATTCATGGGCGATGGAGTGCTCATATGAGAGTAGCCGGCTGGGTTGTGGGGTACAGGGGGGTTCATTTGAGGCATAATGGGTGGGGAGTATTGTTGAGGTTGTGGAGTCATGAGGCCGGTACTTGACGAGGGTACGGTGAAGAGGCCGTCTGGGATTTGCTCCATCATCTCCATGAGCTCCTGAAAAGAAAAGTTATATAATAAGGTAAGATAGGGCAAATTAATGTAGGGTAGTCCAAGATAAAATAAGGAATAGGTGATAAGACAAGGCAAAGTATGGTATTTTACACTACGCTCATCAAAAAATTACTACATTAAATCTAAAACCCTTACCGTTCTTGACTTTCCATGGAAGTTACAGAGCTGTACCAGCTCCCTGGCAAAGTCATCACTAGTAGCATTAGCAGGTAACCTCAAGCTCAGCCCACTAGGTGGAGTTGGAGTCATATAACTTGAGCCAGTAACCGAGCCAGGTGCACTAGGATAAGCAGACGGCACTGGTGAAGCAACTTTAATCCCAGCGGCTGCATGTTCAATCTCATTAATGATATCAGCTGATGGAGGCTTGACTTTGCAAGTTACTACGGCAATCCTCATGGCTGTGAATGTGATATGTTGCATGGCATCCAGATCCCCACTGTGAGTGACATTTGAAGACACATGTCGTGAGGTTTCGAGTTCTTCAATCGATGATGATTTGTCAGTCAATTCCTCGATGACTTCACTGATAGAAACTGGCTCGAAGTTCGAATTGATGACATATTTTACCTTCTCGGCTACAGCAATATCTCTCAGATAGTCCTTAAGACATTTTGCTTGAAGCTTTTTCAAATCCAATGGCTCCAAATGCATTGGTGCCATTGCTGTGTCTTTGCTCAAGGAATGTGCTCGCGACTTCACGGTAAAGCAGATCGTACCACCGGTTACAAACGACAATCGCATGATTATGGCTGAATCATGACTGGCCAATATCTCTGCCACTTGGTCGAATTCCAAAAATCCCATAATCAGGTTCTTTTCCCACAACTTTCGAACATTCGTTTTTTGGTCCTGGAAGATCTGGAGGAGCTCCAACATTCCACGCCAAACACTGAACCTGGTCTTGACATTGCCACATTCGTACCGTAGATGGGGACATAACATGTTTTTGAAAGTTACTACTTCTAAAATTGTAGGTTGTAGCACGAAATTTTAATTTTTTCTAAAATTTTTTTTTTATTTTTTGACTGGTCGATAACTTAAACGTTAAAAATGATATTTTAGGCTTAAGGTAGGCCTAAAATGTCCAATTTTAAGTCAAAATGTATAAAATTCAATATTTCAAAAAAAAATTTTCAAATTTTTCGATTTGTCGACAATTTAAAAGTGTAAAAAAATTATATTTTAAGTGTAAGTTAGGCTTAAAATTAATAAAAAAAATTTTTTTAAATATAAAAAACTATTATTGACCGGTCGATACTTTTTTTGACAATTTTGAACTTACGAGCTTTTCCATTGACTTTCATTTCCTTGGCGGACGGGGTGCAGTCATGACATTGTAGTTTATACCTCAGCAAATCAAAATCACTGTCTTTCAGCCCTCGTTGTACATCGGCATTGACTCGGAAGTGTTGTTTGAATAACTGCATAAAGTGGTCCCAGTGCATACCATACTCTTGCCACTGTAACAGTAGACCATCTTGAGCGTTGGTACCGTAGAGCCAGAAGCAGGTGGCTGTGTACGATGACATCATACGTTGGACTTGGCAATCCTGAAAAGTGTTGGGTGAGACATGATAAGGTAGGGTAGGGTAATGTATGATAAGATTAATCTTTTAAAAACTTACTTGATTCCTCCTTGTAGCAATAGTAAAAGGTAATGACAATGTATGAGCAGTGGCGAATCGTCCTGATGGACTGAACATGGTAGCCTTGATATGGAAGTAGAATATCGGCCGCTTTCCATGAGACTTTAGGTCTAGGCCTAAGGCATTCGGTGACAAATCCTGAAAGAAACTCATTATATTATTGTACAATACTGTACTAGGGAAAAAGTAGTGTATGATGTTCTATATTATCCTATGCTAAACTGTAGTACCTAAGCCATACCTGAAACGAGTTGTTGGTCGACTGTCGTCCCTTCTGCCTTGTCGTACAAAGAAGTTGTGGATATGTGGCAGCCCAATACCTATTCTTAAAATTAAAAGCCGGATAGATGATGACCATGTCTTTACTGTTCACATCACTCTTCTTATGTGCCGTGTTCCCTTGAGTTTCACTTGATGTTGACGCTGAATTTGAATTCGCTCTCTTAGTACCAGAAGTTGGCTTCATAGCCAATAGCGCTGCAGATGGCACCATACCAATAGGAGATGGCTGTTGTAGCATTTTCTGCCTTCTCATTTCCGACTGAATATGTTCGGCCGCTTCTTCTGTCACTACTTGGATCTCAAACTGTTTAAAGACCACCCCTCTGGCCAAAGCTCCACAATTCATAGCAAACAAGTTGTTGGTGACCAAGATGGCATTGGTCGATGGTTCTGTAGCCAACACACAATCAGACATCAGAAGCTCCAAAGCCGAGAAGACATTGTCACTTAATGCACCAACAGGATCCAGTTCACGGAACACCTTCGAGGCATTCACAACATGACGCAGCCCTTGTAGCCGAGCTCCCAACGCTGCCAGTTTGTGCATCATATACGAGTAGAAACTGACCAGTCGATTAATTGGAGCCGATGACATTGTGTCATAGTTGATCATGTGTCGGATCTGTGCAGCTCTAACTTCGGCCCAGAGATGAACACTTTGTTCGTTACAGAATGACTTGAAGTAATCGATGAATGGGCCCAACTGGTTCTCCGAGAAGTTCTGCACCATTCGAAGAAAGTCTTGTTGTTGTGCTGTTGCGGTAGGGAATGAATGCTGGAAACGCTCGTAGATACCATGAACTTGGCTGATCGTATCGCCTAACTTCATCGAAAGTTCGGATAATGTGTGGGGAGGTAGTTGGAGGGATGGTGGCACATCCGTGCTTCTAAAATTTAGTTTTAATAACTAAAAATGTGTTAAAAAAGTAGTATGATAGTTAGAGTAAGAGGTGAAAAAGGGTTACAAACAGAGCTACAATATGAACACAATAAAACCTAGGGAGCAGTCAAAACAAGGCCATGTACGGACCAAAGAAAGACTAGGATAAAGTATAATATATAAACCCACCTAGAATGGTTAACCAATTTGATTAACGCGTCGTTCAATTTGTTCAAGATGACTTTGTCTTCGGACGAGCAGTAAGAGCGATTCAGCGAGTACTGCAGCCGACTGGTGATACACATGACGTTCCATGTTAACATTGTCCATTCTTCGATGAACTCCTGCTCGTTGACTGGCGGAGTGGTTTGGATTCGAAAGACTCGAGAGTCGATCTCACCCAACAGTTTACAGATCATCTTTTTGACCTAAAACAATATTGCTGTTAGCAATGGCATTGGTCATATCATTTTTATATGTAAATCATATTTTAACATAACATTTTAGTACTGTGTAACTACCGGTTTAGTACGGTATAACCCTAAAATTATAACTTTAAGGCTGTATAACATTTAAAATGACCGTAAGTAAGTATTAAAGCCAGTAATACCAGTTCACAAGTACTTTTTGTTATACCTCAAGATTATGTTTTGCCTTGTAATACCACGTTTTAAGTTTACTATCGCTTTTATTTCCTTTAGAATGCTTTTAAGAATGACATCTTCGAGCAGTCGGACGTCTTCGCTAAACGCTACAACTTTAATTTTTATCATTTTTCTTGTTTTCATGGTGATATCGATATGATATAGTGATACCATTGTCATAATAGGCATAATTGCGTTGTCAGAGTGTTATTATAGGTATTGTGGAGCTAATAGAATTACAATATAACGATGAAAGCAGTACTACTATAGTACTATCAGTATGATATTGCTTTCATAGCACTCTCACTATCACACTGACATTACTATTACAAAACTATCATCATGACAATGACACCACACACCAATACCAGCATGATCGCATTTAAAAAAGCCAAAAGAAAACCGAAACTCGAGCTGCTGAATCGACTTACAACCTGCATTTCCTCACGGAATAATGTACCTTAAACATCTTTTCCTCTTCCGTATGTGTAATTGGCGGATCGTAGTGCCGTTGCACGTCGTGCCACATACAAAACAGGTCGAACAACAACATCTGGAAGGCGTCGTCCGTCAACATGATGAAAACTGGTGATGTTTGGACCCAAAAGGCTTTATCAAAAATGGTTGGACCCAAAGGCCAATCGAGAATTGTTATAGGAGAGCCGTGTTTGGTTTGGGCCGTCAGGAGTTGGAAAAACTGAAAAAAAAGGATTTAAATTTTTTAAATATTTAAAAATTGTAGTAAAATACAAAGAATTTTTAAAAAACAAAATTTAAAAAAAAAATTTTTCAATTTTTGAAAATATTGAACTTGGTCTCCCCTGTGGATTTTTCTCAAACTACCCAAAATTCAAAATTTTTTCAATTTCCTTAACAAAACTAAAAAATAAAAAAAAATTTTTTAACTCGCCAAACATCAAAAAATGCCAAACATAATAACACTTTCAAAAATATATAAACCAAACGATATAAAAAGGTATAAACATAGCGCGTTCATCAACTTTCGTCTGTTTTCAGCGATCGCTTCGAATGATATGTTATATTGGGCTGAACTTTGGAGGAACGCGCGATTATTACATAGCTTTATTAGGAGACCTATAATCACGAAAAATTGAGTTTATCATAAAGTTTTGTTGATACGGAATGCCAAAAATTTTAAAAATTGATTTTTTGAAAAATTTTGGGTTTTTGGCTTGAAGGTTTGATAAAAAAATAATGAAAAATGAATAAAATAGAAACTGAAAGTAGATTTTAAAGTAAATGTTATATCTAAAAAACTTTTCTTTCAAAAAAAAAATTTTTTTTTAAAAAAATTAAAAATTTTTACCATTGTTACCCACTTTTTGCCATTTTCAATATCTATGACTCATAAAACCTTGAATTTTGCCTTAAAACGCTTGTAATGGATAAATAGTGTTAACTCTCTCTTCAGACTCTTTCATTTCTTCCGTTCCGTTTTTTTCTTTAATGTGGTCTTATCTTAACAAAGCAATGGTTTTGGCGTCGGGTCAGTTTGCAAAAGGTCAGTCTGTGTTTAGACAATAAAAAGTGGCCGGTTTTTGATATAAAGTCGTTTTGATGACAAACGAATTTTGTTTCAATTGAGAAATGTAAGAGTTACTTTACCCTACCCTACATTAAAATTTTTTTTTCACTTTGAAATTTCAGAATTTAAATTTCAACTTAAGAATTTTTTTTTATTTTAAAAATCCAAAATTAAAAATTTAAATAAAAAATGTTTAATTAAAAATAAATTTCAATAACTAAAACCCACCTAGTTCACTGATTCGTTACAAGTCGGTAACCTTGAATTTCAGATTCCACTTTTGTGTAAAATCTACTTTGTCGTTGCGCCGTCGGCGTTGGAACAGAGTACTAAATCTCCATTCCAATGAGACTGGCGTGTGGCTGTGTTTGGTCACCGCTTTGTCCACAACTCGTGGTCGAAAAAAGACGAGAAAAACTGTTAAATTCGGTCGTTTTTTACTAAAAAACAAAAAATTTGTTTTTGTGGGAATCTGTAGGAATTTCTGAATCCGTTTGATCAAAAAATCAGTATCTGTAAGCTTCCGAATCACTTTAACCAAAAATCCGTTAGTCTTGCCTTCTCAATTCAATAGATAAATAAGTACTGATAGTAGACTGAAGCGTGGTGTAGTATTCAATATGGATATTAGAATTTTATTGTCTGAAATTAATGTTCAGTTAGTACATGTTATGAGAGTTCAAAGTACTTTGCTATAATATAAGTTTATCAGGCAACAATTTTATTTTGTATACATAACCATTTACGGACAAGTTTAGGTCAAGGTTTAGTGCAAGGTACTGTGAAGTCGGCCAAATTTTTGAACAGACTGCAATAATTTAAAGTTTTTTTTTGACAAAACCAAAAAAATAACAAATTTTAAAAGGTTTTAACTACGTTTTATGACAACGTATATTAGAAAACCTAAAGCAGTACATACTACTTTTGTTGCGGGACTTAACCTGAGGCGTTGGTTTAGGCCCTGGCTTGGTGTCGCCTGTGCCAAACGCATTTTTAAATTTTAGTTAGCCAACCTGGGCCTATGTACCTTAACACAATATATTTTTTTTGAGCTTTTCAAGCTTACATTTTGTTATCCTCAGCCTACCTTCTCTACTTCCTAGTCTTCTAAAGCTCAAGTTTTCGGCCCGAGGTTTTTTAAATTTGCATTGCTTTGGCTTGGGCCTAGAAAGCCTTTTAGGTTCTTCCTCTCTAGCTTTTAAAAAAATTTTTTTGAAAAAAATGCTATGCTAACTTAAAAAGAAAATTTTAATTCCTTAAAACAAAAACCAACCTTTTAGCCTCCCCCCACCTACCAAAAAAATCTTACATTTTGCCATCCCACAAGCCCCGGATCAAAGTTATCTACATCTTCGAGAACATTCACAAAAACGTTCAATGTTCGTTATGAAGAGACGTTATGAGTGCACGCTGAACTTTTCGACTTGCGAATTAAAAAATGGGGATTCCCTATCAAACTTGTCTTGCTAACTCTCCAAATAAACTTTTATGCGTTTTTTAGTTTTGTCAATGTCGCGATTCATAGAGACCAAAGTTTGCAGACGCTTGCACTTTTGCCTTGCCCAACTTGGTGTTATCACAGAAAATCGATTTTTGCGTTAAAAATGATTTTTTTGGGCAGAAAAATTGAAGTTTGTGGTTAAAAAGGTGATTTTATTACCTAAAAATGAACTTTTAAAAAATAAAAAAAATTGATTTTGTTACCTAAACCCACATTTGGTTTATAAATTTTAGGTCAAAAAATGCAGTTGACAATACAAAAAAAAATGTCTTTGTTACCTAAAAATTTGCTTTAATACCCTAAAAACGTCATTTTTCGCTCAAAAAGTTTGATTTTTTATCATTTATACAAAATTTTGTGTCTGCTATTATACCGGCCTTTACCTGATATAACACTAATCACTTGGCTCCGTTTTTGCTCAAGGTTGCCACAACTTTTGTGTAACTTGTGTTTTGTGTTTGTCTCTCTATGCCCGTGAGGCTAAATACAGCCTCGACGGGTCGAACCAACGACTCTGTTTGGTGTTGGGGACACTGCAAACAGAACGTGATGACAAATCAATCAACTCATACACGAATGTCAGGGGGTGTAAGTTAACGTAAGTGTAAAGAAAAGGTTTAATTGAAAAAAATGATTTTGGAAGGTCGCGTCTTATATTTTGGTACGTAAGAGTAAAGTCAATGAAAAATGTACAATAGGATCTAATAAAAATAAAAGTTTTCAAATAAAACATTGCTAAAAGTAAAATTTTAAAAAATTCTAACGGATGACAAAACATTCTTAAAAGTAAAAATTTACATACTATTTTAGGAATAGTGACTATATCCTACCTTATCTTTCCTTATCTTACTCTCACTTTCCCTACTTTATCTTACCTAATCATATCTTGCCTTTTCTAACCCTATATTACCTACACAGCCACCTTACATTACCCAAATCTACTTTATCCTACCCACCCTACTTCACCCTACTCAACTTTATATTGTTTTACCTTATTCCACCCATCTCCACCTATCCTTATATTACCCTACCTTATCCTACCAGTCTCTACTTTGTCTTATTCATCCTATCTTGGTCTACGCTTGTTAAAAACCCAAACTTCCAAAATGAAAAAAATTTTGAAAAAAGTAAAATGAACGAGTTGACAAACACTGTATGAGCAATCATAACTAATATAATATCAAAACACCTACTTCCATATTGATAAATACAAAGTCCAAAAACACTGTTTACAAATAGCATACCCGCAGCTTTTTAAATATATCCGCTTTTAACGTAACTTTAGATAAGAAAATTTTGAAAAAAATAAAAAGTTTAGGAAGTTTCCGAGTACAAAATGGGGTGATATTACACCAACGTGCTTACAATGCAACTTTTTTATTAATAGAATTTCAGAAACGGTTTCATTTTTAGAAGTCTTCCTTTACATGTCAAGGTTGTCAACGTACAAAGTTCATCAAATTTCAGGAGGGACGACTTAAAGTGTAAAAAGTTTCAAAAAATATTGTTTTAGGAAAAAACAGAGATAGATCTAGCGAAAAGGCTGCGATAAGACTAGAGGTAGGGCCAGAATTAGCGTTCAAAGCTAGAGGTTAGGAAAAGACTAGAGATGAAGTTAGGAAGAATAATGAGTTTAGGCTTAGACATGAGGTTAGGTGTAAGGATAAAGCAAAAACAACTGATGAGGTTAGGCTTAAAAATGAAGATAAAACTAAGAATGAGGCTAAGTTTATAAATGAACTTAGGACTAGGATAGTGATAAAAAGAAAAACAACCCTTTCCTTTATCTATATCTCACTTTATTAATAGTTTTAAAAACAAGTTCAACACAGGCAGCTCTATTACTTTAAATTTATTTTTAGCCTTGACTTATTTCAATATTAAAAAGCATAACTTTAATACTCAAAAATCTCCCCAAAAAGCCTTCCTAACTCAAACTTTTTCAAGTTCCAAACTATAAAATAAACTTTTTTTTATATTTTCTCCTAACAAAAGTCCCTTCGAAACCAGAATTTGTTCACTATGATAGGTTTTTGGTAAAGATGAACAAATATAAAAAACGAACGGAAAAAAAGGTAGTCCCCAAAAAATAATAAGATCAAAGTACGTTCTTGCGACGAGGAGTATGTAAATCAAAGAAGCGCACAATTTGCAAAACGTTTTCAATTTTTATCTGCTTCCAAACATGCTGCGTGCACAAAATGGCCAATCGGCCGTCTTATCACGGTTTAATTATTTAACTGAGCACTGATGCGGCTTACAAACTATAAAATACAAACTTATAGGGTAGAATTTGAAGTATGAGTAAAATACGACCGAAAATTACACAAGTTCAAAATTATAATTTAATCAGTGCGATGCAAATACTCCCTTAAACCGTGATTTAATAGAGTAAGAAACGGGCAGGGGTGAGGTAGGGCAGGGAAGAACGAAGAGGAAGGGAGGCAAATGCAAAATTTTTTTAAAATTATTTTACTACACTATCCTAAACTACTCTACCTTACTCTATTCTAAATTACTATATCATACCTTATTCTACTCTCCCCCCCCTCTCACAGTAGTTTCTTATCCCCCCCTCCTATAACCATTAAAATATGATAATTTCTATAAATGTCCACTGAAAAATGAATAGTACTTAATTTAATCAAAATTGGCGCTGTTAAAGGAAAAGAAAGTAATCTTGATAAAAGTCGGAATCCAATACTGATAAAAACTGAAAACGTCGGAAAATTCGTTTTTCTCGTTTTGACCTTGTGACCTTTCCATCTCATCAAAATATTGTGTTTATATGGGAGTTCATAATGGAAGCAAACGAAACTAATTTTAAAGCTAATTGACCGTAATTAATAAAACCATCTACAGTTTCACTTTTAACTATCTTGTTACGATTACATCTCGCACACAAGTTGTAAAAGAGTCTATCGCGCAGAGAAACGCTATCGGCGATAAATCATCTATCTTAGAAGTAATGATAGTCTCTCGGAAATAATCAGAGAGAGGTTTTTTTGTGTGTCGGGGTGCAGTCGGAGATTTAATATTTAGTTTTACTTTGTTACTATTATTGAATTAAACTTGTGTATAATAAAGTAACCGATGCTAATTGTATTCGTATTATACTAAATTATTATGGTACAGTAGGTCGAGCAGGTCCGATAACGAACCTATCGGTGTCGTATAGGAATCTATGTGATAAGGGAAAGAATTAAGGCTATCAAAAATAATATACCATTTCCCTATTATCAATCTTATCCTATCTAACTTTATCATATCCTAATTTATATAACTTTTTAATATCCTAGCCAACTATACAACCTATACAATACCCATTGCTCTTCAAAACCTACCCAGCCTTATAAAAACTTCATTCCAACAAAAATCAGCCTAAAAGCGTTACTGGCTGATCATTCTTTATATTTTCCCATCATATATTTATTCATCTTTATCAAAAATAGGGGAAACTGCCCAGTCCGCGGGTTTATGTGAATGCGATTCCGAAATGTCTCCGTATCACTACTTCTGTTCGCTCTGATTTCTTTTCTTAACTTTTTTCTGTTTTTCTCTGCCTTTCACCTGTTTTCTCTCTGTTTTTGTAATTTTTCTGTATTTGGAGTTTCGCGGTAGATAAGGCTTCAATGTATTGTGTAGTAATAGACGCAGATTTAAACACTTTTTGTTATACTGAACTTTTGTCATAGAGGAGAGTTATGCAGAAGTTTCAATATATCTCCTCTATTTTCTTCGTTATTTAAAATCGTTTTCTTGATGACTTCTCTGACCGTTTGCATTACAAATCGCATTATATTTGTCGTTTCTTTTGATAACCTTGCAGTGTACACAAGCTTAAACAAGTTAATGGTATTTTTTAATATTTATAGAGTGACAAAGTTGCATTCGGAACAGTTTAAACTGAACGTTGTGAACGTATCTTAACAATATTCGAACAAAGAAAAATAAAAAAAATATATAAAAAAATATTAACTGGTTTAAATATAAATAAAATAAAAATTTATTTTTTGGAAATTACAAATAAAAATATTATTAACAACTACAATCAGTCAACATTACTACCATGTAAATGAATACAATCTTGCCAACTTATTACAATGCAAGCGTTTTTATTCCACTGTTGCAGAATTCAGGATTCCAACGTCGATGAAGTTTTTGAAAGCGTTCGTGTACTTTTTATGGATTCTTCAAATGTTTTCCATTGAAGAACAAAACTAGCTGCTCAACAGGCTATTATCTAAGGAATGCATAATAGCTTGTTGAGGCCTGCTGAATACGGCGGATAAACCAAGTCCTTGTAGTCTAACTCATTGAAGTTTGCCACGGTCTTCTTTGCAACGTAGGGTCTAGTTTTGCCTTGCAAAATTATTGAACTTCTCTTCTTGACCATTGTCGAAAGATTGTGTCTCAGTTTGTCTATCCGCTCACAGTAACTTTCAGCACATAACATTTATTATTTAAATAAATATTTAAGCAAGCCTAGAGCACAAAATGTGGCGAAATTTTACAAAATGTCATCTAAGTTTGGCATCTTATCATTTTACAAAATACTAAGGCTACGAATAGCACCCAAATTTTCTTTTTCAGGAAATACTCTATTACATCTTGGTTGCAATCGTCTCCAAAAAGAAGGTACAAAGTAGATGACGGTAAGAGCATTAGCAATAGGTACTAATGATACACACGGTACTATGGACAATCCCCCGAATAATACGTCTGTTTTAGCTTGAGCTAGGAACGTCGCTATGAAAATTGGCATTCCAATCATTATGGCTGGGTATACAGCCTGAAATTTAAAAGTTGTGTCGCTATAAGTAGAAACAAACTAAGAATTTTTTAAAATTTTAAAATTTTTTAACTTTCAACATTGTTTAAAACCTTGAGAGGCCAATTAGATGTAACATACCTGTATCAGCATAATTTTGCTAAGACGTGAATGAGCGCGTTTTATCCTTACGTCCATGTTGTTATGTTGATAAGCGTGCTTTATACGTTTGTTTGTGTAATATATTATAGTATAAACAGCCACAAAGATGCACTGTGACATAGCTGTGTGGTAAAATGAACCCAGCTCTTTCTAAAATCACAAAATTTAATAAAAGCAACTTAGAGTAAACCTAAGTTAAAGCTTAGGAATTAGTAAGACAGGACTAGGTTATGGCTAGGACAGGATCAAAAGTTTAAAATCATAGTTTAGTAAAAAAAAGCTTTGCCGACTCTATCTGACTTTCTTCGAATCCTAATCTTACCGTATCAACAATCATATACCCAAAATCCCCATCCGTATACATTGGATGTTCTTGTATCTTCATTGTGTCTTCGTCACTCATGTCTCTAAACAAAAACATTCCACAGAAACCTTCAATAAAACAAAGTAAAATGCCTATGAAATAAAACATGCAAAGCTTTGGCAATGTTAAACATGTATCACACAAAGCATAATAACGGTAGAGGAATTGCATAGCCAAGGTTAACATTAGCACGTATAAGGCTGATATATACAGACAACCGGCTATCATGTTGTATGGTCGATCCATATGTTCAAAAATACCCAGTGTTATTAGGTACATCTGGCCTGATTTAATTTCAACTTTCTAAAATAATCTTTTAACTTTTATTATACTACTCATTGCTAACACTAGAGAGTAAAAACGACAAAACTTTTGTGACACCTTGCAGGTAAAGATATGGTAGATTAAAACTAAACAAAATTTGTAAAATTCACTTTTTGTTATTTTATGATTTTTAAAGCTCTTTTAAAACTTACCAGCATAACCAGCACGTTGACGAAGGTATAAAACAGGTCGGCAAACATTGATATTAACAAAACATAACGATACGTCTTCATAATAGTCTCTCGACTGGTTAACGCTAGATAAATAACAAGTCCATTGACAAATGCAGACAGCACACCGATTAAATACTCAACTACTCCATGATACAATCGAAAATTTGCATAGAATTCAGATTTAGTAACCATTTTGGTAAGCTACGTGTAACTCGTATTGTATCTAGTTTTGAAGTCTTTAATACTCCGATTTTTGACAGTAGTTAGTTATTATATAGTTCGTAGTTAATTATTGTGCCAAAAGTAGTTAACTGTGATATGAGTTAAACCTGATACGCTAATATGTAAGCTTGTTTACGTTTATTGCCATAACATAAACTGTTAATGATAATAACACGCACTTTTGTGCTATAGGATTATACCTTACACGTAAAACTGAAAAAAATGTCAATAATTATAACTAATGTTATCCAGTTTCCCATCTTCCTCCTGTTTAGGAATCGGCTCTGGCTATAATGCAATAATGTGATACTTCAAGCTAAATTTCGAAATTTGAAGACTTTGAGAAAATTCTGTACTTTGAAGTCTACAAAACGTTTTAATTTGAGTACTACAACACATTTAATCAGAGTACTACTACAGATACATTTTTAAACCTTGCAGACAGCTGACATCGAAAAAACTTTTGTAACACGCACGCTTTGGTACACTTTTCAATAAGTGCTTGTGAAAGCTCTATAGTAATACAAAATTTGAAGATGTTTGAATGACCGTTTTTAATATACCTAGTGTGTGCCGAACCGCACCAAACACAACACCCCGCGGACCCAGACCGAAAAACTCCAAACCAGCACAAAAAAGCTTTTTTTTAATTTTAATTTTACTTTTAAAAATTGCAAAAGGCATAGTTTACCGGACCCAATAAGGGAGTCCGGACTGAAGTTTGATGAAGGTTGGATCGGTCTGAAACTCTTTCTACCCTTCCCACCCCCCTCCCCCCTATTTGAAATGCTGCTGCCCCATCTAGGTGCTGTTAGTTTTTTTTGATATCTATAACTGTTTTCGAGATACGAGTTTGGCGGGAAAAATAAATTCAAACATTCGGACCGTCCGGACCGGACCTAAAAGGCAAAACTCTGTATGTAAATGTTAGATGTTGCATTCTTTTCGGTTCAACCTATTAGTATTTACTACGTTCTTTTTACTCTATATTATACTACATAATTATGCACCAAATCTTAGTTTTACAAAATTTTTACAAAACATTGTATTATAGTATACTAAGATTCTACAAAAAAAACAAGTGTAGGCATGCTATATTGTTACAAAAATGTTTAAAAAAAAGGTAATGTTATAAAACGTACTTTGTATTATGTCACACTTTATACAATTGTATTTTAAAATTTTTTTAGTCAAGCTCAGGTTTATGTTACACTTTATTGCAGGTTACTTAATCATTTAATGTCACATTTTCTGCACTTAATTGTAATTAAATACAAACTGAAAGAATTGCTATTTTTGTATTGTTGTAGTCGTACAGTAGCCCAAAAATTAGTTCCGTTCAAATTTTTGTAGGAGCTTACGTCTACACCAGAGATTACATGTCATACGATACACCAATTATATTTTGATCCGCATAGAAGTGCTATTTTGAATTACAGTTGATGAAGCTATTACAGCTTTCGGATGTAGAAGACGTTTTTGAAACGATGGTACGCAAAATATTACTGCAACTGCATTCGCAATAGGAATTAGCGACATACACGGTATAATAAACAATCCACCCCATAGAACGTCCGTTTTAGCCTGGGCCAGAATTGTGGCTATAAAAATTGGTATTCCAATCATTATGGCTGGGTATGTGGCCTAAAACGACAATTTTTTTGAAAAATGTAAATAATTTCCTTAGTTTCTGAAGTGTAAGATTTTTTTAAATTTGCATTAAATAGGCTCAACTTTAAACGTGCAAAACATCATCTCCGTAGGTATCCCCGTCTCCAAGAAAAAACACTTCACTTTTGAATTTAGGGCTGTATACAGGGCCGGGCGGGGACTTTTGGCCTGGGGGCGGGAGTCCAAAAAATCGGCACAGGTACTGTGTCGATTTTTTGCAAAAATTTTTTTTTCGAAAAGCCACAGGGGGGACCACGTTCAACTTTTTTTTCAAAAATTTTTTTTCCGGCCCTGGCTGCATTCTACAGAAAACCCAATATCTAAACTTAAAGTCACCTGAATTATCATAAGTCGGCTTAGACGTTGATGAGCACGTTTGGTACGACCATCAAAATTAGCGTTTTGATAATGGGCTTTAATTTTCTTATTAGTATAATACACAATGCCATAAACCAAAATCATAAAAAACTGTGTCATAATTGTGTGGTATATCGCCCCAATTTCATTCTAAAATAATTTTTTTTTAAAATTTTGTCTTATTTTATAAAGCTATTTAAAAAACTTTGCTGATATTGCGTTTTGAAGCATCCAAACCAAAAAAAAGATTTAGTAGAAGTATAAACTTTGTCATACGTATTCTATACCACGCATAACATACGTAAATGTCACCCTTCTTGTATATCGTGATGAAACGAGACAAATATTATTGTGTAACAAGTAGTACTATTGTATATACCACTACCAAGAAAACAAAAATACCACATCGCTTAACTTATTTTCTATTACTTGTTTTGAAATTTTAACTTAAAGTACAAAAACACTAGCCATACAGTATCCAACAATACAGCGAAAACAATTCACAGCTTTCTTATCGTACTGTAAGAGCCATGTGTCCAGAATAAGACTAAAATAGTGCTAGATTAAGACTAGGGTAGAACAGAGTAAAGCTATTGTAGAATTAGAGTAAGGCTTGTGTACAGCTAAAATAAGACCAGGGTTTAGAATGAAAGTGTAGTAAGAAAAAAATTTGGCCAACTATATCAACCATACTTTTATTTATCTCAAATCTTACCGTATCAACTGTCATATATCCGACATCCCCATCAGTATACATTGGATGTTCTCGTATCTTCATAGTATCTTCATCATTCATATCTCGAAACAAAAGCATTCCAGCAAAGCCTTCAAGAAAGCACAGTAATATTCCTCCAAAGTACAGTACAAAAAGCTTTGGCAATGTTAAACATGTATCACACAAAGCGTAATAACGGTAGAGGAATTGTATCGCCAATGTTAATATTAGCACGTATAAAGCTGATATATACAGGCAACCCGCTATCTTGTTATATGGCCGATCCATATGTTCAAAAATACCCAGTGTTATTAGGTACATCTGGCCTGATTTTATTTCGACTTTCTGAAATAAAGTTTTAATTTTACAAATTGTCAGTACTTATGTTAAGATTATTTTTAGTACAAAAAAAATTTCTAAAAACTCTTGTTGACAGTTTTAGTGTGTCTTTCACAACAAAAATGACAAAAACATTTGCTACACACGACAAACATTTCATTTCACTTATTTTTTTAGTTGTTCCACATATTTTTAAGCATATTCAAAACTTACAAGCATAACCAGGACATTAACAAACGTATAGAAAAGGTCAGCAAACATTGATATTAACAAAACATAGCGAAACATCTTCATAGATGAATCTCGGGTAGTTAAAGCCAACCACGTTACCGAACCATTAAATAACAACGATATGGTGGCAATAAATATCTCAGGTATAGCATGATACGACCGAAAATTGGTGTAGAAAACCGTTGAGTTCATTTTCTACTAAAATGTTTAATATAAATTGGTTAAAACTTTACGTTGACCAGAAATTACCAACTTTATCATGCTACAGTCACAAGTCCGACTAAAAAACCGTTGTAAAACACATTAAAAGCCAAATCTATGCGTGTGGAATGACGGCACGCCATTTTATAGTACATCACTCTAAACCACTCGATACTATTGTTTAGTAGAAGTTGAGCAATTAAAATTTCAAAAATACCAAAAAGTAGACGTTTGTCGTATGTTTATTTTTGAATGATTAATTGCTTAGCAAGAAACATTGACGGTACAAAAACACTATAAAATACAGTCAATTATAGTTTTTCATTTTTGACTTGCCTTTTTCAGATAACAGTACTCATAAATGTCTACCTACAAGGGGGGGGGGAGGAAAAGGGGGGAGGGGGGGGAATTGTTTCATTTCAAGCCGGGAATAAAATTATTCTAAAAAAGTATTAATTTATGAATTGTATTACCTGCCAAATATTGGACTCCAAGCCTATAATTTTGTCATTTTTTGATTTCTATCATTTTTGTTTGACATACTATTAGAAAACGTTTAAATAGAGCTAAAATTTAGTATCCTTTATGGAAAGCCAAAAAAGTGCTGGACGCGCAATGTCAAACTTGTTAAACTATCAGGCAACCCAAATATTTAAAATTTTGAACTCAAAAACGCAAATCTTTTGTAACTTTTTCAAAATAATTTCTGTTCGGCCCGGGTCATGCCTAGGAGGCCATCTTTTGACCCAACCTACAAATAAAAAGATTTCTTCTGTCAAGCACAAACTTTAAATGTTATCACAAGGTACGTATTTAGTTTCTACAGTTTTGCCTTCACGATAGTTTTGTGAATATAATTCTGAAATCATGCAACTTTCAAAAAGCAATGTAGTATATTAAATGTATTCTTTCACTGTGCTAAGATTTTTTACAAAAAACATACATACAAACTAATAAGCTAAACCACTAAAGTTCAAGAATCTATCACAAAAAATTAGTATTTTAACTACTTTTTTAAGTACATATATAAATATATAACTTCTTATTTGATGGTATTAATCAGCTAACAAGGAAAGTGCCCGACCTGCCCCGCTCTGATTGACTTCAAAATTTTTATATAGAAAGATCATATAAATATAAGATGTTCAGCAAAGTACTAAATCGCGCTTTCCAGGAAATCTCGAGAAAATCGAGATTAAAAAATGACATTTTGAATTTCCCGCCAAGTTGGCATTGTGTTTCAAGCATGTAACTTCGTTATTTTTTGACTTTTAATAGTTTTTCTTTGATATACTGATAAATAACCTTTAAGTGAACCTACATTTTTAAATTTGTAAGTGTATTTTGTCTGGAAAGCCAAAAAAAGTGCTTGAAACACAATGCCAAATTTGCCTTGGCGGGAAACCCAAATAATTTAAATTTAAAACTCAAAAGCGCAAGCTAAAATTTTTTATGGGTACTATTGGTAGTACAAGGAATTCATATAAAAATTTAGAGCTGATTCTGAGCGGGGCAGGTAGGGTACTTTCCTTTTTTAATTTTGCAAGCCAGGTATCACGCAGTTTTTAAAAAAAATCCCGCCGGGGACGGAGGGGAGGGGATACTAATTTCCCCCCCCTCCTAGAAGGACACTAAAAAACGAGAACAGGAGTCTCCAATCTGAACACAAGGCAAACGGTACCGATCTATCGTGGTCAATTTGATAGCCAGTTCCCAAGCCGCATGTTTGCAACAAAAAATGGTAATGCTGAGTTTGGCTGACGTAGCTGTAGGTTGCTTTCCTACAGTTTCTTAAAACAAGTTCAAAACATAACTCGACGTAGATCAACAACAAGAAAAGAGACATCAGGTTACGCGTTAGCTGTTCCTACAAGCCCTAATTTTCTTAACCAACTTTTTGCCGTTGACAAAAAATAGGTTTGCTAAGGCTATTTAAGGGTTTAAGAGTGTGAACAATAGTTAGGGTTGGACATTTACCGGTAATTTTACCGGTATTTTACCGAAAATTCGGTTTTTACCGTAAAAAAGTGTTTTTTGTCCTAGCACGAAAATTATTTTTGTTTCAAAAATTTGTTTTTGTTTTGGAACATTAGCAATATTTTGACAAAATATGTTGAAAAATATCAAGGATTGTTACAAAAGAACACATAATGACTACTTTTGCAATTATTGTGGTGCAAAATTCGTCAGTAACCTTACAAGACTGTACCAGCATCTTCTGCCAGCAAGTCACAAGGTCAGAAAAGTAAAATTCGATTTTTAAATCGAATTTTTTCATTCTTGTTGATTTTTGAACTCTCTGTATAGATCTGAGATTATTTAGCGAAACCATTTAACTTCAGTTACGTGTTGACGGAAAAAAATTCAATCTGAAGTTAGTTCTGATGAATCTGAAAAAGAGATTGCAAAAGATGATGAAGATGAAGAGATTGTAGTTGATTAAAACATAAAATACATGGCATAATTTGATTTGTGGTTAATTGACATGAAATACTTAATATTTTATTGTTTTTGTTGTTTTACAAGGCTTATTAAAAGTTTTAGTGACGTTTTAAAGTTTTTAAATACCAAATAATAATCCGGTAATTTACCGGTAAAAACCGGTAAAATTTTTACCGAAAAATCAATTTACCGATAAATGTCCAATCATAACTATAAAGTTCTGGACAGTCGGCTAGTTACGTGACCAGGCCAGAATGAACTGAAAGAAGGTAAGTGTGTCTTTTTGTTGAAATAGCCGTGGATTGATTTACTACAGTATCTTGAAACTCTTTACAGGACTGATATCAATTTTTAAATGATACTCAGACTTTTTTAAAGATCAATTTCAACGATTGCTAGACGATAATTAATAGCTTTCCTTATAAAAATGTTTTAATTTCCTGAAAAGTAATTAAATTATTGTAAAAGTACTACGTTTTCGTATTATGAATTACAACAATTGCTTTTTTAATTTTTAAAACCACAATTGTAAGTGTTTTAAGCTATTATACTTGTCTATATTTAATTGTAGTGCTTCACGTTTTGTATCCAGTCTTTAGCTATATAGTTCTACCTTACTGTTAAATACAGTGATTATCACGTACATTAAATAACTGTTTTTAAAACTTTAGTGTTTATGTTTACGTTATAAAGATGAACACAACAGCTTTTTACGTGGCATTACGGCATTACCATGCTATACCAGAAATTCTGATTGCTACTATATCATTGTTGTTCAACGGATCAGTAACGTGGCTGGCTTTAACTACTCGAGATTCATCTATGAAAACGTATCGTTATGTTTTGGTAATATCAACGTTTGCAGACCTAATGTATAATTTTGTCAACGTGTTGGTTATGCTTGTAAGAAGTTTTTTGAAATTGTCACGTATACCTAAAATGAGGCCCGGTATGTTTGGCTAAAGCCAGGCTTAAACATGTGAGCCTAATTAAGTAAAATAGATAGCGCAGAATTAAGTGAACGGCTTAATTATTAAAAAATAGACATCATTTTTTCAGAAAGTTGAAATTAAATCTGGCAAAATATACCTAATAACTCTAGGCATATTTGAAAATATGGGTTGGCCCTACAACAAGATAGCCGGTTGTCTGTACATATCAGCGTTTTACGTGCTTATACTAACCTTGGCTATGCAATTTCTTTACCGTTACTTTGCTTTGTGTAGAACGTCTTTAACTGTACCAAAGCTTTTCATGTCCTACTTTGTAGGCATTTTATTATGTTTTCTTGAAGGTTTTTCTGGAATGATTCTGATGGAAGATATGAATGATAAAGATACTATGATTTTAAGAGAGCACCCTATGTATACCGATGGAGACTTTGGGTATATGGTTGTTGATTTGGTAAGGTTTGCTATGCAAAAAATTTTAACCTTTCCCTATCCGAGTGCTACCTTAGTTTTTACCCAACCCTAACGGCGCTAACTTACCCCTAATTCTAACTTTATCCTTTCCTAGCCCTTTCACAGCTTTATAGCTTTACTCTTGTCTCAGCTTAGAATTGCCCCAGCCCTGCCTTATCCTCATCATAAAGTTTTTTTAAGGTTAATTCACAGTTTATTATCCTTGCGAGTCTTTCGTTCTTTTACCATACGTAGCGAAAACTTTATAATTTCTTTTGACATGTTTACTGATTGTGGAGACTCTGGCCATATACGTCTATCTGGCCACCCTACGAACAATATTTTTATTAAACTGACTTTGTGGAGTTGTTCCTTTATCTTTTATGTCCGACCTTTAGTTATAAGCGCCTTAGAAAAAAGGACCTAGGAACATCCATCACACTTGTTTTATTAATACTCTAATCTTAATCCAGCTCTATACTAAGCCTATATAATTTAACAGTTCTTGCGTTACTTATTTTACAAACTGAAGTTGTTTTACAGACTAAACTTGGTGCGATATACCACACTATAATGACGCAATGTCTTATGACTTTTATTTACGGCACAGTGTATTACACAAACAAGAAAATAAAGGCACAGTTTCAAAATACATGCTTCGTCGGTCATACAAAGCGTGCTCATCAGAGGCTTAGCAAAATTATGATTATTCAGGTAATCTACCGTAGACTTATGTATGTACACATTGCATTATTTAGGCAACATACCCAGTGATTATGATAGGTGTACCTACTCTTGTTGCTTCTATTTTGGCACAAGCTAAACATGACATTTTATGGTGTGGTTTATTTGTTACACCGTGTGTATCGCTAATACCTATTGCCAACGCTGCTACCGTTCTCTTCTGTATACCGTCGTTTAAAAAACGCTTGTTGCATCCAC